TATCATTGAACGAGTACAATCTAGCTATTCCTAGCATTTTCCAAATTGCCTGTTCCAACGTTTCGAGTGTCAAGTTGGCCTTGCACAAACTTGTAAATACGTCATTTCTCGCGAGTCACGACCCGAATATAGTAAATAGTCACGTGTAGATGTGATGAAAAAAAAAATCTAGTTATCTTTGCGCACGCGCTTGTACTTTGTGACTGGACACTTACATCTTAGTATCTTGAAGCACTATCAATGTTGCCGCTGTTCTTTTTTCTGAGCCGTGAAATAACAATACACGCCGAGGGCATTGAGATTGTTTCGTATTTTCATTAGCACCACTAATCTGCACTGCGCATGCTTCGTATTTTGATTTGCGCCACTACTCTGGCGTGGTGTCAACAGTCGAGGCAAAATTTACTGCTGTTTGCGCGGGGTCTGTTCAGCAAGGGCAGGGACGTGTTCGCCACAAAAAAAAAAAAAAAAACAAAAAAAACAAGGGAAGCTTTTTCAGACACTAATTTCGAGAAGCAACTTCTGCTGAGTTACAATATGAAGCAAAAAGCGTACATTTTTTAGTTTTATGCAATAAAACTTAATGATGGACGTTTTCGTTTTTTCTAAATTTTTCGTGTTATAGAAACGTAACTGAAAAGTAACGTCGTTACTTTTTCAAAGTAACTGTAAGGAGTTACTTTTTTGTTGAGGTAACTGTAACGGTAACTTTCGCTACTTTTTTCTGAAAGCAACTGCAACTAACGAATTACTTTTTAAAAGTAACTTACCCAAGACTGGTCATTTTCCTACTAAAAGTTAAAATCGCAAACAACCTTACAACAAGATAACTGTTAAGTATAAACCGCATGTAAGCGATTAGCCGAGAGACGAGACAAGCGACGCCGACCCGCTTCGCTGTCGCTCGGTCAGTCGCGCGACCAGGCAAACCGCACGAAAGCGGCGGGAGTAAGCGACCAAGACTGTGAACGACGTTTTTTAAAAAAAATCTAAAAAAAAAAAAAAAAAACCCGATTGGAGCAAAAAAAAAAAAAAAAGTTTGGCCCTTCGCGAAGCATTACTAATTTCCCCATTCATGATACATGTAGGTGAATTTTAGATTAAACGCTCGTTATCTTATCAAGACGCACGCGTCGCAAACGGCAATAGCATCGCTTCTTCCTGCGTATAAACAATGCGCATAACTACCTTTTTTTTTTCTTGAGTTGAAAACGAGTATAGCTACTTTAGAAAGAACGAGTAACATACTTTCGTTATTTTTTTAAAGTAACAAGTAATGGAGGGGAACGCGCACAAGTACACGATCTCATTCCCACCCCAGCTCGCACCTGCAACTTGCGCGACGAGTGAACAGTAGATAGGCCATAAAAAGATGCGCAGAAGATACGTGAGTATGAGTTATCCCAGAACGAAAGCGTTAAAAAGCGAGGAGTTAGAATAGACCACGGATATTGGAAGCGGCTACTGCTTCACAAAAGACCACAATCAGACTAACCAGAAAATAACCCGTTAATTTCAAGCCGAGGTAGCGCGTCCCTCGTGAAACGCAGTAAGGATTTCAGTAATCTGTCCACGTCTGGTTCGAGCGAACCAAGCTCGACCACGCATTATCAAACTCGCACGCGATTGGTCGAATATATAGTCACGTGGTCGAAGCAATCGCGCAATAAAAAAGAAATAAAATGCATACATTGGAACTGGTAGTATAGAACTGCACACAAATATGGCGAGTTGGACAAAAAAATGCCCTCCTTTAATAACCTCACGGCTCAAAGTGCTGAATAACCGGTCACGTTAAAAAATACAACTATGCATTTTTGTTTTTAGCCAACGTGAGTTTATAACGGTTGCAGCTGCTTTTTTATATATACATAATGTGGATAAAACAGTGCCGAACGACAAAGACTAGACGGAAGGAACAGTCGCGGACTCGCAACCCTACGCCAACTAGCCCAGCTTTCAACTTAGGTACGGTTTTTTTCATATATAATTTTTATTTTGCGAACTATCAGATTTTCTGAAATATGAATAATTTCCAGCCGCGAACGAATTGCACGCCGATGCCAGCTTTATTCAGTTACTATTTAGCGTAGTAACAAATAGCAGACGAATTCAGAACGGATAAAAACAAATGAACATTTTGAATTGGGCGATCGCAGGCGCTACCTAGTTAGAGGGTTATTAACCTATACAAGTAACAGTGTTTAGTAAAAACAAAAATAGCGCGCTTGCTCCGAAAATAGCCGCGTAACTATAGTGAGCTATTCTGGTACACTATAAACTAACCCGTCAGAACGTTCGTTGATAATGATCCGACACGGATTTTTTTCCTTACCAAGCTTGATTCAGCGTAATATCCAAACACATTTTGTCATAAAAAAAATTAAAGAAAGGCAGACACGGCGCGAAGGCTATAAAAACCGCCACTTGCCTTCAGGGCCTAATTAGGCCTAATTGTAAATCGATCCGGAGGAGATAACGACTTTCGCCATTTCTTACATATCTCCCCAGCGACGCAGAGCCTTCGACCGATTACTCGGAATTCACGAGATACCCGGAACTTCCCGAGAAAAATGGTCATTATCTTATCGGAAAACGTTTTTTCCCCTGGTTGCCCAGGAACGCATTGTTCCGCGTAGACCGCCGACTTCTACATGCTATCGCAGACGAATAGAATAATCTTAAGACACAAAAGCGACTCCCATTGTGTTGCTAAAAAACAACCAACAACAATAAACTTCCAGAAAGGAAAAACGGCACGATTTTGAGTGCTAAAGAGCGAATCCATGAGTATGCAATGACTGCCCGGCTCAAGCAGACGACGCGATCCCTTACATTTATCGTAAATTGTAAATACAATTCCTTACTTTTTTTTAGTAACGTCTACAAGTCTGCAGGACACTTCGAAAGGTATATTAAAAACTTGCAGTGCACGAAACAGTTAGCGCGAACACGACATCGGCGCCTTATCACGTTTTATGGACTCGCAAAATTTCACCGCTTACGTTGCTTCCCCGAACGAGCAGATGCTTTTTCTGAAATCACTGTCAGCAAAACCACAGAATACTTAGGCGAGCTGGTGCGCATTAATCATGATCTTTAAACCCTGGGACTGGGAAGGAACCTTGAATGTATATTAAAAGAGACAGAAGGAAGGTGACAGACAAGCGTGTCAACACGCTTGTCTGTAACCTTTATCCTGTCTCTTCTAATATATATCCAAGTTTCCTCCCCAGTCTCGGAGTTTAAAGATCATGATTAACACTATACTTCATTGCAGTCTTGCTAAACCCTCTAATTCAAATAAAAAAAAAAAGAAAAATCCGAGTTGTTTGTGAGCGATAAAATTACACTGCATATCAACAGATCGAAATTTCCAAAGCTAAGCCCAGTTACACACTACTAGATTTGCAATTTTTTGAGCCTGCACAAAATGAGCACAGCAGCAACAAAGACCTGCTGTAACAAGGCCAAAGTCCTTATCCTTGTGAAGGTCCCAGGAACATATGACCGCGGTAATCTTATCGCATGATAAAACTTTTGCCAAGGCTTGCGACCTCTCCAGGGACGCATGTCTACGCCTAAACACGATACCTTTGTTCCAGGTGGCAGATTGTCGGTATAAAACACTGGCAAATCCAAAAGGAAAATCGTAAGCAACTTGCGCCACCTAGGTCAAGATTGAAGTAAAGGCTCGTCCACACTCTTGCAACCGAGTACGACCGAGAGAGACGAGACTCGTTAAAATCTCGTAAAATTTCTTAGGACGAGAGAACACACTGGCACCATCTATGCGGTGACCCTGGAACTGCATTTCACAAGAGCGAAGGTTTTGCGGTATTTCCGAGGTCAAATGTGCGTAATACCTACAAGAAAGGCTCGTTTATAACGTTGACAAAAGTTTTTAGAGTCAAGAAAGAAAGGTTAATGCGCTAGAGAAATGGAAAATATGCCGGACCGCTAAGTTTACACTGCTACCCAAGAGATGGCGCCAGTGTGAACGGGCCTGAAACATCTAGGATGATGTGGTCGTGTCGTCTTCGTCCTACGCGTTTATTCTTTCTTTAATTGTAACTTTCAAAACCCCATTACTTTATGCACATAGTGTCCTCCCCCGAAGATTATTATTATTATTTATTTTTATTTTTGTCACCGCAAAAATAAATTATGCATTGGTGAATGTTCACTCTCCGCCCAAATGTAGTGCTAGAGGTCCGAACGAGATGTCAAAGGTTCAGCACAAACCGTTATGATATTCAAAAGTCATAAGCAATTTTATGAAATTTTCAATGGTGAAATGGCACCCGAAAGAGCTCTGGAATACTAAAAGCTTTATGGAGCCAGTTGCCGAGTTTCCAGAAAATTGCTTATAACTTTTGAATAAGATAGCTGTGATGCTGAAACTTTAGCATATTTTTCGGACCTCCAGCGCTAAATTTAAACGGAGAATGAGCGTTCAGCAATGGATAGTTTATTTCTGCAATAAAAAAAGAAAAAGAAAACAGCCAATTTTTTTAGTGGTTGTGATAGATGTAATTTTACCTCTCTCCAAACTTTAATCACTAATCAATCAACTGTGGTCGCAAACTAAGTAGAAACAGTGTTCACACACAGCTAGTTTTCTTCTGAATTTCGGAGGTGGCCAAAACTTGGCACTAATGGAGGTACACTACAAAAAATGTGCCGCAATGTGAAAAATAAATCCTGCAAGGCTCTCAGATTGCATGCACTCATAGAGGTGATTTCCCAGTGGAAACAGCATTAAACAGTGACCCAGAGCTTTGTACAGGAATATTAAAAAAAGAAACACCAAAAAATAGTTAATATTCTTCTGCCAGTGTTCACCAGACGAGTTGGAATTAAGCCACCGGGAACCATTACAAGATGCACAACCACACACAGTGCAATGGTGACTGTACAAGCACACATTTTGCAGCACACTGTGCCTAGCCCCCCCCCCTTTTTTTTTTTTGGTGCGGCACGGACACAACAGCTTTTACCAGAGAAGAGAAGATATGGCCAGTCACAGCGACAGCCTCGAAGCATCCCTAGAAGAGATTTTACCATTTCAAAATTACTTCTGGTCGCCTAGCAACCGATGTTATTTCAGCGAGGTATTAAAATCCCAGTCATTCTTTGAAGCAATGCACAAGTTTCCAGTAAAAATTCAAGCTCAAGCACTGCCCTAATATCAGGGCAGTGCTTGTTTGTTTATGGAGATAAAACAATAATGCATGATCAAATATGACCGTCTGAAAAGTGACACTGGCACAACAATTTTCCAACTTTCTCCCCATTACACTGAACACAAAACTAACAATTATGTTCTGTGTGCATAGTATGAAGCTGGCAGCTTGCACCATTGAAATCTATGTAACCCCAACAGAATTAAGCACTGCAATCACAAACCACCATATTGCATAGAATGTTCCAATGGCAGAGTACATTAAGCAACCTGCGGAGGATATGACCAGTGGAACCAGGTTTATAATTCCCAACAATATTGCTGTAATATGAAAGAGTCGCAGAGAAGTGTGTATTACTACGGATGCAAGCAAAGAGGAAGAGAACGCTGCTCAGGCCAGACAAAAGCAAGGTTCCTGTTTACAAGCAGCATCATGGCTCACGGCAACTTGCAAAACAATGAAAACGTTTCCTGGGATTCAACAAAAAGTTTCCGATCAGTTTGTTGAATGGAAATATGTTCAGGAGTCTCATTGCACTCAATCTGACAAGACAAGTGGACAAAGCACACAAGTAATGGAAGCACTTATCTCCACCTATAGGCCTTGAAATGAAAGATACACATTTAGTACTCTCCCAGAAAAAAAACATGCCATTGTTGTCAAGGCACATGACCATCAGCCAATGTTTATAAATGTGTCCACGAGACAGTATGCACACTGGTACGAGCAATTAAAACTCACATTTATGCTGAGACAAATGTGGTGCGACGATGACTCCATTCGTTACAAGCTCCCACGAGGAGACAATGAAGTTGGGAGTCAAGCCCAATTGACCCCATTTACAAAAGGAGCGAAAGCAACTCCTGGGTCATGTGGCTTGGTCACCGTCTTTGCAAAAAGCTTCCGTGCCAGGACTCTATATCCAGAGACAACCTGCTTGATGCCAGTCATATTGTCTAAACGCTGCCAATAGTTCTGACAGCACCTGGCAACTGCCAGCCGATTTCTTGGCAGCCAAACAAACTGGAAGTTTCGTAACCTTCAACCTACGCAAATTCGGCCGACTGGAAAACGAAGGGGAACAATGCGACCAATTACACGGTGATAGCACCTTCCCCCTCATCCGTAACGTCATCTCAGACCTCATCTCCGATTGGTCGTTCGAGGTCACGTGATTCACAGAACCCAACACCCCATCATCAAGATATGCGGCCAGGGTTTGAATCGAAATGTCGTTTGAATAAAGTACTTTTTAATGAGAATTGCTCTGACCAGATGTTTGAGTCACGAAGCAGAGTTTATTACAACAAACGCTGCCGGCTCGTTAGAACCTTTGAGAAATACTTAGGAGACGGGCATTCTTCACGGCGTGAAGCACGCACGAAAAAAGGGGGCGCAATCTCACACAGTACAAAAACAAGCCATTACCATTCGACCTTGCAATAGGTGCTTTAGTGACGCAAGCATTCAACCATGCAGCGACGGAATTCACGACATCGCGCAAGCCAGCGCTCCCCGTCCACGACAGTATTTCCCGCAAAGCGATTCCACCTTCCACTACACCTTTTTTTTTTTTTTTAAACTGCAAAAAACAACAACAAAAACTTCGCTCGCTCTGACGTCACAACTCGCACCAACGAAAACAACACGCTTTTACCACAGCGACCGCGTGATATTCGAAACGACCGAAAACTTCTTGAGGACAAACTCGCACCGACCTTAACCCGAACAACGACGATCTATTCTCAGCCAAGACCTATCGTAATCGAAACTCCACTTCCTAGGGGCTTCCTGCACACACATACACCCCCGTTTCCTGCACAAACGATGATTTGCCAAATCGAGTTTGTCATCAGAGGCGTTCGCGTTTTTCCTGCTTGGGCCGACAAATTTCGTCACGCCAGCTCGAGATGGAAGAGTTTCAAAAACGAGCGCTGAACGTTGCCCGTTTCCAAGGCGCCCACTATGCAAATAATCGGAATTGCGATCAGCCGTTGACGAGGGCGACAACTGCTATCAAATAAAACAATGAGAAACAAAACCAGGATCATAGGCTTACTTACCGGACGTGCCGAAGGTCTCAGTGCCAGTTCGCTGCATCGCTGCTACGTTCATGGTGCTGGTTTTAGACGAGTTAGAAAAGTGAGCAGTAAAACGAACTCCTTAGTGAACGAGTCATACAAGATTAGGTGGCTGGCTGTTCCAGTAGAACAACGAAAACAACGTTAAAATAAGGGTTTTTAAGTTAAAGAAAGACGTGAGGGTGGCGGACGATGCAGCGTCACAACACCCCACCGCACATCGCAATGTGGGCACACTGGGGAGGACGGGGGGTGGGAAATCCGCGGCTTGTTCGCGAGGTCCTTGAACGTGAGGCGGAAGTTGATGTGGTGGCGCCCCCGTCGGAAACGGTGGGCGCCGTCCCCCGCGTAGTGGCGCTAGCTTCCGCACAAATAAATATGCCTTCCCAAGTGTGGAAATTTTGGTGTTAAAAAAGAAAAAAAAAGGGGGCTAAGCAAAAAAATCGATGCGTTGAGTGCGGCCAAACGGGTAAACAAGGTCATTGCGCTTCAGTGATACTAACGCATGGCCGTTTTAACGCAAGGGTGGCGGTCGGCAAAGAAAAATGTTTGGTGTTGCGTACCTACACAGATTTATGAACTTTACGTTCCGCTGTGTCCACCGCTGATGGTGTCCACAACTGCTGTCGAAACGCAGACACGCCTTTTTAGTCTTTTTAACTTATCTTGTAGCAAATCCACATATTACAAATTAATAAATCAAGAAAATCCTAACATTTTTACACTAAGGTTTTTCCACCTAGTAGTAGTATGACAAGCTTGTAATAATAATAATAATAAAAAAACTTAACTTAAAAAAATGGTTTAGTTGAAAGAAAAGCGCCAAATAAACAAGGACCAAGGAGTATTAAGACTGTCTACTTGGAAGGAAACAGACCAAGGGTCCTAACCCCCACTCTGTCAGTCCCTTGGTCCCGCTGTGTAGGTTAGGACCCCAAGTAGACAAAATCTTCGATGCACGTGAACCGAGGTCACACATTCCACACACACAAACAATGGAGGCAAACACAACTTAGGCACACAAACATTTATTGGTACATTTCTTGTACGTCCGCAAAAAAGATGAAAAGGAAAGATGGCAAACAGTCTAGTGCAGGAAAAAAAAATATAGAGAATATTTTAACCAAGATTAGCACCAACCATACAGTCTTCTTCTCAACCGCTTTATAACAACTTCATTCTAGCACACGCCATTACACGACAGAAACTGTATTTTTTTTCCCCCAAAGAGATCTCCAAAATTTTCTCGGTACTACGCCCATCGTACTGTATACTGTTGTAGCCTTAACTCTTTCCCATCGAGAAAAAAAAAAGGAGTGCTTAAAGATGGAAACCAAAATGGAGAGATTAAAGATGAAAGAAAGGAGTGAAAAAAAAAAAAAGAGGATGGGCAAAGGCGACAATTCGCGCTTGTTTCGTTTCCTCAGAACGGCTGGCCCCCTAGTGGGAAGAGACGGCGACGGTGGCCATCTTGTCTTCCCCCGGGATCTCGGGCTGTGCCGGCGGGGCCTGGGCAGACTCTGCTGTCGCTGCCTCGATGGGGCGCGCTGCCTGCCTGCGTATGCGGATGGAAGGAGAGACGAGCCTTCCTAGGGTTGGAGGAGGCGGTCCCTTTGTGCTTCTTGCGCCAGGATTGGCCCCCCACTCCAGGGGGGGGCGGGCGGTGGGTGGGTCCTCACACCCAGGGCGTCCAGCCCTCGTACAGCAGGGCCAAGTTCTCCAGGCGCGTCGCTTCGCCAATCACATACTCCACCTTCAGAGAGACAGAAGAACACAACCGTGCCTACTCAAAACGAGACACAGACAACTCTGTGCAACAATACTGGGATCCCTGGGGTAACAGTATTTAAATGCGGTTCATACAGTGGACACAAGCAATGCACGAGTATATTCGATTTGAGCTCGTGATGCCTCGACATGGATTCGGGTAGCAGCGCATGCCCAATCGCTGCGATGACGGGAATAGCCGAACCTTAGCAATCGGTGGAGCTCATCGTGTGCCCTGTGCTTTGGCAAACACCAGCTCATGGCTATGATAAATATTGGTGGCATATAATCGGCTCCAGATCCAGTGGCTGCTAGTTCCCAGTGCAAGTCCAGGAGGTGAACGCTCCTCGTTTTTCTCTAACTTTTTGTGCGACTGTCATTACGCGGAGAAAAAAACTGACGCCTGTTTTATAGGTTATGAATGTCAAGAAATAATTCTAAGTGGTATTTATTAAGCATACAAAAATTGTTGCATCACCCCTTTAATCTACCTAACAACCTCAAACCACATACACCCCTGTTCCTAGCATCTGTCTCTTTTAAAGGACACATGCAAAGGAAAAAAACATTTTTTTTAAACAGCTTAGATGGAAAAAGGATGTCATAAAACAATTTTACAATGAAGAAAAAAAAATTTTAGAGCTATATTTACGGCGCTATACAAATTTGTAGTTGGCGCCTGCAGGCGCCGCGGAAAAGTGGCCCTTATTTATCACGTGACGGGCCCTTATTTATCACGTGGTGCTTGCACTCTTTCGGAAGCTTTCTATGGCCTCTATTCATCTTTGTTTGAAGTATAACAAAAAAACTAAGATTAATAAGTAACTTTTAGAGCCCAAAGGAAACTCCTAAGAAAGCGCAAGCAGACGTGGTAGACCTGCGCGCCTGTCAGATGGCGGCGGCAGCGCCCAGAAGCAGACAACCTTGTGCGGTGGTGGCGACAGCAGCGTGGAGAAACGCGTTGAAGCGGCGGCGTGACTTTGCAGCGGCAGCGACGCACAGGCCTACCACGTGACCAGCAGTGGCTCCCGCGGGCGCCAACTACAAATTTGTTTTGTGCCGTAAATATAGCTAAAATTTTTTTTTTCTTTGTTGTAAATTTGTTTTATTACATTTTTTTTTCCATCTAGCCTGTTTAAAAAAAAAAGTTTTTTTCCTGTGCATGTGTCCTTTAACCCATTCGCTACCGCGAGCGTCGCGCACTGCCGGGCCGTTCGTACCGCACATTTCCCCCCTAAAACAGGGCCACACTAGGCGTAACTGTTTTCCTTGTATAATAAGCTTTTAGAGTAAAACTCGGTGCAGAAAACATGTTTATTTACATGCTTAAATGGTTCGTTTAAGTCTTTAAATCAGTAGGCCCTCACTGATTCTTCCTCGTATGAAAGATCTCGAAGCACTCCGTGCTCGGTCGCTTAGGCGTCGCACAACCAGCGCGCTCTTGTCGTGATTCGGACTCCGAAATGCTGTCGGAATTGCTCCCGTCGTCGACAGAAGGCTCCGAAAACTCACTATCCTCGCCAGACGTCCCGTTATCATCGCTGTCGAATAGGATATCTATGATTTCATCGTCAGAAAGGCCACATCGCACACTGGACGATGCCATCTTCTCCAAGCAGGCAGCGATCGAGCGGGAAAGACGACACACAGAAGAACAAGCTCAAACAAACAGAGCGGACAGAACGACCCTCGCCGTCTGTTGGCAATGTAGCTAACTGCACTACCCCAAGTCTACATAGCGCGCCATCTATGAACGGCTCTTTAAAACAGAAATTCATGCAGACCGGCGAAGCGCCGGCTTTGGCAATATGGCCCCTGACGGCACTACCGGCGATTCGCCGGCTTTGGTAGCGATTGGGTTAAGAGCACACAAGAAAACGTCTCCAGATTTTCCTCTCAATAAAACACCTCATTTGTCACAATACCAGCCTATGTACAATAGTGACTAATAAATGTGCTAAACAGAAGTCAGTGCACTTACAATTGAACTACAAAGGTGCACCAACAACTGAAGGGGCAGAGTGACACTAACTGTAGTCTCTTGCAACATAAGAACACCAGGAGAAGCTTGGCTTACAGAACAATTGCTCCACCCAACACCTAATGCACAGAGTTACACTATACTCAGTTTCATTTTAAGTGTGAGCATAGCGGAGGCTACAAGAGCGAGCTCCACACTTTCAGCATCTCTGCTAAGCACGTGCGCTCGTGCAGTGTAAGCAATGTTCAGGGCCACATGCTAGCGCTTGCAGCATCGGCTGCATCTGGCTTAAGTTGAGACAAAGTATAGGGCCTCATGGGGAGTTTGTCTGCTTCTTTTGCAGGGGTTGTGGTGACGCCAGAATGTTCAGCTCCGATTGAAGGATAGTGGATAGACCTCAGAGCAAGCTGCCCTGAGATCTACTCACTTTCCTTCAATCAGAGCCAATCAGAGATTCTGACGTCACCACAATCTCTGCAAAAAAAAAAGCAGACAAACTTGCGCTCCACATAGCTTCCCAGGGCAACAATCTTAAAGAGAGTGCCGACGGATGCTCGCCCTAATCCTTGGTGCCAGAAAAATGCTGTCTTTGTACTAGTGATAGGCCAAACATTTGCCGAATTCGGCGCCGAATCCTTGGGTTCGGTGACGTTGAACTTTTCTAAAAGATGAATGGATGAATGGTGGATGGATGGTAATGGCTATACCCTTTGTAACGGGTGGCAGCTTGCGCCACCTAGCCTAACATTTTATCATCCCTTCTTTTTTTTTTTTTAAATTTGTAAAAATTTGTTTTATAACACCCCCCCCCCCCCCTCTTTTTAAAGTGATTCCTTTGCTTATATTTATCTTTATCATTATTTTTTTTTTATCCTTCCCTAGATCTCTTCCACCAATCTTCAAATCTCCTCTTAGTTACCGCAATTCTTTCCCTATCCATTCGTCCATCCACGTCTGTAAATCCCAGTGCCCCCTCCAAATCCGTAGTCATCCCCCCAAAAGGGTGGGAAGAAGCCCCGTGCACATTAATATGATGTGTTCTATAGTTTCCCTTTCAGAGTGTCAATTCCCTGGAATTTAGCCCTACTGTCGGGACCAGTTATAGCGAAGTCGGTTAGAGCGAAATATCGGCTACAGCGAAGCGATCCTGATTTCCCATTCCCTTTTGCACTTCGTTATAGCCAAAGTCGATTACAACGAAATAGCGGATATAGCGGATATAGCGAAGTGATTTCCGATTCCTGTTGACTTCGTTATAACCGGTCTTGACAGTATATCTTTTCGCTCTTAGCAACCCCGTTCTAGCTTCAAACAGTAATGAGCACCCCAATGAATTATCATACAACGGTTCCTTTTTTATTTCTTGTGTGAAAGATTCAGCAAAATTACATTGTTGCCAGACTTAAAGTTGCCATTTAGTTTTTTTTAGTGAAAAAAGGTTTCATGTTAAAAAAGGTTTATGCAACCTGTAATGCATATTGACACAGTTATTACTTAATAAGATGATATTCTACAAGATAGGTAATTGTATTGGTGTCATTTTGCACGTTTACTGGCAAATTTACACTGACTTCTTGCAGAAGTGGTGTGACAACGAGGTTGCGTAGTAACAAGCGCAGTCACGAATCACGATACGCGAGTTTCAGATTCGAGACCTCATCAGCGCAAGCCTGCAAGTCGGTGTACATTGTTAAAATAAAGGCAATACCACTGTGTGTTTACTTTCTTTGGGAGTCACCGTTTCGTGCACGAAATTAATGCAACGGTTGCTAAGCCTCCACCAGAAGAGATAACATTATTGCACATATGCACGTTTTTCGATTTGGGTCACTAGACGTCAGCTTTGCATGAAAGTGAGCGTCGCATATTCACAACGTCTCATTTTTACCTTTAATATGCCAGTTTCTGATGTTAGGACGGATGTTTAGGAAGATGGGAAGAGTTAGGATGTACAACATCAAGCATGATAGTTCTCTGTTTAGATTTATGCGGATGTATAAAAACCGAGAAATAACGCTAATTAAAATGACGGGGCCATTTGCAATCTATGGCCTTGTCGCATTCTCGTGTGCATGCAAGCGTCCGCCGAATTATTGCCGAATCTTTGCTAAACTTTCCTTCAAAACTTCGGCATGTATGGAACTTTGCCCGAATCTGAAGTTGGGCAGATTTGGTCCATCACTAGTTTGTACCTAGTGTCGTAATGACACCACTCCCCTCTTGGAATTAAGGGTAGGAACCTCCAATGCAATTATTATGTTGCAGCAGACAATACAGCAAAATCTAAGCCAGACAAGGAAGAGGGGATTGAGAGTTGCACACCTGTTCGGCGACGCTGGATCGCTTGCTGCTGTCAGGGTCTCGCCCGTCTAGCTTCATCTTGACCCTCTTCCACACCCCCACTGCGTAGCTGTTACGTTCCTGAAGCGCTGCGGGGACAGGAGAAGACAGTGTCAGATCTGCAGCCTCATCCAACACGATCCGCAAGGCGAGATATGCAGTCCAAAGCTGGCAGAGGACAAGACAGGACAAGCCAACCGAACCGGAGCAGGAGCGGGCCACAATGAGAGACGGCATCCGTAGCCGAATTCAGATCACTCGAGCCTCCAAAACTGTCACGGCCACACAACTCAAGACATGGTTTACGACCAAGGTCAGGATGGCCCTTACCAGATTCAATGTCATCAAATTTGTCAGCGAGATACAATGACCACTTTATGAGCAATGACATTCAAAAACAATGAGCAAATTCAATGACAATGACAAATTCAATGACAGTGACAAAACTAGACCGGAGAAACACGTCGCTCACCTTTTCCGGTTCGAGGATCCTTGGCAACCTTCCGGTCGGGGGTGTCGTCGGCTCCCCGGACTACCGCCTTCTGCTGGTCGATGCCGTCTGTAACGTGTCCGTAAGCAGATACAACGTTGAGAACACAGACCCACCATTTTGGACCTTAATTGCAGTAAGCGGGAACATGGTGCTATGAGGTTCCAGGTACCATCAGAGAACCCTAACGACTGGTTCACACACTTGAGGCTGCTTACGACCGCGTCTCTTGAAATTCCTTTTTACGTAAGAGCACACTGGCGCCATCTACCAGGTAGAGGTGAATGCGTTCAGTTACCAAACAATTGCTATTTTTTTGCGCATCATTCATTCTTCCTTGGCTCTAAAATCCTTTGAAAATATTACAAATAACCATTTATCATAGTATGTGCACTTGATATCTTAAATACTGCAAAACATTCGTTCTAGTGAAGCAGCAGTTCCAGAGTCAGCTCAGATGGTGCGAGCGTGTTTTCTCATTGTAGGAGGTCACAAGAACTCGGTCCTACAAAATGCAAATGTGTCAACAGGCCTTAATGGTGCAGCGTGCAACTGCTGCAACACAATTTGGCAATTTGACATAAACTTTTTGGGATTAAATCGTTTCAGGAAGATGAGTTAGTCTTCTCAACGCCATTTAAAGATATAAAAACACGTTTATAGGACGTAACAGTGTGCCTAAGTGGTGCCAAAATATTAAAACTTAATGATGATGATGACAAATCATAGCAATTCGGTCGCTGCGTGTGAACGCAGGGGGCCTGCGTTGCTGGTGTTGCGACATCAAGCTGGGAGGAACTGCCCCGTCTAAAGTGGGCCTTGGAGTGCTCCGACGGCAACGCCAAGCACTCCCGTGTTCCCACTCACTCCGATTAAGACAGCACACTGTGTGCCGCTGTTAGCGTGAACACAACTTGGCCACTTTTTCACATATTACTTCAAAGTATATCACCTAAGTTAGCATTCCAGCCAAGCACATTCCACCACTATGGTAGTTTTGACGAGTCTTTCAATACTAAAAGAGAAAACCAGAGTGTATTGATGCCATTGCGTAACACGTGACACGGTGATAACAACTTGGCATTTGCATAATTTGCTGTTGTTACAGCGTCGCCGTCGCTTCTGCGTGTCCTCTTGAGCACGGATCTGAGGATTCTCATGCCATGTGCGTTTTTCCTCTCAACTCTACTCCCGTGCCCGATACATACTCTACCTATAGGTCGCGTTCTCTGGACCTGCTACTAATTTTCCGATGTCTAGCCGTACGGCGTGATCGTTCATCTGCTTGGACGGTTGTGCGCGCGCGCCGGCACAACGGGGCGTTGATTACGAGCACCGTCAAAATGAGAACGGCGTCTTTTTTGAACGCCACGCGCTAGTTTTTAATGCTGAATGTGTCTTTTGAGTCTTTTCCAACAAGAAAATTGCCACGAACAAGCGTCAAAGTGAGTCGTCGCAGCGAGCATCACAAACGAGTGACACGCTGGGAGTGTTACAGACGTCAAAATCATGTATAAAGTTTACATATAAAGTTCGAGCCCCGGCAGGGCTTGAACCTGGTTGGGTCTGGTGGCAGTCGGACACTACGGCTACTGAGCTACGAGCAGAGCTGGTCTGGAAAGGTTAATGTTTTTATTTGAATGCAAACGTGCCGATAAGAGCTGCAGGTCTTGGATGAAAAAATAAATAAATAAATAAAAAGGATAAATAAAATAAACAAACAAATAAAATAAATAGATACAAAGAAATCAATAAAAAAAAAGTACATTATTGTTTTTCTACCCTGTTTGTGTTTTGCTTTTTTTGTATCAAGTATTAACCCAACTTGCTCGTCAAACTCATCAAGAATGTAAAATCTAGCACAAACCGCACGGGAAGTGTGGCTTATGCGGGATACATTCCATGCTCCCCGGTCTTTGTTGGCACGATCAAGCCGGCTTCCGAAAGCCCAGCCTCAGCACGCGCTTGACACGCAAAGAGTTCTCGCGAAGGATGACCGCACAACACCCCGCAAAGGTTCCCGCCGACGACCGTCGCCGGAGAACCAAAAGAAAACGGCGCCAGCTCACCCTGGGCGCTGGCAAGTGCGGTGAGCCCCCCGTAGACGCCGGGCACCATCCCGGCCAGGTCGGCCAGCGCCCTCTGGGCGCCCTCCGAGGGACTCTCGGCCGCCAGCAGGGACCGGACCATCTCCGAGGCCTGCTCCGAGAAGCGGCGGTACAGGGCCAGGTACTCCTGCACGGGGGCGTCCTCCTGCCTCGCCAGCGACTTGAGCAGCGACCGCAGCTCCGACATCAGCTCGTGGTGCTTGCCCAGCACCTCGCTGCGCAGCGTGGCCACCTGCGGCACGGAGGGGGCGCTGTCGGTGAACGAGGTGGGCTGTCTGTCCGAGGACATTCTAGAAGTGTCGTGCTCCTGCCTGCCACGAGCCTGGTGTTCTCGGTGTCCCATATTTCCCATTCGTGAAAAGTGCTCCCGAAATGATAGCAGATGACGCCGCAGAAGCCAGTGCATCACGCTGTCGCATGTTGCGGTCACGGCAGTTGGGCGCGAAATTCCCAGAAACTGCGCAAGGCGTAAAGTTCCCCTCCGCTACCCATGGAATTATTCGCGGACCTCGATTCTAGCGCGCGTCCCCAGTATCATAATCGTGCGCGCTCGTGTAATAGCACTTGCTCTACTGGTAGACTATGTTGGAAACGTGGACTGCTACATTTAGCCGTGTTTCGACGGCCAACTAAATTACTGTCGTCTAATTGTTCACATGCCCCACGTTGATATGTGCCCTATATGTAGGATTCCGTGTTCATTTCTCGTGAAATTTGGAGGGAATTTTTTGGAGTTTAGTTTTAGTTAGACTCAATTTTTCTGAAATTCAGTGTTTATTTTATTGGGTTTCCTATTTTTACAACTTCAAAAACAGAATAAATAAAGTCCGGGTACCACGAGCCGTTGTCCCGAAGGAACTTTGATGAGCTAAGAGGCAAACCCTCCTTTTGTCAGTAGTTCGAGATTTCAAATGAGACTGAAATTGGATCTCCTCAGGACCGCTGACCCTGTGCTCTTATAAAGCTTTTTTTTGGAGAACACTGTCTTTTCAGCTTTTCATTTCGTCGTCATGACCTTGAAAATTTTCGGCTTTTCAGATAAATTCGGATTGGCAAAGATTTCGCTGGCGAGAGATTTTAGGGATTTTTTCTGATTTATTTGAAAACACGGAACCCCACCTACACGATGGATAGAAATTCGGTGGAGTCAATTCAATTAACCACGAAATGATTCTTTTCCTCTTTGAAAATCATGGGAATCAGTTTCATAGTATACACAGGCTTCAAGTAAAGGGTCATTCGGTTTTCGATTGCCAGCTTCCCTTACTTTATGACGTCGGCCTTTATGCTACATCGCCCTTCCCAATGCCTGCACATGCAACGCGGGCTCACTTCCTTCCCACTTGCCTGCTTCTGCAGGGAATTCCGACAAGAGTCCCGTGCCGCTTTGGCCTGCTCCAGTTCTTCTCTGCAAGCACTCAGCGCCACCTGCATTCATACAGAGTCATCAGGAGCTGCATCACAGCCTGCACTACACCGCAACCAATTTCAAGGTCGGCAGTATTCAGCTGCTTCCACCATCTACTGCGGCACAGCCAAGCAAGAGCTGGGTGTGTACGCACGCCCAGCATCCCAAGTAGGTGCCTCACAGCTTGGTGTCTAACAGCTATTGCCATAGAAAATGTCACCGACCTTGTCGAGCAGGGAGCGCACCCACTCGTGCCCCGCGTCCTGCTGCGGCGGAGGCGGCTTGCCCAGCAGCCGGAGCAGCTGGCGCTCGACGGGGCTGGCCCCCTGCTGGGCCTCGGCCAGCATGCAGCTCTCCTGGCAGCGGTTCACCAGGGCCAGGAACCCCGCGTCCCAGGTCAGGGCCTCCGCCGTGCGGGACCGCAGGGACTCCCGCAGCAGCAGCGCCTCGCTGGCCTCGCACACCTCCGACGAGAGCTGGCACAGGGACTGGGACCGCCAGAGAAGTCGCCGTGAGCGGCCATGGTCCGACGCCGGCGTCCAATGGCGTCGAGGCCGGTTAGCGCACTCGTCACCGCTTACAACCGAGAGCATTTGACAATGTTATAAACGACCGTTGCTTGCAAACTCTCTTGGCACCTCTCATTGCAAATGTAGACCGTAAACCGCGCGACCTCGATCGGGCAATTAAAAGGTCTCCGCGATATAGGCTCTCTAGTGTTCTCTCGACACAAGATGTCGCGAGAGGTCGTCATGCACTCGGTCATAAGCGGTCGCGAGTGTGTCAACCGGTTTTTAAACCTTTTGTCGGGCATAGATTTTGACAACTAAGAGTGAGCCTCAAAACAAAACTCACCTCGATACTTTGCACGAAGCCAACCGCTTGATGTGAGGTGTAAATGCCACAATTGCGCCCAAGAACCCTTTTCACCTTGACCGTATTTATTTTTGGGAATTTCCGACCCTCAGTAGCTTCGTTGTCATCTTCAAAATCAAATTTATTGCCTTCAAAATCAAATTTTTAGTCACTATCGAAATGGGAACAAAATTTAAAAAATTCAGTACTGCCATCTGTTGGCAGAACCGCAAACTATGCCATAAGCGAGCCTGGTTCGTCCAAAATGGTTCAGGGATTAAAAAGGCTCATTTTCATACTGAGCCATAGGAAAATTTGTGTTTTAATTTGTAACTTTCGATTCGGAAGAGTTCATTCACCTCAACATTTTCGCACAAGTGCACCATCTAGCTGCACCTCAAGGCAAATTAAGGCACCGTAGAAAACGAAACCAATTTATGAGATGTCTTAAAGCGGGCAAGATCCGCCTGGCCCACCCCACAGTTTTAAATAAAGCAAGACTGCACAATCTTTAAGAAAAAAATAATGACCCACCCTCAGGGCTTCGTTCCAACGTGCCACCAGCTCGGCAAAGAGGTCCCTGGTCTGTGTCAGGGCCGGGTTGGCGCCCACGGCCCACTTGAGACGCTGCTCCACCGCCCCCGCCAGCGACAGGTGGCCCTCGCGGGTGTCCGACAGGGCCGACCCCAGGGACGAGAGCGTCTGGGCGCCCTTGCGCATCTCCGCCAGCAGCGTGGTCCTGGAAATGGTTCCAAAGAGCGTGGGTGAACGTGCTTCCTTGCGCTAGCTTCGTCACGCCAAGGCACGGAAGCTTCCTCGATTGTTCCCGTCCCCGAGTAAGATATCCTCGAGTTTAAGCAACATTTCAGCAAACCTGTAATTTTCTCGAACTGTTCAGACGCAAATTTATGTGCGAATAATGTGCCATTGCGTCTCGGATTAGCGTGCCAATTCGAACTGCCCGTGCTGTTTGAGTCGGATAGCGATGCAGCCTTCGTGCGATACCCTTTCGTTACAGGGGTGCGTTACTGAAAGTGGCTACGAGCCGGCAACATAGCATGTTCTTCTTCGCTGTACTGTGCGACCAACGCGATTGTGACCCGATTTTGGATGAGACAAAAGTGGCGGGGAGCTTCGAAACAAAATTAGAGCACGAAATTCATGAAGCTTACATGATTAGATATCGCTGGAGCAACATCCGTACAGGCCTTCTTTCCATGTCCCTTTCTAATCAGGAGCACGCCTACATTGGCAAAGCCTGTCATATATTAGCATTACCTGGCTTTTTTACTTTGCGCTTATTACCCGGGTGCCTTTCCCTTGCAAACGTGCCCCACTTGCTGTCTTAATTCCTTTAAAAAGCTACGGCAACTGACGAAGCGGTTCGAAGTGATTGGTCACCTGGCGGGCAGAGACTGCCCTCCCGGATTGGGCAGCACCTCCTCGTGCAGCCAGTGATGCGCCGCCAATCGCAGCTGGGCGCGGTGCAGGCGCGCACGCACGGCGGCCTCCACCTGGTCTAGTCGCCGGAGGGCGTCCCTCCTGCGGCAGGCGCGCTCCAGCGCTCCGGCTGCGGCCTGGGCTTCCGGCGATCCGCCGGACCACAGTGCGGACAGGGACTCCAGGGTCCGGGTCGCTGCGGGCTCCGACCGGCTGTCGGGGGGGGCCAGGAGGGAGCACAGCGTGGCACCCAGGGCCAGCGACGGAAGGCCGAGGAGCTGGAAATGGCAGAAGCAGACGACGGCCGAAATCAGTGATGAAGGAAGCAGACGATGGTAGAGCCATCGTCTGCTCTTTCCGTGCCGAAGCTCGATTCCTCGAACCAACTGGAACCTTCGCAATTTACGAAATTTCTCGGGCAGGCTTTTCAGCGTACCTGGTTGCGGTAGACGGCGGCGATGCAGTGTTTGACCGGGCCGAACATGTGTTCCTCTGTGTCGCTGAGCAGCTGTCCGCAGAAGAACTGCTGCATGCACAGCAGGGACTGCACAAACAGCAGGTCCTCCCGGTGGGAAGACAGGCTCTCCAGGTGGGGTGGCTGCAGAAAGAGGAGGTCGTGCTCCAGGTGCCATCCGTTTCACAAACTCAAATTGCTGCTAACTAGAGTGGAATACCACTAGAACAGACTCTAGCTGAACAAACTTCTTTAAAAGTTCCCAGAAAAGTTTTGTTTTGTCCAATAATGCATCCACCTAAATGAATTTTCACTTATTCAAAATCTTTGTTGGGGCCCCTTGAAGTTTGTTCAAGTGGAATTTCACACCAACGACAAAGTTCCGTTTGAGCCAACATACCCTCCCAACTTTCGTTACATAGCCATGACCCTCCCAGTCAACGACTGTTGATCATCGGCCACTCAACTAGCCCTGGATTGGCTACTTCTTCGTTTTCCAAGTGACCTATCATTAGCCAATCACTTTCTAAAGAACTGCCACATGACTGCTCATTTTCCGATTACAACCACCTGCTGATTGGCCAACTACCTCTTTATGAAATACTGACCGGAGAACCATCTGCTATTTAACGATTGGCTAACTAACTTCTAATTGGGTAATACTTTGCTGATTCCACTCTTGTTGACTGCCCTATTATCGACCAATGACTGAAACTCAACAGCCTCTCATTTGCTGCATTTTGATCAACTACCTTTCACACTCCAGAAGTAAAGTGGAGCCAGTTGGTGTGAACAATTTGTTACCCGTGCTTATCTTTTGCACACTTTTAAGAAAGCAGGTCAGCTCTAGAACTAGGCACGAACAGAAGAGGCTAAGTCTTCCACGACCCACAACTGGAATACCTACGCAGAGAGCGGTGGCACTCCAAACGACATCCACGCTCTTCCAGTCCAGGTCAATCGTATCCAGGGTGGAATAGAGATTGGCAAGCTCAATGCCAATCTTTGCGAACAGGCCGTGGAACCCTTGCAGCAACATCTGTCCCGGGTTCATGCCTGCAATGACACCAGAGATATGTCAACGACCAAAGAAGACCAACAACAGCTGACCAGTTCAGTCGGAAAGCACAACACACAGAATGCCTCATTTCCTCACCGCCTCTTAGTAGCAGTTTTAAGGATCCTCACCCTCAACCTCTGTAAGCCAACTTAAAACTTACTTGCTCCGTCGTTCACTTTCAGCAGGTCTTGAAACGCGTCTTTCAGGTTTTCAATGGCCGGGTTTGCGGCGTACTGCACGGGAAGATGCATCGTTCGCACAATGAGCCAAGCAAAACGCACAGTACCACCAACAAACTACAGCTTCCCCCTGCTAACATTAGCAAACATCTCTCAGTGAAGTCACAAAAAAAAAAAAAGGTGATTGACTTCGAAAGAGCAGGAAATGCGCGAAAAACTTCTCCAGGTTTCTCAACGACCTGGGTTGGCTTCAAGCCAAACTCCCCAAAAAATTATACATGCTTAATCATGAAGACAAAGAGTAGGGATGTATCCTGTACAAACCACACTGTGTGTGATTTGTGCAAGATTATAAAATCTTATTATTATCTAATTTTTCAGCAATATTTTCTAATCCTTTCCATTTAGTTTAATTTATTATCTTATTTTTTACTTTATTATATATTTATTTTATTTAACATACCTCAAATCATTATACGGGTGGGGATACAAATTGGATGCCACAAAATACAACATGCAATGATGCACTTCTTACACACAAAACGAAACCATAAGATAAAAAAAAAAAAAGGAAAATAGCAACGTTGATAAATGCAATAAAAAGAAATTCACACGCACAGAGGCGTGAGTACCGCAAAGTAATAATTCACATTATGTTTTAAATTTTGTTGTATCTGTAATTTCCACAATAATATGGGGCAGAGAGTTCCACTGGGAAATGGCAAGCTGCAACAGTGAGTTGAGAAATTGATTAGCACACAGTTTTCGTAAGCAAATGTTATGATGATGTCGCGCCTAAAAAATTGCGGTAAGGGGAAGGTAATAACTGGGCCTTGACGGGAACATCAAAATAATAATGTTGCAAATGAACTCAAGACCTTACAACCGGTGCCTAATGAAGGAGAATTCCCTTCATGTTTCTGGGGCCGACACGCTCGTAGATCATGAATAATGTTTAAATATAAAACAAGCTCCTTGTTTTGAATTCTTTCTATTTTGTTGATCACATAATCCTGATAAGGAGCCCATATGACACCAGCATACTTAAACAGAAACCTGACGAGTGATTCGAATGCTAGAACATGAGTTTCAATACTAGACGCCAAAAACAATTTTCGCCTAATTTTTGCCCAACGATTGGCTTACCTTATTTACGACGCAATCAATCTGTTCAATTAAGCAGCGAACACACCCGCTCGAGAAGCGCCCCAGGCATCATAGTACCGTAAAATCCAGCAGGAATGCCCTCCCCCGGAAGATCGCCCGTCCAGTGTTTCTGGTTAAATATCCGCAAGACTGAAAATTCCAAAACATCCCCCACCCCCATTTGTTGTCGGAGGTTGTGCGACAACCGACGGAAATCGCATCAACCGCGCGACACGTGGTGCCGGAACGTGTGACAAAAGAGTTCACAGCGGGTTCCCGCACGCTCATCGCGCCACGAAACACGAATCTGCCGTGTCCGCGGTCTGCGACATCAGTTCCCTCGATGTGCAAGTTCCCGCGTCTTACCGTCTTGTTCCCAAAGATGGGCACCCTATATTATTTACCATTTCTCTCTTCTAAATGGGCGGGCGTTCGTACGGGATTTTACGCTAGGATAGACTGCAGGAGAGTGTAAGGAAACGCCGACCGTGGCTCCCTCGGTGACCCGCTGCTGCGTCTGCGCGACGAGCTCCGTCAGGTCCGGGCCCTCGTGCGCAATCCCGTGCAGGGTCCTGACCAGCGAAGCAACGCTCGTGTCGGCGGCACGCTTCAGGGCCTCAGGGAGGATTACTGTCTGGAACTGCACGCTGAGGTCCTACGAGGAGTGAGCGGGCATCCGTTTGGTCGAATGTTGTTGAGGAACCGACGCAAGAACGAAAACACACAAACAAATTTTGTGCAACACTGGCGTGCAATTCAAACGACTGAAAAACTAGTGCTCAGTATTTGTCTGTCCCAAATAAGCAAAACGTTACAGTCAAACCAGTTTATAACGAACAGCAGGAAATGCTACGATCAGTTCGATATAGCAAGTAGTTCGATATAGCAAAGACCCATTTACAACGAATTTCCACGATGCGTTCGTTGTAAGGCGAGAGCTTCTTTTCCTTTCTCATATCTTTGCTTCTGCCTTGTAACAACGTGCTAAAAAGTTTTTTTTTTTTTTTTTGCATGCGTGTAGTTTTTTTTTAGCTCATCTCCCCTTCTGAATCACTTCCCTTCACTCAATTTCATTCGCAACTTGAGCTTTTGGAATTTTCTTTCTTTCCCAGTTTTTTTTGGGAGGAAGAAACAGGCTAGAAGTCGATTGTTTGTGCATTTTTAATCCTTTCCAGGTGGAAAAGTTTGACATAGCCAATATCTTGTTCGTTATCAAAAGTACTTTTTACATGTATTTTTACTTAAATTTTCAGTGAGTTCGATATAGACGATAATTCGCTGTACGTGGGTCGTTCTAAACGGGTTTCACTGTATATGGACCCGACAAAATAGTGGCCTTATTTGGCAAACTGGTGTTTTCCTTGAAAGTGTACCCTTTGGTACGTTCTTCACTTTATAAACAAGGTACGTACAGGCATAAGGACTAGACAAAACGTGCAAACAATACGACTGCATAAAGACTTAAAGGCATTATGAAAAGCGAAAAACATGCAAACACTACAATTCCTCCCGAGGGAAAATGACGGAGCAAAATGCATACCGACTGTCCGCATTAAGATAAAACAACTGTAACAATAATAGTAATTTACAATTGAAATAAACTGCGTGACGCATGCTGCTTAGAGACTAAAGCCAACAGCAATGAAAGGACAGCATTTTTTTTTCTTGGCGGGAAGCTAGTGCGAAGTCACCTGCGGGGCATAGCGGAAAAAGACCCAGGAAATGGGAATGTGGCGAAAAACAGGAATTTTAACTGTAGCGGTACTCACGAGCAATGCAGCAAAAACATTGTAGATGGTCTCAATCACACCGCACATGGGCAGCATTTCTGCCGGTGGGTCCTGCAGAAGACATAAGACGAGCGTAAGTTACCATCTTCAAATCAGTCGTATATTAATACGTGCCAAAGCTGGCTCGTACCAAAGTATTACGGTCAAAATCGACATTACGAATAGAAATGTATTGTGCCACCTGCGTGAAATCAAGTTCGGCAAGGCACTGCACACCAGGGGAGCATTTATGGGGCCTCCTCGTTTCCCTCCTTTAGCGGTGTACGCAGAGATCATCTGGTGTCACACTGAGACACCTCGTGACATCGCAAAGCCACGTGGTACCACGACGTCAAAGTGTAGCGTGACGCCGTGGAAGACCGAAAAACGCTACGCATTCAGAGTGTCCTTGGGAGGACGTCGGCGTCACGTGACGTTGCGACGTCGTAGAGGCCAACGGAAATGCCGAGACTTGACTCCACAGATGCTGCGCGAAGATGCTGGAGGGAAGGCGTCAACGACGAGAGGACCCACCAGGCGTGCGAGCAGAGCGGCCGTCTGCTGCGCGAGGAAGCACTGCCCGTGCAGGTCTTGGAGGAACCAGTCGCTGCCCCAGAACTGCAGCTCGGGCAAGTGGTCCCCAGAGGCGGCGGCCGCCGTCTCCATGACCAGCAGGTTCTGGCTGCAGGAGCACAGGCAGCCCAGCAGGGCCCCCAGGACACCCACACGGCCACAGCTGCCACCCTCCTCTACGGACCCTGCGAGGAGGAGGCAGCACAGAAAAAGTTTTGGTGGCAAGTCTGTTCACATTGATCTCTTCCCATCTGTTGCTTTCACCTTGCTTCCTAGGCTTTTTGAAGTAATCTGTTAGGCACCGAAAGATTACCCCAAAAGCGTTTGTGTCTCGTTACCTAGGAGCTAGGGAATCAGGCGCACGACCCGTTCGACGTCGGTCGGCTTTATGCCAAGGATAGAGATAAGCTGCGCTAAATGTTTTACTGTTTGCTCCTTCGGTAGCGGTGAGCTTTGGGACGCTCATAACCCACCTTCTTCCCAAGCATCGTGTTTCGTGGTCGCACGAGTTCGTATACAGGGACTAAAATGACGCTTTTGCAAGTCGCTCGGCTAGCACAACGGGTACGGCGTCGGAGCGTTGACCGAGAGGGTGTTGGCTCGATTCTTGTCGAGGAACAAAGGGATCTTTGCACAGATGGCTGCTTGCGTTGTTTTTCATTACAACGCTTCATGATACCCGACACCTAGGTGACAACCCTAAAACGCATCCCACATTAAAGCAGCGTCGTGAGCGTTACCAGAAAAAAGTAACAAAATACGTTACTCGGACATAAAAGGAACGTGTCACCAACCCACGTCGCCTCACTATCAAAATAAACGCGTTACCGTTACAGTTACTGATAAAAAGTTAACGCACATTACTTTTATGTTTTTTTTTTTATTCATTAATTGATAGCGACGGTGTTTTTTGAGACACGAGGACAAAGGATATGGGCGTTGTGGTTTTACTAGGATAGGAATGTTTCTGTGGGGAAAAGAGAGGCAAAACTGGGTATACCTAGGATGAAAGCACGAATTCACACAACTCGGTGCCTAGAAACATGAAACGAATTGAAGCGTAACTTTTTAAATCTTGGGAAGAAGATGCAACAAGTAATAGAACTATGTTACCCGTTGCTTGAAATAAGTAACAAAATTATGTTACCCGTTACTGTTTTGAAAATGCGACGATCTCATTGCCACGGTACCGAAAAAAGCAACGCGTCACCAACAATGCCGTTACTTGTGACTCGCTGCAGCCAACGCTGGTCAAAATGGGATGTGGTATGGCAATGCCTAGCGAACCTGCAGTCTTTTGCGACTACAATGCTAAAAGAAACGTGGCAGGATCTCACCTTGGGCAAGGGACATGAGGGCCGCTTGGGCCTCGGGCAGGTAGTCGTTCCCTTCGGCCTGCCTCCTCTCCAGGATCTAGAGATAAAATATACAACAGAGATTTTCTTATGGTATCTAGTATTTTTTTACAATATCGTATTTACTCGCATAATGAACACACTTTTCTTCTTTTTTTCGAAAAAGTAACACATTTGAGGGGGAGGCGTTTATTACACAGGGTAAAATTTTTGCATTTACACACAGCTCACTCAGCATGGACAGCAACGCGAACGTTCTTAGGCCTAACCACTTTCACGCTATCACTGTTCGAAAGCGGATAACAGACGGCGGCATGTTTGTTGACATCAATGCATCCGATGGACGAAGCACGTTTGGGGCCGGGCGATTTCTCGACCCCAGCTTTGCTAGGCATGCGCGCCGCTTGGTTTCACGGTTGATTATTTCCGCAACCACGCAACTGCAGCCATTACGAGAGTGACTTGGCTTGACTTGTCCTGGCAGCTTGGCAGCAAAAGAAAACTGGCGGGCTTGGTGGCTAGCCGGCTAGCTAGTAAGTTGGACGCAGTTCAAGACACACGGATCCGAAAATGAAAAGTGCGCTCATTACGCAAGAAAGAAAAAAAGTCGAAATACTGATGGCTGTTCGGGGGGTACATTCATTATGCAAGTGTGTTCAGTATGTGGGTAAGTACGGTAACAGTTACAAACAACATATTTTTTACGTTTACTATTACTACATTTATAAAATGCACATTTATATAGTTGCGCTGATTCAAAGTATACCACGGTAAGGCTATCTAAGAGTATGTTTTGAAAAAGGTTTTTCTGTTTTCTCACAATTCAACTTTTTGTCACAACGCAAAGCTTTTTTTTTTTTTTTTTTTCATTGGTATCTTTGGATCTAGAATTTGGATATTAGTACTTTTTCAAGGTTGGATACCAGAGAGTGCAACGAGACTAATACCTCTGGAAATGTTAACTACAAAATTTTCTAATTTGCAAAGACTTCAGTGGCTCATTTCTAATCGGCAAAAGAATTTCGCCTTGGGATAACTTTTTCTAAAAAGGTGCTAAAATGATAAGAACAATATTGTTGCACTTTCTATTGTTTGCAGAACAAGCTGACATACTACTTTGTAGCATGGTTTTAGATAGGAGGTATTGTAAAAAAAAGTGAAAGTCATTTACAACTCCCTGTAACGCTGAATTAGAGCACAGCTCTTGAGGAGGAGGAGGGGAAGGTACTGAGGGGGGGGTCACGTAACCTCGTGGGGGTGTCACGTGACCTGGGAATCACGTGACCCCCCAGAGAAATTTTTCTACTAGGGTAGATTTAGCGGGGAAATATTTCCGCTAGGTTTAGAGAGAAAATTTTTCTGCTAGGTTTAGGGGGAAATTTTTCCGCTAAATTTAGCGGGGAAATTTTTCCGCTAGATTTAGCGGGGAAATTTACCCATAATGCACCGCGCGGTTACGCCGATGGCAACGGTGACGCCACTCAACCCTGAAACAGGCGCCTAAGAGCCGAGCTCTAAAAAAAAATTTGGGCAAATGCCTTTGTGATAAAGTTACGATTTCTTTTTATAAACATAATAGACAGGAAAACAACATGCTTACGTTTCTGCTTAGTGTCAAAAATAAAATTAGACGCGAGAATTTTGTATTGTTCGAGCGAGAAAGGACAGAAGAACGCTCAAGACCAGGGTCTCCCTTTAAATTGCAAATGCTCCCCATGGTTTGGGATAGATACTCTCATCAATCTAGGCTTCCCCTCGTTGCAAGAGATCGCAAGAACTCGGCTGAAGCAAAGGCAAGTGCCCGAACGGCTCTTTGGCGGCAACCCAGAGGCGTGGCGGGCGGCAGGGTTTGCTCACGTTGACCAGACACGCGTTGCAGTCGGCCACGGTGCCCTGCAGCTCGTAGTGGCGCGCCACGGCCGCCTGCGCCGCGGCCAGCTCGGTGCCCACGCCGTAGTGGTGGTGGAAGTCGGCAATGACGTCCTGGCAGCGCGCGAGGGTGAAGTCCTCCTGCAGATTCTCCAGCCAGCGCTGCCAGTGCTGGGTGCGGCCCGGGTGGCACCACCCGGAGGGGCACTGGACCACGATGGCGGCGTACGTGCCCAGCAGCTCCAGGGACGTCTGCAGCGAGCCGCGCAGCTGGGCCACCAGGGAGAGAAGCTCCTCCTCGCTCTGCTCGCACTGGGGTCACCAGAAACGACAGTTCTAAAGCATGAAATACGTTTTAACTCAACCTCCCCCCAATCCAAAAATTTTGTTTGTCGGTTCATCCGCGTATTTCCCGCTGAATTTACCGGGGCAAATTGACGTCGCATAATCTATTTGACAATTTAGTATCCACACAAATTTATGCGTCATGTGACCCGCGCACCAATTCAGTTTTCCCACTAGATTTGGCGGAAGAATGGATGTCACGCGACACGTGTACCGAGTCATTTTCCCCGCTATATTTAGAGGGAAATTGAAGCCACAGGACGTGATGCCACGTAACCGAGATTTCAGCTGCACGTCAAAAGATCCCCGGGCGGTCGAAATTAATCCTCGGTCCTTCGCTGCGGCAAGCTATGTGCCCTTCGTTGGCTGAAACCAAGTTACACTGAAACCAAGCCTAGTGTTCAACTTCCTCACCCACTCCAATGCGCCAACATAAGAAGCTCCTGTACGACTCCCAACCCCTCAGTCTCTTCACAAAAAGCTTCCCTAAGAACGGTTTGCAAAAACACCTTAGTGACGAGACCTCAACCAGTCTGAAACGAGCCTGTCGCCAACACGCGCTCCTACCGCAGTGCTAACCATGTCGCCAACTTGGTGTTCTTGCGGTTGCTTAGAGAGGCTCTTCCCCACTTTGCAGAGTTTGCCTAAAAACGCGGTGCAGCATTTCCTCCGGCCACGGACGAACGATGCTCGCACCCCCAGACACAAAAAGGCACATCACCTGCTGCAGGAGTTGTCCCTGCCCCGACGACTGCAGGAACTCTGCCAGAGGACCCAGCGTTGCCACGGATTCGAGGCCCGGCTCAGTGGAGAGTGCCTGCCGCCACTGTTCGGGCGGAGAGCCCGAGGCAAGGGCAGCCATGGCCGCGTTCTGCGAGCAAAACGGAAGGACTCCAACAAAACTGTAGCAGCTGGTCCCTGCCAACGGTCTATTGCCAGCTACAAGCTCGTAATGAATGCAGCAGTCCCAATACTGTACTCATCCTGCCCAGAGCCAGCATGGATGTCAGACAATTTTACGGTTGCTCATATTAAGACAAGCGGGAAAGAAAAACCCGCACGTTGGTCTCTTTGAGTGAAACTCTGATAACTGCAACTTTTAGAAAGTTTCTTTGACACCATTAGCTATTGGGCAGGAGATTGAACTATAGGGGGCGCTCTGACCCGTTTGTTTTCCCCACGCTCGGTGTTTACTCAACACAAGGCCTGTACACATGCCAACAGGCCTTATGGGCATGGCCATGTCATCTTCTACAATAGAGCGCGGGGCACAGTTTAATGTAAAAAATACTAACAATCGACGAAGCGACGTTAAGTGCCGGATCTATCTTCTGAGAATGCGAGCTTGACCCACTTCGGCTTTTGTGCTAAGCTGGGATCGTGCATGCTGCATTGTTCATGCAGGCCGTCGTGAAAACAAAAGAGCCCCTCCTCCCCCTCGCCGGAGAACACGAACTCCAGTCGAACGCTGACGCCGCGTTTGGTTATGTCGGCCGAGCGCTGCGTCATTGTATTTGTTGTCCCCATCCGTGTAGTTGATAAGTTAACCGCTTGGGGCGTAACGGTCTGTCCTCCTCCCCAATACTGCAGCCACGGTGATTTCCAAAACCAGAATGGAAGTGACCGTTACAGCTTCAGGGATTCGCGTCCAGTACGTTTGTCAAGTGTCGTTGCTCTGGCAGCTAAAAGCGTTTAAAGTGTGCTCCAGTGCTTTCGGGCTAAAGATGGCCCGAGTGTGTTCTCTGGTCATAGGCGGTTAAGAGCGAGCACAACGCACGCGTGCAGACACAAATGCAGATGTGTGAACGGGCTTTTAAGCTCCAACATGTACCGTTGTCAAAAGCAGGAAGCTCGCGCCGGAGGCAGGACAACTTAAGCTCCCTCCCGTTCTCACCTTGTCAGCGACTATAGCCGATATCGGTAGATAGCCAATACCTATAACCAGCCAAAGCCGGTCACCAGCCGACGCCGGTTAGCAGCCGACGTCGTTTAGCAGTTGACGCCGGCTAACAGGAGACGCCAGTTAGAAGCCGACACCAGTTGGCAGCTAACCCCGATTAGCAGCCAATGTCGGTTGGCAGTTGACGCCGGTTAGCAGCAGATGCCGGTTACCAGCCAAAGTTGTTTAGCAGTTGATGCTGATTACCAGCCGACACCAGTTAAAGGCTGATGCCGGTTACTTGCCAAAGCCGGTCAGAAGCTGATTCCAGGCAGCAGCTGACCTTGGCCAGCTGCTGCCAACCAGCGTCAGTCGCTAACCTGGTCCACGCTTCCTGGCTAACAGCCGACGCCGGTTAGCAGCCGACGCCAGTTAGCAGACGCCGCGGTTAGCAGCCGACACCATTTAGCAGCCGACACCGGTTAGCAGCCGATGTCGGACATCAGCCACTGGTAGAGGTGTGAAGTCCCTCCCCCCTCACCTGTAGCTGGCCCCAGTGGCGGCATTCCTCCAGCTTCTCCCCGAGGGCTGAGAGGGCAGACTCCTGTGCTCCCTGCACCAGGGCCCACTCGTGGTAGCGGGACGGAAGTGAGAACAGCGGGTGGTCTTTGCCCTCCGAGGCCAGGGCCTCCTCCAACAGCGTCTGCTGGGCGCACGCCTCACCCAGACGGTGCTCCGCCACCTGCACCGACGCCTGCGAGACGCCACGGGTACCCCCGTCGGTCGGTTGTGGTACGCGAGTCGCGGCGTGCCTAGCGGCGTTAGCTGAAGAGCGCAAAGATTTGAAGTTGCAACTTTGAAAGTCTAAGTTGGTAGCTGCTTCGAGGGTAGGAGTTCCGACTCGCAGAGTTCAGTGTTCACTATATCCCGTGGGCCAGATGATCTTACCCACGCCATAACTGCCAAGTTCGAATAGCTCTATACCTGTAGCTTTGAGATAACTCTACAACAGTACAGTTAGAATAACACTACAACTGTACAATTTCTACAACTGTAACTGCACAATTCGAATAACTCTAAACCTGTTCAAAATGAGAAACTATATAACTGTACACTCAGAATAGTAACTCTAACTGCACAAGTGAAGTAACTCTATAACTGAGCAATTTGAATAAATCGCCAATCAGAACGGTTTGAAACTATTCTCCAGATAACTATAGTCAGTTACAGGTTAAGAAGGTAGCGGCAAATGCCCCTCAAAGGGAATCAGATATCCCTCCGCCACCTTTGCATCCAATAGCGTCCCACCGTTTCCGTGACGTCGCGGACAACGCGCGAGGAGGGTCTTGCCTTTCTGTACATATTTGCTTTATCTTTCGACTTCGACTTAGCATTGTGGAAGCCACGAGAGGGAGATTAGAGTTCTCCCCCACCGACGGAAACAAATACGACTTTCGGGGACTAGCTTCCCCCCCGATGGATACAAAGGCTGCTTTCAGGGGCTCGGTTCTCTCTCCGAGGAATACAAAGGTCGCTTTCATAAAAAGTGGGATCGGAGACAAGTGGGGAATCCATTGAAGTGGAACAAGGAGCGTTTCCAGTGAACTCTTCTTTCGACTGCGGAGAGATTTGAAACGGGCGCATCACACTTGTGGGAGGAGCTTCTCCTACCTTCTTGACTTGTAACCGACTATACACAATTTCAAGCACTGCAACTGTAAAATTAGAATAAATCCGTAACTGTACAGTTCCAATAACTCTCTAGTAACTCTATAACCGAGCAATTGAAATAAATCACCAATCGATTAAACATCCAACTATTCTCCCGCCAACTAAACGATTCCAAAAACTCTCCAACTGTAGAATTTGAATAACTTCACGAGTGCACGATTCGAATGACTCGCTCGACACAAGAACCGCGTCGACCCACCTGCGCCTCGTGCCACTCCTGGAGAGAGGTGGACACTCGCTCCAGCGCGCTCGCGAGCTGCTGCCCGTTCTGTCCCCACTGCTGGGCGGTCTCCCGCAGCCGGATGGCGAGCAGCGCTCCGGCCATGTCCCGCTCCAGTCGCGAGGAGGGTGACGCCCCCCCGCCGCTGTCCCAGTCCACCAGGGGGTCGTACACGAAGGCCTCGAGCAGCGTCAACAGCGTCTCGCGGCCGCGACGAAGCACCTTCAGCACCTGCATGCGAGACGCAGAGAAGCGATTCTATACAAGCATGCATGAAATGAGAAAAAAAATGGCCTTAGCCTAATACTTCTCCACACAAAGCCAATTGACACAGAATGCATCCTGTCAAATCAAAATAGGGTGACATGAAGTCAACCTGTTGTAATCTGCTTGCTATCTCAAGTCATGTGGGCACATGGTCAGTAAAGCTATCGGCCATTTGGTCATGTGACCATGTAATGTCATAGTGTCGGGCGACACCGTGACGCCATAGCATTACGTGACTTGGTGACGTCCCATGACACGGACGTCATAATGTAGTGTTGCCATGACGTCATTGCGTCAAGCCAAGGTCTTATGTGATGTCATGTCATATGACAGTGTTACACATTGTCATGTGACATAAGTCACTTGACACTCATGACGTCACATGACAGTGTCGGAGATTGTCACGTGACATCACATCCTATGACAGAGTGTCGCGCATTGTCATCTGACTTATCATGACACCGTCCGCTAGATTTTGTGGGGCACAAGTCTGATAAATTTAGAGGACAATATTCCAAAGGTTCTCTGCGATGCACTTTTGTGCACGTGCGGCGGCGCGAGTGTAGAGTTTATGGTCACACACACGAAAAATGTATGAAATCCTAGCCACGAACAGCTTCGCTGTAAAACCAAGACATGTGAATACAGACAAATTTAAATTACTCATTGTGCTCTTGCATGCATTTGAATGCAAGCACGAATGCATAGGACAAAAGAAATGGTGGGCACACAGCACACTGGAAGTCTCAAACGAGCCCCCGCAAAATAGGAAACCAGGGGGCGAGGACGTAAACACCCAACTGACCTGTTCGCAGGCTAGCCGGAACTGTCCCTCCACGCCTGTGACGCCCAGGGCTGCTTTGATGTTGGGTGTCATGCGGAAGGGCACCTTCTCGGGCACCCTCAGGTTCTTGCCCTTCTCAAAGCACACGTTGTAGTCAATGTGCACCACCTGCACACAACAGCACCACACGGGGGGTCACACCCAATTCCGGCGGGCCTGATGGTTTCAATTCATAACTCGTCGTTCTAAGCAAAAAACAAAGTGGCCATTTACACGCCAAATAGTCCTCAGCTCCTAAACTTTGTCTACTGTTCCCGTCCCGAAAAAAGTGGTTTCCTAGTTTTATCACTATTTTAGAAGATCTGAGACACATATTGATGTATGGTACGACTATCTGCTAAACATTTCTTGGTACTACAAGCATTATAGTTACAAGACCTCCAGGCCTCTCCAGCACTTACTGTATCATTGCCAAGACTGGGAGAGGCTCCTCGGCTGTTTATTGGAAGAGGCGGGCATTCCTCGAGATTGAAAAGTTTTTACAGCACTAGCTGCACTGGGCGAATGTCGTGTTGCCGGCAACTAACAAAACATGCGCACGTTTATCGCAAGTGGCTTTGGTGCCACGAGAGGGCGGGTCCAGCAGCGATACCCTCAACCTTTTGCCAATAATAGTCGCAGTAGAGGTGCAGTGCATTTGGCCAATCGCGATTGCACTGGGATTCACGTGATTGTCCTCCTTGTTAACGGCTCGTTCTCGCCTTCGGCGGCACATTCTCTCGTCACACTAAGCCTCTGCGGACAAGAATGGGGCGGCCGAAGCGTACGTTGGAACAAGCAGCGGCTGCTAGACGGCGCGCCCGCAAGAAAGGACGTCGTCGACGTGTAGGCGCCGACGGTCTCACCCCATGTGTTAGGACGCAACGTATCTGACTACAAGATTGTGTTGTGTGTGAAGGTGAAGCGGCACGTAGAAGGGAACGCTACTGAGTGAAGAACGGACATGCCGGTGTGACCGAGCAATCTGTGCGGCGCATCCGCAAGAACGCCGTTTGGTGGTGCCGTTTCGCGCGTGATTGGTCGTGGTTTACGAGAGACACCGCACGACGCGTCATTGCTCGAGGACTCGGCAAACATGCCAGCTGGAGATGCGTTTCAGTCGCCGCACGATCCGCGGTTCAACGAGCCAGGCGCCCCACCTCGCCGGAGCGCAGGTCTAGGAGCACGTTGTCGAGGTGGCGGTCGCCGAGGCCGATGACGTAGCCCACGATGGACATGACGGCCGTGGAGCGGTTGAAGGAGCACGTCGTCTGCCACCAGTGGGCGGCGCTGGCGGACGCGCACCACAGCTCCCTCGCCACCAGGTCCCGGGGCGTCTCGTCCATCAGCTCCTTCAGGGTCTGCACCAGCACCGAGACGGGCCACTCCCGCCGGTTGTCCAGGTTGGTGATGCCCTGCACGCAAGAGCCATCGCCCAATCAATAACTCCATCAATCGGTCATCTGACCAATGAATCAGTCAGTCATCTGACTAATCAGTTAACTGATCAGTCAATGAAGCCAGAATGGTTGCAGTTCAGCAAGCTGAATGTGCACCGAACAATCAGTACTCTCGTCTGTCGTCCGGGTCGGTGATTCCCTGCACCTGATAGTCATCGCGACATGCCCAATCAATATGGCGTTCCTTGGAACAGTGCCGCAAGACAGCCAATCAAAGTTTTCCATCAATTCGCAGCTACAGACTACAGGCTTCGCTCCATGGGAAAGGGGAGTTTAGGTGTCGCTTGGCGCGGCTTCAAAAGCTGATAACACCGGTTCGCTCCATGGGACAGGTAACGCATTAAAATTGTACAGACCTGCATCAATCCACAGTACAGTCGGAGCGATAGCTGCAAGACGTCACGGCAAAGTCGTTGGGCTTCGGCGTCGCGTTCATGCACCGTGGGGTGCATAAACAAAAGCGTTCGGAATGAAACGAACACCTGACCAATTTATTTTGAACACCTTTGTTTCTTTTCTTCTGGAGTGCATGAAAGCGCATCTTCTGGCACGAGCTCTTGTTATTGACCGTGCTACAATAGCATTCTGCTAAGAGCTTTTTTTTTCTTTTTTTACGGAGAGCACGCGCAGAGGGCATTGGATACCACAAGAATCCGTTGCAGCGCAGCTCTGTGGAAAGGCCTCCGCATAGCACACAGCAGGCCCAGGTTCGATTCGTGTGGGCAGCGGGCAATCTCTTTCAACGATTTGTCAACATTGACGACGGACACCTTATGCCCTACTACAGCTACAACATCAAAAACAAGGACTACAACTACAACATCAACAACGAAACAAGAACCATTCTCAAACAACGCTCTTCCGTGGAGCTTGTCAACCGACGGATCTAAGAACGTCCTTCTCACCTGTTCCTTGAGCAGCGGTGTCAGCTTGCCGTAGAAGAGCTCCGAAGGTCGTAGCGCGGGGGCCGCTTCCCGTTGCTGCCAGCGCTTGTAGAGTGCAAAGAGTGGGGTGACCCCGTCCAGCCACTGGATCAGACCCGACCTGGAGCCCAGTGGGGTCACGGCATAGTGGCGTGCCCTCGGCGCCACGCTGCCCACATTGCCTCCGCCGCCACCTCCGCGTGCGAGGAGGTTGTTGCAGATGGAGAGGAGCTGCATAATGCGCTCGTCCAGATGGAGGTCTTCCATGCCCTTGAAGAGGAACGTGTACTTGCGGCCGTCCGAGCCCTGGGGGAGGGCAAAGAACGAAAAGTGTGAAATCTTCAGATGGCGGCATTCGGCGAGAGATGCTCTTTCGCCAACATACCGCAAATGGATTGATTTTGGCTTATGGGGCAGTATTCCTCCAACAACTTTCTCTGGCGTCTGCGACTATCCGAGCATTACTGTCCTATTAATTTGGCAAAATAAAGCTGTCTACCGACAATGAGACCAGTGGTGTGCTGAACTTAGCCGACGAGACTCCTCATAGGTGGGAACAAATCCTAAGACACAAAGCCTCGAATGTTCATTCGTATTTACATGATTCCCAACTGACATGCAACAACAAAAAGCGGGAGGTCAAATTTTTTTTGCACGTGTGTACAGGTTTTGTTGTCTCGAGCCAGACATGTTTTGGTCAACCAGTAGCATAGGCAGAAACTCTTTTTGGGGGTGGCTGGGATTTCTTTTGAGGTTTGGGATGACCTTTGGGGAGGGGGAGGGGGCGGTTCCTGGCATAATGTATGTGTATGTTATAGGTAGAGTTCCGTGTTTCCAAATAAATCCGAAAAAGTCTGCCGGCAAATTTTTCCGCAATTCGGATTTATCGAAGAAAACTTCAAATTTTGAGCTCAGAACGATAAACTAGAGAGCAAAAAAGACAGTGTCTTCTTGAATAAACTTCATAAGAGCACAGGATCAATGGTCCTGAGGAGATGTCACTTTAAATTTACTTCGAAATCTCAAACTACTGACAAAAGGGGTTTGCCTTTTAGGTTAGGTAAGGTTAGGTTAGCTCGTCAAGGTTTCTTCAAGACAACGGGTCATGATACTTGGACTTTATTTATTTTATTCTTGAATTTAAAATAAACTGGGAAGGCAGTCAAACAAAATCAGAATTTACGGATTTCAAAATCCTCAGAATTTCACAGAAATAAACTCTGAAAACATGAAATCCTAATTTTAGGATCTATTTTTTAAGACGGGAGAGAGGGGCTGCAGGTAAAATAAAAGCTTTTTTTTTTCTTTCCCTATATTTACCTTTAAAACTGAAATTTTGAGGAAGCGTCCTGCAGCAAGTTAAAGTGGCACGGGGACTGGATGCTCACCTGAAATCCCAGCTTCTTGGGCTTGGTCTTAGTGGGGAGCACAGCAATGGAGGACTGCACCGCAGCTATGCGCACGTCTCCAGAGCACCCCGGCATTGGAACCTGCAGCAAGAAGACCCGATGATAGCATTGCACAGCATTATTAGTTCTTTATTGGCACAAATAAAGGCTTTATTATTATTATTATGATGATGATGGCCTTGGGCAGAACTCAACAAAAAGCTTTGCGGCGGGCCGTACAGTAGACTCTCATTAGTGCTGTCTAAGACTAATGTAAAATTTTTTTCTTTCTGCATTTAAATGAGCTTAAAGCGTCAATTTCCTCATGAAACCGTAGCCAAGGGACAGAGTGCTTTAATTATCCGTTAACACTCCGTCCCTTAGCGGGAATCGAACCGCAGACCCCGTGCTTCGTTCCACAAACGTAACCGTACACGGGAGCATGGCAAACACGTCGGTCCAGCCGGACATGCGTTCCAGGTTTGCCGAGGAGAGAGTTTTGCTCACCCTGGAGTCCCTGAGCTGGGCGAGGGCGGGGGAGACGCGCTCCATGAGCAGCTGGGGCCCCTCGTCGTGGGGCCTCCGCTGGAGCCGCAGGTGCAGGCGCCTGAGGGCGGCCCAGCTGGCCTGGGGCCGGGAGGGGTCGGCGGGCTCCCTCAGGGCGCTCAGGGTCTCCTCGATCAGGGGCCCCAGGGTGTCCTTGAACCAGAGCTCGTGGGGGGTCTCCGCCTCCCGAGACACCAGGCTCTGCAGTTGCTCGAGGACGCGCAAGGTCTGCGGGGGGAGGAGGGGGGTAGGGCGGAAACGTAAGGGTTTCATTTTAGCCGCCTCGAGGGCATCCGGAAGATGCCTTAGAATGCCGAGGAGGCTAGGGCCGCTGAAGAGGCAAGAACAACGAGAAGGAGCCCCAGTTGCCTCGCCTTCGGCACAAGTTTCCTATTTCCGACCATGCTTCAACGTTTCGTGTAGCTCGAGAATTCCAAAAACACGCCCTGCTGTTCTCACTCTGACTATAAAGTTGCTAAAGAGCTGCAGCTACATTAAGAGTAATGGCAGCCATCGTTTTGCAATATTCAACCCTCATTGGTGCATTAGTGTAACATTATTTGCAACATCTAGCGGTCACTAGTGTGTTTCTGTCGCAAATTCTGGAATATTTAACGATCATTTGTGGGTTTGAGTGACATATTCCATAACACTGAATGCTGATGAACGTGTTAATGTCACATAACGTTTCTTGACGTGCCTGCCGCTCACAGGAGCTGCCCTTCTGACTCAAAGAGGCAGATAGTTCTGAAATTATTCTAGACAAATTAGAACCTTCGGGCAACATCATTTCATTCTGTCGCAAACTGTCTCCCATCAAGTGCTTCCTGCGCTCTCTGTAAGGCCTGTCAGCAAAGGTCAGTGTGAGTTGGCAATGCTAATGCTACGTAACAAAATTAGTAATGTAGCTTCACACCGGAGTGTGACCTTCACGGTTAGTGTAGCCAAGCTGTCGCTAAAGCCGTCTGGTACGACAAAGTCCATCACGAGATCCGTCGCAGCTAAAAAGGTCCGTCCACTCACGGGGCAGAGGAAGACGGCGTGCTTGTCTCGGATGAGCGACTCTCGTTGGGCGGGGCTCAGGCTGGGGTTGTTCCGCACCCGCCCCACCTCCTCCTCCAGGGTGCGGATGCGCCGGTGCGCTTCGGCGCTGTGCACATTCAGCGCGCTCAGCCACAGCTCGTCCCAGAGCAGCGTGATGCGTCGCAGCTCTTGCACCAGCGAGCGGACCTGGGCAAGCGTCGACGAGAGAGAAAAACAAACGGTGCTAAGACCTATATGTCGGTGGAAAAGCGTGCCAATGAATTGTAGGTGGGACATGGCTGCTAAAGGCACTAAAGAAGTGTTCCAAGTCCATCTTGTGGGAATAGAATAAGGGAGTGACCGATAGGCAAGATAAAAAATAATTTACTGGTTAGTATAGTATTGTGCAAATATTTGAAATTTCAAATATTTGCGCAACAAATATTCTCACAAATACACCGGAACCAATGCAGGGAGGCCACACCTACAAAAGCGAGCTCTGTGGATGTTGCTCCTCCACGGGGTAATGGTACTCGGTAAGAGGCGCATTCAACGAGACAACCCTCCTTAATCAACACCCTTAAAAGTATGCATATTGCAACTGCATACTTGGGAGAGAACACTTTCAAAGCGGGATGGTGCAAGCGCGTGCCTGGTGTATTTAAAAAGTTACTAAAACCTTGTGAATGTTGATATCTATATTGCAGTAAAATTTTCAAAATTAAACTGTGGCTGTTATGAGAGAGTTTATGTTAGGCAGAGATGCCCTGACAAACTGCATTCATCATTCGTGATTCTTTTCTTTTAATTTAATTCGAGATTGAAGAAAGAATATTTGCATACAGCAAGGTTCATAAATCCACTCAAAATCAATCAGGTACAGCTGGGCATCTTTATAGGCTTCATTTCATGTCAAATACGTCATTTACTTGTCATCCCAAGGCATTCAACTTACTGAGGTCACAGTCCATAAATATAGTAAGACTAAAATTAGCTTATGAATGAACAAGTGGAAGCTTGGGAACAACCTTCATGAGTTCAGCTAGGTTTTTGTTTCAGCATGGTGCAACAGTAGTGAAAGGCTTGGAGAAACTATTCAATATTCGATTAAAAAATATTCGGCCAAAACCATTATTTGTTTCGAATGCGCTTCGAACTCAAAATGCCCTATTCGACTACTAGTGAAGTAAGTTCTTCAGTTTATTCTTGCCCACAAATTGGTCACCCAGATGTGATGCTCAAAATAGGAAGACGTGAAGCGTTGCAGGAATACCCCAAAGGTGGCGCCTATGCTATCTCGTCGTAAGCCGTCGCAAGCGGTCGCCGAGAGGCCGATCACAGTCAAACCCAAATGTCTTTATGTAACCACTCGGATCCCATCTCTTCAAAGGAGACGGCAGCATCAAGATTATAAAAGCTCAATCGTGCTGACAAAGACTGGTAAGTGCAGATTGTGCGATAGGCCTTCAGGGAAAAAGAGAAGGGCATCTGGACGACACCGCCTACCAAAGATTCGTTCCCATTTCCGAGACACACCGCGAGATGCGCAGCTTGTCACCGAATGTTCCCAGAGTACCAAATTCTATCCGCTCCGCTCACTTGAAGTCAATCCTGCAGAATCCAGTTCTGATTGGCTAATTTAGCATGTGGCAGAAGTTAGCAGTAGCTATTTTAAAGATCGGCCAAAAAAAAAACAAAAAAAACTGCATATAAAACATTTTTGCGTTACCACAGCTCCGCACGGGTGGGAGCTCTGGGCGTCGATGAGTTGGGACCGATGGGAAGGTGCGTTGATTTTCTCTAGGTTTCTTTTGTATCAAGTAGCCACTAATATGATTCGCCAAAGAAGACTGCTGGGTCGCTTCGGTTGCGCTGGTGCTGCCTTTCGAATTCTACGCCTCAGACGCTAAGCCTAACACACTCGAGTTCGATCTGTTTCGAGGCGAGAGAGAGACACGAGACAGTGAGGAGCAAGTCACGCGCCGCTCGGAAGGAAGGAAAGAACTTTAATAAAAAGAAATCAGTGTCGCCACAGGTCGGGAACGTGGATTGAAGAGCTCGCACGAGAACAAATGCAGCACTGCACAAACTTCGCTTTGACCACACAGGGCAGCGAATGGGTAGGAGCACGACTGTTGTGCCGCGACTCGGTTCTGAAACGGAGTTTGGGAGTTTCGATACTCGGGGAACACTTAGTGATCCTAGGCACAGTGTGACAGGAAAGGCTGAGAGGCGTGCAACTGCACCTCTGCGTACCGCACCAATGAGTTAGTTTTTTCTGGGCTACGAACCACCGACCCTCGATAGCTCAGTCTGCAAAGCACTTGGCTCACAATCTCAAGGCAGCGAGTTCAAATTCTGCCGGGGAACTGAAGTCTTTTCTATGGTTTCCTGCGAGCGTAACACCGTGCAACGCCTCTCGGCATCCGTTTTTCGTTTGAGCCGGCTGTTACAGCCCAATGTTACAAAACTCCGAGAAAATCTGCCGATCAAACACATTCCGCGCCAATATACAGATAACGAATGCAGAATCCAGACCCCGCAGAGGCGACAAACCTCACCTGCGTGATGGTCTGGCCGTCCTCCGCAGCCAGCGTGTCCACCAGCGCCGCGTAGCTTTCCCGCATCAGGGCCGAGCTCGCGGGACCCTGCTCCTCCGCGCCCCGGCCGCCCCCAAACACGGCCGCGCCGCCCACCCCTCCGGGGGGCTCAGGCAGCGCCCCGACCACGGCCGGGAACACGATGAGGTGGGGGTAGTCCCCCGCCAGGCGCGAGAGCAGCCCCCGCACGCTCTCCCGCACGTAGGGCTCCGGGTGGCTCAGCCGCGAGAACAGCTGCGGGATGATGCCCCGCCAGGGGGCAGTGGGCGTGGACGCCAGGCCCCCCTCCAACTCCCCCCGCAGCTCCGAGGCGTGCTTCACCACCAGGCGCAGGAGGCGCAGGGTGGCCGTCACGTTGGTGTCGTCGTCCTGGGAAGGGGCCGAGTTCGCTTATTGTCTCGCTAGACGGCCCTTTGCAGAGCGTGTGCGCGTCGTGATCTAAACCCCAGAGACACAAGGTCATACAGGCTCGATCGTGCCGACAAAGGAGCATGGAATCTGAACATGATTGTAAACCTGGGACTGGGGCAGAAAAGAGAGCACAACAGAAGGTAGTAAAAGAGGAGGCAATGTCTCAAGTCTCAATTGAGACGTTGCCTCCTCTTTTACTACCTTCTGTTGTGTTCTCTTTTCTGCCCCAGTCTCAGGTTTACAATCATGTTCAACTTACACCAGCTCGCCTGCACTAGGACTATTTTTTCCTGGAATCTGTCCCACACAAACCACACTCTGCATGTGGTTTGGGCTAGATTTTTCATTCTTACTATAGATAATATTTTTAAATTTTTTCTTCACTGAAACACTAACGTGCAGCTCTGACGTCGTGCCACGGAGTTGTCATTGCTTGTGGCACAGCACACGCACAGTGTCCACACCTGGTGTGGGAAATTGCCTACTCGTTTGTAAACAGCTTGTTGTTCTATTTATTTTTAGTTAATTATTCACATTAGTTTAATTTCATTATATCATATGCATTTATTTTTGTGTTTATGTATTAATTTTTTTTATTTTCTTATTTCTATTTGTTTAATTTTATTAATTTCTTATTTTTTAGTTATTTATGTTTTATTCATTTATTTTTAATTATTTTATTTAATATTTCTATATTTTTTTATTTATTCCAGCAGAGCTGTTAAGGGCTAGTTTCCCCAGGATCGTGTATATGTACCAGCAAACAAATGTAGACACAACACTCTGGACAGCTACCGCCATCTACGAGCGACGGTGGCAAGCTTTCCAGCCTTTTTACACTGGCACGCCGAATTGCGGCTAACTCCATTCCCACCGTAGTACAGCCTCGCTGGTCTTCCTTCCTCACCGGAGTGGAAAGGCTGAAAGTTTTTTTCTTTGTATTCAGTTATTATTTACATTTAAAACGAGCCGGCACGTTTTGCTGAGAGTGCAATGCTTCTGGAGCAGCCAACCAATGTGGCACAGCAGCCATAGGCACCACACCGACCAAGGTTTGAGCACCGCTGGGGCGTCTTTCTTACGTCAATTCTACATGGGCCTCTGTAAGCTCTACATATAACCTGCATGTCGTGCAACACTCCTGGCGTGTTGCTCGTCCACAACGCTCGTTCGAGGTGCCGCGCACGCTGCAGCATATTTTGCGGCTCGGACTACACATGATTGCACTCACCATGACAACATGCGATGTCGTAGTGTCGTACGATCATGGAACGCCTAGTTGTGGGACGTTATCAAGCTTCTGCAGCTTCTGATGAAACGTTTCTCTCCAATGGGCATTCGGTAACGGTTCGACTTTATTTTACTCAGTCAATACGGAATCCTACAACACAACACTAATTGAATAAGAGCTCTTCAATTTTAAATAATAAAAAGAAAAGACCTAATCAAAATGGTATACAGTATCTTGGAGCAGTATCGCATACCTTACGAGTCATGCTGATGGATACCTAAAGCCCTAGTTTCCGGATTGTCACCATTTCATCACCCGGTGAAATTTTAATGCAGAAATAGCTGTTGCAAAAAAAAAAAAAAAACCTAAAATATTCTTTCACTTATAAAAAACAAAAACTTAAAAATATACTAAATTAAAAAAAAAAGCAAGGATGTACAAGCATGGCATCTATGGCGAGGTCCACGCCACAAACTTGCCTGGTAGTTCAGCTGCAGGTACTTGATGTATGCACTGGCAGAGGCCCTGTAGTACTGATAGGTCTGGCCGACGAGGCGGGACCTCGCCTCCAGCAGAGACTCGATCACACGAGGCTCCAGGTGGGGACACGCCTCTTCCAGCTCTTGCTGCAGCCCTGGCCAAGCCCCCTCGGGTCCTGGCTCCGCCCCCAGGGCCCAGTCTCCGCCCTCGGGGCAAGCCTGCTTCGTCAGAAAGGACACCCGTGTTACCAAGAGTATGCTACATAAAGATTGACGGTTGAGTCTCTCCCAAACTAAGCCGGCTCTTTTCCTTTAAAGGGCAACTTCGCTTCCTTTTGTTTTTGAAAAAAAACAACAATGCAGTCCTCTTCAGTATCCCCTTAGGAAGACTGCACGTCAAATATTACGACCAGTTCTGTCTCAATGTTTTTTAAACGGTCCGGCAAACTTTGGAATGCGCCAAGTTGCCAAAATCGGCCGAGGCTGACTCTAACCGGCGAATTGAGGCGCAATCAACGGTGCAGTCGCGGCTATGGTGTCGCATAGCCAACATTGAGCGAAAAGTCATCAACATTGCTACTGCTTGTTTGATTTTACTTCTCCGGGCAAGTGTAACGGGTGACATCAGCAGCACCTCCTTTCGGCATTGCCTACTCGACGGGCGTAATGCACCCACGTAAGCGCTTCCCAGCCCTAAGAGCCATACGGCCGTTACCTCCGTCTCCCGCGTCACCGCCATCGTTGTCTCGCCGTCAGTGATAGTTGTCTCTCAGAGTTCCGTTCACACTACGTGCGTAGACTGATGCAGCAGAGGCATTGTCGGATATTGTAGACGGCAAAATGTGCTGAGGACTGCGGTCCAGACGACATTTGCGCCTTGCCCACGCCCGCCTCAACGGTGGCCCGCCCCAACCCCGCCCGTCGTCACATAGAATACGAAGTGAATAGTTCCTTTTTTCGAATAATTTAGAACTGAATAGAATAATTCCGAAGCAAGGCGAATTGTTTGCGGCCGTTAATACTCATTATGAAGAACCTTTGACACTAGAGAACCAAAAAAAAAAACTTTCAGCCTTTCCACTTTGGTGAAGAAGAAAGACCAGCGAAACTGTACTATGGTGGGACGACCTCGAGGACGACGCCTAGGACGATCTTGAGGACGAACTCAAGGACGACTTCTAGGAAGACCTCTAGGACGGTTTTTATGACAACCTCTAGGACGACTTCTAGGATGACCTCAAGGATGACTTCTAGGACGACCTCAAGGACAACGTCAAGGACAACTTCTGGGACGACCTCAAGGACGACATCTAGGACGGCGCCTAGAGAAATTCAGCATTTCCTCTCAGGTGGAAAGGCTGGAAATGCTGCCGTCATCTATGAGTGAGGCCGCCAAGCCGTTGTCTGCGTGCCGCCATCGCTCATAGATGGCGGTACCTGTCCAGAGTACTGTGTCAACATTTGTTTGGTACTGGACACAATCCTGGGGAACCTAGCCCTTTACAGCTCCACTGTAAAAAAGGACAAAACAGTGTTTGAACGGTTCTCTACCATGATCATTCACCAGCACGTCTGTACACTTATTCTTATTTAAACACAGTCATGTCTCATTAATTTGGACACTTCCATTGCCCAGAAAAATCGTCCATATTATGAATCGTCGATAATAGGAAATCAAGATCAAGATCGCAAATAATGAACAAGAAGCGTGGCCACAGAAGACATGGTTTGTTTAGGGAAGGAAATGCTGACACTCCCCTGCACAGAAGCTTTGGTGTTAGCTATTAGAAATGCAATTTGCAATAGATTCAAGACAGTAGAGTTGTTGCTCCATTTTGATTGCTACCTGCCTTCCAACCTTGGTTGGTGAACTCATTTCAAGTACGTACTGCATACTGTTTTCATTAATTTTTTTTATTTCATCTCAATTAAGGTACGTTTCGCAGCATTTCAAACCTCAAAATACTTCGAAAATATTTTAAGTTGTCGAATAGTCCTATTCGATTCAAAGATTGAATCGAATATCGCAATAATTCGCTTTGATATTCGGATGTTTCAAATATTCGCACAACCCTACGAAGTAGCCATGTTTTTGGTGGCCCTAGGCCAATGTTGCCCGACAGAGCCAAAGTTTTGGTTTCGGTTTATGCTCATGTTTAAAGTAAGATTCCACAAAATATATCCCATTTTTTTGAGAAGCAAATGACATAAAGTCTTTTATTTCAGCCCATTTGATAGTGTCTTCAACTTCAGATGAGATTGCTACGTAGCCGCTCTTATAGGTGAACCTTTTTTTTAACCACTTCCATTTTTTATTACTACTTGTTACATCGGATTGATCTAAACATACTTTAATATTAGAAGAAGCCAACAAATATTTTTAATATCCTTTGCCTCTTAGTTTTCGGCAGTTTATCCGTCAAGGAATGCCTGCCACCAAAGTTAGCTTTCCCACGAAAGACGCAAGCTGGTGGCTATTGCCAGGAGAACAACAAAGTCTCAAAAAGGAAGGTGTTACCTATGATCTAGGTGAATTCTGCATGCCTGGAACTCGCAAAAAATAGAAAAAGCTAAAGTTGAAATTTCAAATGCATTTTTCCCAGTTTCCCTTTTTTGCAGGATTGTACTACAAGGAAACATATCATTCAGCGTTCTGAAAGTGTAAGTCTTTAATCAGGGGCTGTCCTGAACTGAAATTTTCCAAGCAACAAGGTAAGGTACTCATCATGCAAAAAAACTCACTCCTTCACAATGAAAACTGAATGGTATTCTAAAACACAAAATATTTGTGAAAATGTTATTTTTTGGATGTTACAGTTTATTCCTAGAATATCATTTTCCATAATTTTTACCTTTACTTTCTCTAGGAATTTTCTATTTCACACTGAAAGAAAAACTTTGTGAATTACAGTTATTATTTTTCTTCACTAAATTTCTTAATCACTTTTTTCTGAAGCTTGTAGAATTGGCCTAAAAGACTGAAATATTAGATGCAATCATTCCTAATAGGAATCTGATGCTGAAAATAATTTTTTCTGAGATAAACTCTGCCTCTTTATAAATGAAAGTCTCTGAAATATTTTTTAGAAAAACTTTATAACAAAAAAAGTTGGAATTCTGTGGCCATATCTTTCCTTAAACATGACTAGAACCTGTCTAGGATAAACGCCCCATCTCCAGAACACAACAAAAAAACACCATCCGCAACAGACTCCTCCCTCCAGTTGTAAGCCCCACCCCCATACTCCACCCACACAGTCTTGCGATAAGCATGCATCCCCCCCCATAGAAAAAAACACTACAATCCCTAATCAAGAAATGCAGGGTGTGGCAGGTTCCATGCGCATTGGTTAACAGCCAATGACCCGCAAGAATGCTAAAGCAAGGAGCGCGAACATAATAAGCCGTGCGTTTCTTTAGCTGTCGGAAACTACAACCTGCATCCTCCCCTTAAAAAGACTGCGGCAAATTTCTCAACGCAACAGAGGCTCCTACCACTAGCTAGAAGCCCCTCCCCTCATTAAGTTGCACTGACAAAATGCACATTCCAGAAACTGAAAGGGACCCACGGCAGCTGCACCCCTCGCCGAAAGGCTACTCCCACCCAAGAGGCCGCTCTCCCTCGTGCCTCGCCCCCAATATGCGAGCGTCTTAAACAACCGGCAAGATTGTCACACTCGCCTGAACTCTGGTGAGAATGTGTTTGATGGCGTTTGTCTCCTCTTCCGTGAGTGTCTCGGGTAGGATGTAGGAAAGGTCGGACGCATCCTTGGCCGACAGGGGCAGCTTTCCGTCGCTGAACACAAAGGGGAGAACAAACGGCACAATAAGTCAACTTTGCTGGCCTCGGTCGGCACTATTAAAGCCCCTTGATAAAAGCGTTTTTTACAAGTACCGCCAACCATTGTTGTGGAAGCGCGCGAGACACGTGCCATGAGCGGGTGCTCCGCCGCCATTCGCTTCCAAGGCCCGCTCAGTTCAGTGCTGCGCCGCCATTTGCTTCCAAGGGCCGCTCGATATATGGGCCTCGTGCACTCGCGCATTTGACGCTACTTGCAAGACAAGCGCAAACACATCGAGGGGCTTTAGGCACTATGTGTCCCGAAGTAATCGCACCGTTGAACAAAGTTTCTCGTTTTCGACATTCTCCTAGGCCTACTTAAAACGGACAATTTTACCCGAAGCTTTGATATTGCTCGCAAGTAGTCGGCCACTGTAACAAAAGTTTGCGAAGGAACTTGCGGAGTTTGGCGTCAATGGGTTCGCTCGTTGGCAACCCTGGTTACCATGCAACCCCTTCGAGCAGAGAGGACCAATCAAGATAAACATCAATCGTTTTTGTTCGGTTAAAAAACATGGTTTGACTCGCTTGATCGCGCTAGGTCTCGCTAAAGTTACATTAATTTGTGGCATTAGCTCAGACGGAAACCAACCGACGACTTCACTTTTCTGAAACTTGGCAACAGTTGAGGCAGCGGCGACCAATCAAATGTGGTATTTCTAACGCGAAACATTCTTTGGCTAGATGTTCAGCATTTCGTGAAGCCCAAAAGTGAAACCCGGATAAAAGCGTGGCCGCGAGGCTCGACAGTAATTGGTTCTGAGTGGGGGGGAAGAGGCCATCGCAGTAAAACAGCGTTTGCACCAGGCGAGAATCGAACTCGGACCGTTCAGATTATTACGCGAGTGTCTTTGCAGCATGTCGCGACAGATCGCCGCGAGTTGAGGTGCCATTTGGCGGGAAAGTCCTGCGGGGCATTATCTCCATTCCAGGAATTGCTATCAAGTGCACATGCCACGTGTTAAACCAGTCGCTAAGCGAACCGACGAAGAGCGCCGAGAGCATAGACGCCACACGTTTCACGTGCAACACAAGTGCCCAGCAATTTGCAACAAACTTTTTTCACACAATCTCCTATTGTGATGTTGACGATGGCCAAGTCTAGCTTCGACTCCTGTCTCGGCTTGCTATCGGTCGTTTTTGCAAGCTACATCCCTGGAACACGGACCAAAGAACCCCATTCCGAGAAGAAGACGCGACGGGGGCTCGCCTGGGGGCGTCGACGACCTTGCGGCCCCAGCGGTAGCACCAGGCCGCGTAGGTGGCCCAGGCCTTGGGCAGGCTCGGGCAGAGCAGCAGGCTGCGCTGGAGGAGGGCTCCCACTGCCGCCTCCGGGGCGCTGAGCAGCCCGTCCAGCGGCTGAACGGCGGGCCCCACCCTCTGCCAGCCGTCCACCAGGGCCCCGTTGCGGCACTGGCTCAGCGTGCCGCCCAGGTGCGGCTCCACCGCCGAAGCGTCTGCCTGCAGCCACTTGGCCAGGGTCAGCAGGGACCTGTGCCCAGTTGGGAAGGAACCGTTCGACTCAAGCAACGGACCTTTGCTGAGTAACCAGCGCCGTCCGAAAACTACAAACGAAGGGTGGCTTACACATTGGCATCCTGCCGTTGAAGCTGTTTTCATTGCATTTTATGGCCCAAATTACCGGTGCTAAAGAATTATACAGGCTTCATCATAGTGACAAAAGACTAGGGAGCACAGAATGTATCCGGCACAAACGACACACTCTCACCGGCACATTTGCATTCAAATAAAAATCATTTATATTCTGCTAGACCGAATGTGCTAATAGCTCAGTGGCTCGTTCATGACGCTTGCTATGACGGTCGTTACGACACTCGTTCGTGACGATTTTCTCATAGGAAATGTCCCACAAAACACTTTCCGCATTAAAAAGAAAAGTGAAAACATTGGCTGCATGTGTGGTCATTCTGTCAAATGCATTTAAATGCAATAGCACTACAGGGTGGGTGGTGCTTTTTCAGTGCCTGGGGTGGGTGGAGCTCTTTGTTCACGTGGTGCCTAAAGCGGGGTTTTGTATGAAAACAATTACGTCACACCACTGCCTCTTAGTGACGCGGCGTGTGCTTCCCTTCAGCACCGCCCGAATACAAAGCTTTTGCGCTGAATTTTGTTGGTCAGCAAGAGGGGGGAAGCGCGTCTTCCTGCCCTTCCCACTCCTCCTCGTTCCGCGCGCTCTTTCTACACCACCTGTTTCTGCTCCTCTCTTTCTAGCTCCTTCCAACCCTCTCTGCACACTTTCTCACACCACCTGCTTCTGCTCATCTCGTTCTAGCAGCGCATTCGGCTACCGTGCCGGTGACCGTTTTTCGATTCCTGGCACCGGTAGCCGTTTTTTTCCCAAATCGTTTAGAGGTTACGAACTGACCTACCTAGACATTTCGTCCTTACGTGGCTCATGAGGTTGGTTGACCCTATAAAGCTGGTGCTTTAAAACAATTTGCCTTGATCTTAAGACTCAGTTGGTATATAAAGAATCTGTTTCTGAGGTATTCTTGAAACTTACGACCAACTTTGCAGTTATTTCTTTTTTAATTGTCTTTGGTTATATGGGTAGAAGCTGAGAGCGAAGGAGATAAGAATGCGCGGGGACATCAGACACCAAAATCCATTCGGAATAATTGGGGGATAGATGCAAAGCTGGCTGCCTTCATCACTACTCCCCCCGTTTGAACGCTAACGTCAAATGCCAGCGTTTAAAAGCGTTTGTCAGGGCTCGGTGCCCCGACCACCCCATGCACTCTCGTCTCCTCTTCTCCCTCAAACATTTCGTGAGATCAACTCACGCGACGGGATCACACGACACGATCGCATGGTTACCCATGCACTTCCCGCCCTTGGCGTAGATGGCTCTCTTTACGTCTTTGCGAGTCTCTTTTTTGGCACAACAATAGAATGTCGGGCCCCTAACCGTGGGGTCGTAAATCCCGTTGTATCGAATTTTGGTTTTTTCTTCTCTATTGTTCTCTGACGGAGGACACTACTCTAAAAAGCCAACTTTTTAACCGTTGATCTCATTTGCACGAAATTTGCTGGGCATATTCAACGCTGTAAAAGAGGACGCTATGCGGAGTTTCGAGTTTATAAATGAATCCTTTGAGGAGTTACATACAAAAATTACACCTTCTTCCCGAGGGGAACCGTGGGGTGATGCGGAGCATCGTTCCGTCACACTTCATCGGAAGAACGGAGTGAAGTGGAGTCAACAGGCGGTGAACTGAACACGCGCAGAAATTGGTTTGCTCTTTATGTTTATACAGCCTTGATGGAGATGCGCCTCAACGGGTAATCGGTCTCTTAGCTCTAGGTGAGAAATTTAGCCAGTACAGTACGACCGCTAACCTGGGATTCTTAACGTGCATCACGCAGTAGTCATCACACAAACGCGTGCCGGTACGAAACTCATCCAGATCGAAACGGGCGGGGGTGGCGGGGACTCGAACCCAGGAGGTTCCCAGCGCAAGCTTTCGCTCCACGCTCCGAGCTGAGACGCGTTAGCCCACTTGGCCACTTCCTCCCCTTGAACGCGCGCAGCGCGCTACCGCTGCTTATATTCAAACTTGAAGGAGAGGAAACTAGAGGAGGAGAGTGGCGCCTGCGCGCGCAATGTGAGTAGAAGCGAACGCACGCGAAGCTGTTGGAGAGAGGGACACAGCTGGTAGCTGCGTGCACTTCGCGCAGCTGTTGGAGAGAGAGAGAATGCACGCGCAGCGAGGAGAGTTGCGCATGCGTAGCGTGAGTGCGGACTACGACGCTGCGGGACATAGCCCGAGCAAGAGATGCTCCGCATCTAAAATGGAGCAGTCCTGTGTTAATCTACAGTACAGTCACAACGATAGCTACAAGTCACGGCGAAGTCGTTGGGCGTTGGCGTCGCGTTCGTGCAGCGTTGGGTACGTGAGCAAAAGCGTTTGGAACAAACTGGACATCTGACCATTCTGTTCTGAACGCTTTTGTTTGTTTTTTTTTGTTCCGCAGTGCGTGAAAGCGCATCTCCCAGCATGAGCTCTTGGCACTGACAGTGCTACACCAACATTTTGTTACCGGTTATACATCTTTTTCTTTACAGTTCCCGTTGGGTGCTACAAAAACCCGAAGCATAAAGAGGGTTGTCATCACTGTGGCGTAGCTCTGTGCAAACGCCCCCGCTTCGCACAAGGCGGCCAACCTTTTTCGAGGATTTGGCAACATGGACGACGGACACACCTACACCCTAATACGCCAACATCAACGACGACAACTACAACATCCACAACAAATGTCCTTTCCACTGGTGTGAAGCCCGTAACAGCAATTGCTGTGAAAACGTATATCAAATGAACACTGCACCCCCTGAGAGAAACTAGTTTCGATATGGAAATGATAATGGTAAGTTGTTTTGATGAAACATACTCTATAACACTATGGTTCGAAGCTGTGAAGAGAAATTACAGGAAGGGCACAATTTCCAGTGGAAAACAAAAATGTGAAAAAAGCTTTGTTCTTTTTTTGTTGCATGCATTAAATTTAAAACACTACAGCTTTCCATAACAAGTACAGCACTTTTCACAGCCGAGTTCCTTACAAAATTTCAGTATAGAACCTCAAGAAACTGGCTCCACACATTGATTTATTATTGAACAATAGTTTGCCCGAATCGAGTTTCGATGCCAAAAAGTGAAACTGAAATAGACGGTATCGAAAGTTCAATAATTGCACCTTGGATGCTGTTGGCAAATAGGAAATCATTCATTCCTGAAAGAAATATACACTAGTTACAGGAGTGCAACTTTCCGACAACATGCATCAGGTGATATGCAAGCCCATAGGCCCACTCGTTAAAAAGGTGGCTCGCAATTTTTGGGTGCCATCCCCTTCAACACGCCTTGCGTCAAAAGCCGCACGTACCTTGCAACAAGCTCCTCTTCTGCCGGGTTGTTTGCTTCCGTCTGCGCCACCCTCACCAGGGCACGCGCCGCCTCCGCCACGCGGCCACTTGCGTGGAGCAGCTTGGCGCCCTCTCTGAGCACTGGCGAGGGGGCTCCCTCCTCGCCCAGCGTTGCCAGGCTGACGGTGTCGCCGCAACCGGCCTCCAGGAGGAGCCAGTGCTCCGCCAGCCGCAGGTTGTGCTGCTTGCGGGCCAGGCGCGCTGCGGACAGCAGGAACCTGGGTGATGGGCAGACGAGTTTGACACCTTGAAATGTGAAAACCTGTTTGCATCCAACGTTGCTCTGTACAAGTTTTCATGTCCCTCGACCCGTTGTTGTGAGCGGCAACGACAGCACTGCACCACCATAATCTTTGTTTCTCCGAGCTGGAATGCCTCCGCGAAGGGTACGTGTGCTCGACCGTCCGGACATCAATATGGGACGACATTCCCTGGTGCCAGCAATCAATTAATTTTATGCGAGGAGTATTTTTCCCTCCTCTCATTATCAGATCGCTCTTCGCTCGACGGCAGACCGAGTACACGTGCCGAGATTGAGATGATTGCGGCGGTTTTTGCTGGCGCACGGAGGGGATCCACATTCTTAATTTTCGGGTTTCCTGTAAAAACAAGTCAATGCCGAAAGCAGCCTCAAAGAATGTTTTGTTTGGCACTGTGTTCGGGTAAGCTGACATCCCTTAGAAACTAAGGTTGGCTGCCACACAGGAAGTCTAGACCGGTCTGGTCACGTTCAACGCAAAATGATTCTGCTAGTGGCTGCACCGTGCGCCACTGTCCAACTCAACCCTTCGATGCTACACGGCTGCAGTGGCGCTGCGGCCGATAAGGCATGTTTGCAGACACTTGACGTCACGCAAATCTGGTTTCGGCACATGCGTGCTGCCCACACCTGGCGCAGACAAAGGCGGGCTATTTTGCGAACGGTGTGTCGGCCCACAGACAGCGCAGCTGGGGACCAAAAGCGGAAACTTTGGGTGGATCGTGCCACTGAACGATTTGACACAAACGTTGCGTTACGGTCCTGCGTGCGCTCGGACGTTCGAGCTAAGAATACGGTCCGACGACTGCGGCCGTGGTCCGTCTCGGAGTTGCTGCGATTCTGCGCAGGATGGCACCACCCGACAAACCGAATATCAGCGTGCCTAGGTTATGAAGTGTTTTCAACAACTCCATGGGGGTCGCATGATTTGTGGGCTGCGTTTTCAATACTAGCTGCAAATAGGCAACAAAAGCGTCGGTCGTGCACAAACTTCTCAACTTCCCCGTTGGCTTTCCTCCGCGCCAGGAGACAACGGAAAGCACCAGCACTAGCGACCAACCAGCGGGGGGGCGTCAGCCATTTAACTGCAAACACTCTCCGTGGTTTTAGTTGCTCCCTATTTCAAAGAGGCAACAAGTGAAGTTTGAGATTGTTTTTTTATGACCTAAACTCAATCTATGCGCCCTAAGCATCCTGCAATACTCAGAATTACAATTGCGCATGGCTTCTTTCAGTCGCTACGGCGCTGGCAGGTTATTCGGATTGATTATTGTTTGCGACACAAATGATTGTACATAAAGAGATGAGTGGCATGTGACACAGTTGCTTTGTACGAGTGAGCCAGGCATGAAAAAATAGTGTGAGGTGCCCAAAAGAAGTAATTGTGAAGCGAGCCACAATGATAAAGTTTGCAGAATGGTGTTAGACGAGCGAGTTTCTGGTGATGCGATAAGGTTTACAATTGGGCATTTTTTTATTTTGTGACACTGGTAAACTGGATTTCAAATGCCAGAAGCATACTATTCAATTTTGGAGCAATTAGCGTGATGCAGGCAAGTTTTCTCAAGTGAGCAGGAGCCTGGTTAAGGTTGCGTCAAAGATGGTCCCGATGCTTCATTTAGCAAGTGCGACGAAACCGCCGCAACTCTTGACCATCTGTGGGATTGGTTGCCCGAACTTCCGGGTGCCATTCCGGATGGCGCTACAGGGGATTTTCTGTTTGCAGACGACAATGCTGAGGCCACCAGGGAGCTCGGAGATGAAGATATCGTCGCCAATCTTGCGGGTAATGAGAACAGTGACAATAATGGGGAGGAGGACTTTGGAGAACCTGCACCCACCTGCTCGGAAGTCCTCCGTGCTCTCGCCATAGTTTGGCGCTACTGCGCAAATATAGAAGGCAGTGACCTCAGCATTTTGGAGTTCGTCGATAGCATAGAAAAATGCGTTATCGCGGGTGCAATAAAGAAGAAAAACCAGCGGAAGGTGCAAGACTATTTCGTTGCGTAATATGTCAGCAGAAAGTGATTTTTTGAGAGTAAGCAACTTCTCTAAGTGTGGCACGCTTGTTTGTTGTCAAATTCATTAGAACTTTTATGTCGAATTACCCGCTATATCAAACTGGTAGATGGTTTTAGGCGAGTTCATTATAAACGGGTTTGATTCTAGTGCCATTTTAAATGGTACAGTACAGCAGAATCCCACCGATCAGTTCCGGGGTGATGCATTTTCCCTGCTCACTCCCAATCTTTGACGGCTTTTCCCGGAGAGAAACTCAAGATTTCTTTCCGACCCACCCTTCGCAGGGCGGACCGTCGGACCACGCGAGCGCCGCGCCCACGGTGCTGCAGCAGTGATCAGCCGGGGAGAAACGCCCCTGGACGGTGGGCGGGGCCTGGCGGACCAGCGCCACGAGGGAGGGCTCCACCCGGGGCGGCCACTGGAGCGCTCCCAGGTGGAGCAACGCCTCCGCGGGCTCCAGAGACGGGGCCTCGCACGGGCCGACCGTGCGTCGCTGGGCCGTGAGGGCCTGCTGCGCCGCGTCCCATGAGTAGCGCAGGACCCGGGGGTCTCCCATGAAGCCCAGGCCGGTCTCTTTCCTGCGAGGGGGGGGGGAGAGAGAGGTCGGAACGGTGAGGTGCCACAACCGGGCTTTAACGTCGAATGTGTGTTATGCGGCGTTTTCCCGTGAGAACATTGTCACAAACCAGCATCGTAACGAGCATCATAAATGAGTGACGTGCTGGGTGCGCTACAGACGTTAAGATTTTATATAAAGTTATTATATAAAATTCAAGCCCCCGCGGGGCTCCAACCTGCGTCGGTACGATGGCAGTCGGACACTGCAGCTACTAAGCTACTAGCACAGCTTGTGTGGATGGGTGGATGTTTTTATTTGAGAGCAAAAGTGCTGGCGACAGCGGCAGGTTCTGGATAAATATAATAAACCAATAAAATAAAAATAAATAAAATAAATACATACGACGAAATAAAAATAGAATAAAAGGAAATAAATAAAAAATAAATGTAAAAAATTCAAAAATATATAATAAAAACATTGAAAAAGTTTAGCAGAAACAACACACAGGGGCCATAATCTGTGCTTCCTGGTTTTTGTCACCACGATCGAGCCAGCATAAGTTTTGCTTATTCGTTTATCGAACATACCTTTGGGGCCTGAAGCAACAGCAACAAATGAACAATATTAATAACATATAACAACAAATCACTCAAACAGGTCATGGATCATTGAAAAAAAAAAGCTGATGACGTTGAATCGCTTCATGGGATAGTTGCTGCTTTCGCATTAAAATGGTTTGTGATATAGCACTTCAGAACAGATTAGGGTCATTGACGGCAGCAATCAAACCGTGGAGGTGGTTCGTTCTTGTGCTGTGCAAGAAGCAAGAATGCACGACATGCTGTTGCTAATGAGCTTGGGACTCTAACTTTATGCCAACAATAGGCACGGGACGAGATATAGAAGGGGAGAATTATCGCTTAATCGCGCAAGATTTGATCATGAAAGAAATTTTAAGGACATGAACATAAATGTGAAATTTTATACCGTAGAGAAATAGAGAGATGACGAAGATAAACTAATTTTCACCGATGTGACACTGGCAGTGTGATGATAGTTGAATAGAGAGAAACAAGCTCAGTGATTTTGGGTGGGTTCCAACGTGGTGACAGTGGTATCGTGATCGGCCCGCTTTTGCGCTAAACTTTGCTCTTCCCTCTTAATGCGGCGTGAGCAATGAAAACACCCGACTTCTCTCTCCTCGTGCCATGAGGGGGGAGAAGGGTTTTTCCGTCCCCGCTGCGACGACAGACAACAAATGCCGACACCGAAATCCCCGCCAAGTGTCTTGCGTAAAGCTACAGCTTTAAAACATTTCAAGAACCCTCCGAGATGAAGTAGTCTCGCCACTATGGCAGCAACGGCTTCCACGGGACGGCGCAGATGCGACTCACCGAACGTGTCGGGCGGCGTCGAGCGCCCTCGTGCCAATGGGGCCGCAGCCGTTCATGGGGACGACGTCCTCCATCCAGTTGAGGGCACCGCTCCAGTCGGACAGCCTTGCGTGGCAGTCCAGCAGCTGCGAAGGCGGAAGATTTGTCGGTTTTGCGGCACGTAGGAAACGTCTCGTGAATTGAAAATCTTGTGACGCAACTCCTGAGATGGGGAAACCACATCTCGTAACAGGTTGTGGACCTTGTGACGCAATGTGCACCTACACGTAGCTTTCTATTTACGATGTGTCTTGCGACGCTATGGCTCACGACGCAAATAGTTGGCGACAACATATCTCACAAGATGAACTGCGCGGGTGAAAGCCTAATGGGCTTTGTGACACGGCTTGTGACAACTGACACACTTTTCTATTTGTAACACAATGTCTTGCAATGCAAATAGTTTGTGACATCACGTCTCACAACAAGTGTAAAAAGAGCTGTTGCCAAGGGGCATATCTCAAGGGACTAAGCAACATATACAGAGTGATTAAGTGAATCTAAACCCATTTACGCAAGTCTCGGGAATCGCTTTCGCATGCTAATATACACCAATTTCTGCAGCTAGGCAGTGAAGAGAAACTTGCCTCAGTAAAAAATTATATAACCCACAACGTTTCTATGATACATGATAGAGTTAAGCTTCTTGTTTTCATTTAAATGTGAAAAAATACTGAGCATTATTGGAACATTCCGATTTTACAAAGACGAACAAAAACAAATTCGTTCCGACTCTGCTATTTTTTTTTTTTTTCTTCCTCACATCAAATGCCCCAATCACCCACACAAACATTATTATAGCTTTTAGTAGACAAATGCTGAGTCATGTTGCTTACAACCTTATCGAGGCAAATCGTTTTCTTACAATATTTTCGCAACACAAACCCAGTCATACTTCCGCGTTAAATCACAGCGCGGTAACGTGCGAAACTAGATTTCATAAATATATCTAAATTGGGTCAGATCCGTTTAGCGTAAGCGGCAGCTCCGTCGCACGGAAAAAGAAATGGATGCCCGAATTTTACTTAGGCCCGACAGAATAGAAGAATGTGCTTTAATGGACCCTTTTCGAGCCCACAAGGGCAGCCCAAAATACCTCCGCTCTTCGGAACACATTGGCATAGAGCCATTGTATCAGTTTTTATCGCTTTTTATGCCCCTTACTACCCACATGCAAAATAGCATAGTCAGAAATGATGAAATATGTGCGAAGATAAGGGCTGACATTGTTGGTCGAAAAATGCCGACAGCGGGAAGCAAGCACGGGAGAATGTGTGTATGCATGCGCAGAGGCACACTAAAAAAAAAAGGACCGTTCCACTTAAGGACTGTTTCTAAGTTTAGGAACCCACCTGATTGAACACAAAGTACTTGAGGTCCTTGGGTGTCTTGATTGTTGTAGTGTCGTCTTCAAACACCAGCTCGGCGTACTCTTCGGCCGCCGACTCGAGCCTGGAACACGAAAGTGCAAGTTCAATGCCAGGTCTTTCAGAAACCGCATTGCAAAACCCGAGAGCTCGTCGGTACGCGCGGAAAGAGCTGGACGAAATGTGACAGGACCGAGCGAGCAAAGTGCACCTCCAAATTCCCTATACTCTTTTTATTTTTTTTCTTGTCTAGCAAAATAAACATCCAGAACCGACACGAGCAGCAGCCGTGACCGAAGAAACTATTCCCGGGAGAAATATGACAAGTGTTGTTGGAACACTGAGATATGTCTCAGGCTACGACTTGGGCATCCAGCAATGTTTTCAGAGTTCTTTACTAACGGGCTGCAAGACGTAGGTCAGCTGTAGTGTTCGTGGAATAAGTCTACAAAAAAAAAAAAGGCTCGGAGGTACACCTAGGCATTTCTTATGAGTTGTGAATGCGAACGCATGCACGCCGCCCTTCCGCTCCCGTCTTTATTCTGCGGCGTACAACGCGCTGACCTTGCGCGTGGAACGGTGGAGCCACTGCCTCGCGGACACGCAGCGCCATCGGGTGAGCGATCGTTCAGACTGTCGCGTGCCTTGTGCCACGAGGAAGGAACAGACAGCAACGCAGTTCACAATAAAGCCTATAATGCGCATAAATCATCATTAACATACACTTTCGGGCACAAAATTCGTCTCGTCATAATAAACAATCTTGAAAAACATAATTCCTGTATAGTCCGCACGCGTAGATAGTCCGCACAGCCAGAAATTTCAACTTTTAAACATGTATAGTCCGCGGACTATAGCCCGGAAAATACGGTGAATTCTGAGGACACCTAAGCACTTCGTACGAGTTGTGAATATGGAAGCATGAATGTCGCTCTTCCTTAGTTTGTCTGCGGTGCACCGGCGTGGAGGGCCACGTTTCGCTACTGCCAAGGTTGCTGCGGCCGATGATATAGATGCCCCAGGTGCTGCCACGTTCCTCAACGCCAGGAGGAGCAGAGGCGGCAGCAGACCCCCAGCCCCTTCTGGCAACGCCCGACACAAGAGTGGCGACCAACGTTACTAGAACAACTCAGTTGGGAAACTGCTATAGAGCCTGATTAGCAAAAGTGGCTCCGATCCGTACTCGAGACCCGAACTAAAGGTGATCGGAATGCCGCCATTCCTCCAGAAAGTGGCCGTTCCGGGAACTGTAGGGCTGCACGCATTGGTCCAGGTCGAGTGGCGCAAGGGCCAGTGGCGCCATCTCGCAGTGCCAATTCGCAGTAGCCATATAAATCAACTTTCATGTTTCATGCAAATCAACTCGTCGCTAAAGGGTGGCGCTTTCATCGTATTTAGTTTGGTCTCTGTGGACGCGAGCGGTCCAGATTTCAAGGAGAGTTTCCCAACTGAGTGTTTTATTAATGTTGGCGGCGGCCGAGCGCGCGCTCTCGTGAAACGGCCGCCAATGTCCATCTAGGAGCTGTTTTAATCAGCCAATAAGAGAATGGGCATTTCATTTGTACCTTTTTGCGGTTACAGACACCGCCGGCTTTGCTCCGTGGGATAGTTAATGATTTTGCATTAAAAAAGAGAGGGCGGGAAATATGGCTGCCTCACCTCCCGCCGGCGTGCGCCGCAGCTGCCTTCAGCCAGGGAATCCTCTGCCCCAGGGCGCTCTTGCTGTACGCATACAGCCCGGTCAGCGCCTCGGGACACCTCAGCGCCACCAGGCACTTGGCCACGTCAAGCAGCACCGACTCAAATCCGACTGCGGCCGATGACGAAGACCAAGTTGAAGTCGGCGTGCCCAGCGCCCAGGCGTGCCGCAGCGCCTCCGCAAACCGCCCGGCCCTCAGCGCCACTTTCACCGCTTTCGGCCGCACCCGCGTCAGCCACTCCAGGCACGTGGCGCGGTTCGTGCGAAAGAATGTGCGCACCGCCTTCGGCGGCGGCGAAAGCGTAGCCGCCGTCCCCTCGTACGCGTTGTACATGGCTTTGTCGAGGTGCTCGAGGAAGTCGATCAGCAGCTGGGCACGCTTCAGTGACGCTGCGTCTTCCAGTGGGTCGCTAAGGAGCCCCTTCAGAGCGGCCTCGACGGACGTGAAGGTCTCCTGCGGCTTGCCAAGCGGCGTGCGGAGCTTCAGCGCGACGCACGTCTGCGCCGCCTCCCACAGCGCCCAGAACCAGAGGAGGCCCACGTGGCGGCCGGACGCGGCGAGCCGGGCGGGGGCCAGGCGCTCGAGGCGCGGGTGGACGGCGGCGCTGTCCGGGTGCGTTGGCAGGAGCAGGGCGGACATGACGCTCCGGAAGCCCTGGGCGGTCAGGGAGGTGGCCGGGGCGGAGAGGACGGCGCTGCGTTGAGATGCCTGGTCGGGGAGGTTGGCGACGGAAAGGTTGCTGGACGGAAAAGATATCGCCAAAGTTAGAAACTTTGTCAAATGAAATGAACTTGCAATGAAACTTGACGAGGATTTTTCAACAAGTACAGTAAAACCCGTTTATAACGAAACGCAGGAGACACTACGATCATTTCGATATAGCGAGTAATTCCATATAGCAAAAACCATTTACAACGAACTTCCACAAGGAGTCCGTTGCAAGGCGAGAGCTTCTCTTTCTTTCTCGTCTCTTTGCTTCCGCCTTGTAACAACGCGTCAGAAAGATTTTTTTGTTTCTGGCGTGCGTGCAGTTTTTTTTTTTTTTTTACCTTATCTTTTTTTTTTAATCGCTTCTCTTTGTGGGCAACCGTTCCGAGATCAAAAGTTTTTTTGTTTGTTTTTCTGTGCGTGTGTGCAGAGGGTATCTTTAGCTTTCTCCCCTTCTGAATCACTTCTCCTCGTTCAATTTTGTTCACAACTTGAGCTTTTGGAATTTTCTTTCTTTTCCAATTTTTTTGCGAGGGAAGAGGCAGGCTAGAAGACGACTGTTTGCGCATTTTTGGAAGCCTTCCCGGGGGGGAAAGTTTGATATAGCCAATATATTGTTCAATATAGGCCAATATGTTGTTGGTTATAAAAAGTACTTTTTATATGCATTTTTATTTATCCCTAAATTTTCCGCGAGTTTGATATTGACAATAATTCGCTTTACGTGGGTTACTTCTAAACGGGTTTCACTTTAGCACTTTCAGCCGAAATTTAGGGCTGGTTCACGCACTGGCGACTGCCTACGACCTTGTGCCTTTAAACCTCTTGCAACGAGAGTACACACCAGGGTCATCTATTTGGAAGACGTTAACACTTGCAGTTACCATATATTTCCTTTGTTATCTCTCACAACGGCGTGTTTTCTCGTTGTAAAAGACAGCAAGAACTCGGTCCTAAGACAATGCAAGTCTGTGGACGGGACTACAGTAGAATCTCGTGAATACGAATCTGCATAATACGGGTTTCAGCATAATGCGTTTTGTCTTTCATTCCTGGCCAATGCCCCATAGAAATAATGTGTTTTGATACAGCTAATACAATCATATTTTCACTTCGGATTGGATAACACGACTGCGGAAATGGGTTCTCACGGAAAAATACACCCGTACATCCCAGTTACCTATTTACTTGCAGAATGAACACACTTTTTTTTTTCCGTAAAAGCGATGCAAAGTTGGGGGGGGGGGCATTTATTACGCAAAGTAAAATTCGTAAAATTCTTGCGTCCGTATTTACTGGCATAATGAACGGACCTTTTATGCTGAAAAATCGACACAACTTCTCTCTGCGTGTGGCGCGCGACCCTATAACCAAACTGGGTTGTGCAAAAAAAAAAAAAGAGAAAAAAAGCTCCTTTATTTTTTTTTCTCTTAGCTTGGTGCTGTTTTTTTTTTTTTTTTTTTTTTTGCCGCCTTTTGCAAGTTGTTTTGTTTGCTTAGGCGTCGCTTAGGCGAGGGTTTCTCCGCTTATCTTTCTTATCTCCTTGCGGGCAGCGCGCGACCCCAAAGCCCCCCCAGACTGCGCTGTGAAAAAAAAATCTCCTCTCCATGTTTTTTTTTTCTTGCTTCCGTTGGATCTTTTTTATTTTAACGCCTCTTGCAAGGCATTTTGTTCGCCCACGCTCGCTGCCCATTCATTCGCGACCTCGCTGCACCAGGATAGTAAAGTGCGTTAATTCCGCGCGTGTGGGGGGTCAAAATTTTGACATTCGAGTTGGGGGTGCGTTTAATACGTGAGTGAAAAAAGTTGAACTTTTGAGAGCAGACTTGGGGGGTGCGTTCATTACGCGAGTGTGTTCATTGTGCGAGTAAATACGGTACTAGCTCCAATCACATTTTAGCAAGCCTCGAACAACCCATTGCACGGCCGCGGAAGTCACGGTCAGCGCCGCGGCCCGCGGCTCTGAGTATAGTCGCAAGTAGCTACCATCATATCACGACTGCCACAACCGCAGCCGCCACAGCTAGTACTGGAGCGTTGTCTTTTACAGCAAAGCTGTCTATGGCTAGGTTCTGGCGGATCGTCTCCGACGACAGACCGAGCGTACACGAACAATTTTCAAATGCAACGATGTATGTCCCGCTTTATACTCCTCTCCACTGCCGCCGCCTTTCTCAAGTTGTGTATACTCCTCGCCACGTGCGGCATCTCTCCCCCCTGATATTGCACAATGCCGCACTCTTCAGTGGCTACCTGTGTGGCTCACTACAGCCAGCACCGTGACTGGCGTAGCTGCGCTAAGATAAAACGTCCTTGTCTCTACCTACCAATTGTGTGTGTCCTTTGTCTGTGACGTAGAGATCACGCCACTGTCCTTATCAGTTGAACTTCAGACTTAACACGGGTCGCACCCGTGTTGTATCTTCCGAAGAGGAGCGGCGGGAGTACGAGGAGCGTCGGTGCGCCCAGAAGCGAGAATGGGCACGCCGCCAATGTGAAACCCCCGGTGCCATTGCTCCCAGCCCAACAAAAACTTTGGGTGCCAACCAGGCTCTCCCAACGAAGACCTTGCCCACGCCAAGCGCAGACGCGAGCAACAGCGTCAATTCAACCGACGCCGTCGAGCCATTGCCACCGACGATAATCAAGCAAGACAAGCCAAACGCAAGCGCGACGCATATCACTACAATGCCAAAACATAACATAGTGAATCTCCAATATAGCTAAACCCCGACATAGCAGATCCCACCAGAGCACCAGCTTCGCTGGACTTTCTCCTTCACGGGGCGGAAGGGCTCTCAATTTTTGTATCAAACTTCCATGGCGGGGACAGAATCCATTGTTACATCTGGCATCGATGTAAGCTAACTGCGTAGCAACCACTCACCTCACAATGAGGTCGATGGGCAGAAGGGCCATGAGAGCAATGAACTTTGACCTCTCTGCCTGGCAGACGCTGCCGGCCTTCATAACCGACAGGTCGTAGCACCTGGAAAAAGAAATGCAGCGAAACAACATGATGAAAAATCCCATTATCCATTGCACAAAATCTAGATAACGGAGAATCTGGACTAAGGGGCTGTAATAGTTAATACATGTTATTTTCCCGCTAATGTAGCAGACAGTGGTCAGCACGACATGGTCATGTGGCACAAACCTCACGACTGTGTCCTAAGGCGTCACTTGACATCTCTGTGTCACATGACACCATGACAGACATAAATCTTTGGAGGCAAAAAAATTAAAAAAATTTCATTCTTTGGAAAACGGCAATGTTTACCTCTACAGCTGTTGCTTTTTTTAATCTACCAGGTTTTTAATTTTGTGGATGAATATTGTAGCTATAAATCAATTTATAATGTCTATGCAGGCTTAATGCACATTGAAGTAACTCTAATCACTGTTTTCACAAAACACAATTTTTGGACTTGCTGAAAATTTTCAGGAAAGATATCTCAATATCTAGGGGAGATAGAAACATAACTTTTCCTGAAACATGTAGCTAAATGTGTGAAGCATGCAATGTTGAGAGCGGATTTCTTAACACTGATGTCATGTACCGTAATCAGGTCGGCATTTTGGGTTGCCCTCACAGCCACACTCACCTTAGCCCCTCACTCACCCTTACAGCTATACTCACCCTCAGCCCCCCACTGCCCTCAGGGCACTTACACCCCTCACACTCTCACGGTCCTCACACACTCACGCCCCCCACGCACTCAATAGCCTCACACCCCCGACGCACCCATATCCCTCGCCTACTCACCGTCCTCACACCCCTTAAGGCCCTCATGCCCCTTGCACTTTCACCGCCCTCATGGTCCTCATCCCCTTACGCACTCACTGCCCTCACACCTCTCGTGCACTCATACCCCTCACACACTCATGGTCCTCACAGCCCTAACGGCCTCTCACACCCCTCACAATCCTTATTCACCTCACACTCATGAATTTTCGTGGTTCAGAAACTCACGCACCCTCACCTCACCTGTGACGATGAGGACAAGTGTTGGGCCCTCATGAGTGAGGTTTGCCGAGGTATGCATGTAATACCGCAAGTTCACACGACAACTTAACCCATAGAGGTACCCACCTGTTGTTTGCTCGTGTTATCAAGTTTTTCTAACAATGTTTTGTGGCACTCTATACTTAGATTAATTGACCGAAAATGTTTTTATTGGAAAGGGCGATGAAGGTGCCTTTTCTAATAAGCCGACAAGCTATAAAAGCATTCTGCTTTAATGTTTTTCTAGCCATGGACCACCTTGGCCACTTCAGACCAATCCACCAAGCAAGCAACAAAGGCAGACAAGGCCAGCCGGAGGTTCCTTAACTTTTTGATGGTCATTGACCTGCATGGATGGCAGCAGCCACACACTTGAAAGTGCCCGCCTAAACGTGAAAACAAATGCACCACGAGAGGTGTTGCTATTTGTTATGCCTTTGGAGAACTATAAACAATATATTTGCATGATGTTTCACTTTGTTGAGGCTACTAATAGTTTTGAAGTTAGACGCTCTGCGCGAGTGGTATGCACGATGTGGTCGCTTCGCGTGTCGGCTGTCCTGGCGGTACAACAGTGCAATCCACTGATTACGATACCACATATAACGATGTACGTATTGCATACAACAATCAGTTTCTAGAGATTCTAGACTTGAAATGATCGATTTCTAGTCAAGATACAACAATAATCGGTTATGACGACTGAATTTTTGAGTTCTCTCATTATCGTTATAAGCGGGCTGCACTGTACCGACAGAGAAGCTCCGTAAACTACCTCCGGTCAAGAATCCGAAACTGCTAAAACGTCACGGATGTGGATGCACCAAACTGAAACCAAATGGAAGAAAGGTGACTACTTCTCGCCTTCAATATTTTTACCTGATGCTTCTAAACCTGAACAGCTTCCAAGCAATGTGCCTGTTCCCACCAGAAAAATAAAAAAAAAGCTGCGCATTGACCTCTTCTTTATACAGTGGAATCTCGTTAATTTGAACCTGAGGCGGACCAAAACTTTGTTTGAACCACGCAAAGTTTGAATTACCGGGAGATTCTTTCCTAGAAACACAAAGGACGGGACCTGCATATTAAATTGGATTATCCGAGAGTTTGAACTAACAGGATTCTACTATACTATTTATTCCTTTGGAAAAAAAAAAACTCTACCACTGGAAAACACCTTTTAGAAAAAAACAAAAACACTCGGCTGTCATAAGGTTAAACAAAACATTGGTAGTCGGGAGGTTCCCATTCACAGTTGCATCAGCTATTCTCTGCTTAGCCTTACTTTTAGAACCAAATTTATATCCATTCGTAATAAGGCCGATGATCTGCTAAAAGCGAGTACCTCTGGAGCATGCTCCGTGGGAGGCAGGTGCCAACGGTATCCACCACCGCCCGCAGGATGTCGCAGGACTTGGACGCCATGTCAACGTCGCACCGGTGACCTGAAAACACCAACCAATCGCTTCGGCAGTGAGCAGTTGACTCCGAGTCGCACCGTCCGAAGAGCACAGCCGAAATTAATCGTCCCGCAGCCCTTCGCAGATTGCATGCAGCTAATTTGTTTCATGCAAAGGTACAATTTAGTTACGATTACTCCCCACTATAAACTGAAAAGCAATCCCCACATTTCGAGCGTTAATACACGAGAAAACTGGTCGCTAACTTGCGGACGACTATTTAACTAATCTTTACGCTCCCAGAAATGAAGCGCGATGCCGCCCGGGACCAGTTGCTATTGAAAGGTGTTAGGCAGACAAAGGAAGCCACGAGGAAGGTGCGAGATAAGGTATTAAATAGGGGTGTGCGAATACCGAATAGTAGCTTTCGAATCGAATACCGAATCGAATCAAGAAAAAAAACCGGAATATCGAATCGAATAACGAATAGTGATTTTATTTGAAGGAATTTTTCAAAGTGTGCTGCGAATGTGATTATTATATGTGCAGAGTATGCGCCTGGTGCAGATTATACATCTTGTACAAAACAAAAGCCAAAATGTAAAAAAGTTCCGGTGAGAAAAAAAAAAAAAAAAAAAAGCAGTTGCTGTTGAACGTTGGGTACTAAAGATCCAATTTTATGGTGCAAACATATTCTATCTACCCTAAACGTCACAAAAAAAAAAAAAAAGTTACAGCCACACGTGCCTTTTTTTTACTTTAAAAACACAACCTAACGCCGCAACTTTTTTAAAAAATATTTGTATATCTTAGAAAAGGGGCAGTTTGCGAAAGTTGGTCTCCATTTTAAGGAAAAAAAAATGGCACCTGGGATTTGATTTCACATAAATAAATAGACAGGTGTTAAATCTCAGTAAACAGCAACGAGGTAAACTGGCTTAAACAATATAATCTAAAGTAAGAAAAAAAACAAGGTTAGGTGGCATATGTCACCGTCCAACTGGCGCTACGCATCCATTTTTCCGTTTATCTATTCTGTTTTAGGGAGCCTTGATTTAAAAGAGGGAGCAACCGAAACTGAAACTACAGAGACAGCTCCATCGCAGATTGATCCTGAATGCGCATGTGTTGTGTTGTCGTGTGGAAAGAAGGCGAAAAAACAGAAGAGCGACGACGCCTGCCCTACCTGCCCGAACCCAACCGACGCTTTCGTCTTTTCGGCACCTTCTCGCAGTTCGTACTTCAAACGCGGCTATCGAGCTGTTGGAAACCCTTTCAAATCTAGGCACACTATTTTTCCGTTCCATTTCTTCCGCGCCAAGCCTGATTCTTTTCACGAGTAAAGTCCCTCGTTTCAAATTGAAGCGCCGATGTAAAACACACTTGCCGCACTCGCAGAAATCGGCTACTGCACCACTGCACAATCACAGAAAAAAAAACAACGTTACCACGTCGGCGAAACCAACCGAGTTGTCGTTCTGATTCGGAATCAGAATTTACGGTTCCAAAAGAACGACGACGATAACTCGGTTGGTTTCGCCGGTGTGGTAACTTTGATTTTCTTTGTGTGATCGTGCAGTGGTGCAGTAGCCGATTTCTGCGAGTGCGGCAAGTGTGTTTTACATCGGCGCTTCAATTTGAATTGAGGAGTTTTACTCGTGAAAAGAATTGGGCTTGGCGCGGAATTTTGGCTTCCCAACAATTCCTCTCTGGAAGCGGCGCAAGCGGGATGTTTCAGTTGTGATTCATGGGTAGATTGTGTCATGATCGTGAGTAAATCTTCGTGCTATAAAGTTTGTGGCGTTCGTTACTTTTTTGTTTTCTAGCCTGTGCGTTAGATTTTTGTGGAATGGTAGGACCAAGAGGTGTTTCTCGCATGGTCTGTCTAACATCACGGCGCTTACACCGGGGGAAAAACTGCATTTTTGTTTGCTCCGCGCCCACCGCGCGTCTTTGGCCGAATATATCGAATATTCGAGTAACCGAGTACTAGGAATTCGATTCGCGAATCGAATTATTCGGGAACTTTCTATTCGATTCGAATTCGTATATTCGCACACCCCTAGTATTAAATTAAATGAACATATCTGTGCGTTGAAGCTTACCCTGGTTAGGCATAACTAGAAAAGCAGGTGAAGCATGAGGCATCAATAATCCCTAGGGCAGCTCGTTAAGAGCTCCTATGGTGTAAAGCCTTCACTTCATTTTAGAAGAAAACAACGAGTGGTTTGAAACAAACACTCACCCGACTGAATCACGGCGTCGACGAGACCGAGAAATTCGGGGGAATCGACGACTCGACCCATGTGCATCTGAACGGCGTGCATCAGCTCCACAGTCCAGTGCAGTCCCAGAAGGCTGCGCAGAAAATGGTCTCTTTCCCAGGGCACTCCCCAATAAAGGCCCGTTCACACTCTTGCGACCGAGTACGACTGAGAGAGACGAGATCTCTTACAACTTCTTAAATGTTTCTAGAATGAGGGGACATTGTGGCGCCATCTATGCGGTGACCCAGGAACTGCATTTCACAAGAGCGAAGGTTTTGCGGGATTTCCGAGGTCAAATGTGCGTAATACACATAGAAAGGCTCGTTTATAACATTCACAAAAGCTTTTCGAGCCAAGAAAGAAAGGATAAAGCGCAAGAAATAAAAAAAAAAAATATGCCAGACCGCCGAGTTTACACTGCTTCCCAATAGATGGCGCCATTGTGTTCTCTGGTTTAAGAAGTTTTAAGGAACCCAGGTTTAAGAGGTCGCAAGCAGTCGCAAGAGTGTGAATGGGCCTTTAGTGCCGAGCATCTTGCAAGGCAGCTGAGACCACTTGCAACAGATTGCTTCATTTTGAAAACAAGCCTCGTTTCATTTAAAACTTGAAACGACACTAAACTTGAATGTCTAAAAGCCTGTTTGAGACTGACACAATCGCCAAAGTTACGACAGGAAACCGGAACCTCTCGGAGACTGTTAAGTTAACACCAGGGGAAGAGCGACGCGTCAAAAAAGACACCTTCGTGAAAAGTTCCTCCAAACACGTTTCTGAGTCAACATTGTTTTTGAATGGCGATCCCACGTGCTTCAACTTGACTCTCCTTGACGGATGCTGAAATCCAGGAACTGCTAATGACTTCAGAATTTGATGACAGTGAAACTGAGTGTACCCAGGATACTGATGAAAGTGATGGCGAGTCGTCACCCCCTGAAAGGCTACACGACAAGAAAAGAACTCGACGACGCTGGCCCCAACTGGACTTCAGGTGACTTTGTTCCCAATGTTCACTTCAATTCAGAAGTTAAAGAACTCCTTGAATGTAAATAAATGTACATATCGAAGAATGCAACCACATTTCTGTCTAGTAAAATATGTTTTGTGCAGCAAAAAAATTTAACGAAAAGAATCCTGCCCATTTGAAGGGTTAAAGACAGACACAAGTGTCAAATGTTTACGATCGTTTTAAACAGCAGCAGAATAGTAATGCCACGGCTTCCAGATAAGAGTGTGCGAACTTCCTTTCCATCAAATAGCGCCGCGTCATCCTTAGCTTTGACACTGTAGAGAGAGAGCGGAATCCTAGTGAATGTTGCCTGCAGGGCAAGGGCTACGGATGATGCAGCATTATTCGATTCAGACCACCGTTTGCACGCCCCCCCTATTTTCAGAGATGTTTCTGTTCTTCGGTAGACCCTTTTCAAAGGTGCGCGCCATCTAGTGGCAGCGGGACCAATTTCCGAGTCCACCACTGTTTGGGCGCACACTCTGGTCATGTATTGGACGCAGCGGTTGCGTCAAAGCTCGGCGCGAACCCGGCTCGGCTCACATCAAAAACGAGTGATGCGTTGGCGTTCGGTGGATATCCAATCACGCGCTTCATGCCCGAGAAATGCCGACCGCCAATGTTGCCTGATGGGGTTTTGAGAAGGGTCTATCGTTTATACAGGGAATCCTTGAGTGCCGGTCAGGTGTAAAAGAAATCGTCAGTCAAATTTCGTAAATGTAAATTTCCAAACAAATTCTTTTTTTTTTTTTTTTCACGAGAAGAACAGGAGCAGATTGTCCGGGTGTTCATCTCTAAGCGGTTTTCAGGTTTTTGTACCGTGTGGTACCACGTGTAAGTAGCAGCGCCAATCTGACAGTTTGCTTCTGCTTTCCTTTCGTGCATACTACTAATAAAAAGAAATTTTTTTTTTTCTTGCTTTTTCTTTTTAGGAATTTACACTCATGAAATATGAGACACCTTCCATGAAAAGTGTTATTGCACTCAGTTGATTAACTTATATACATGAATTCTTCTATGCCCAAACAGTGCTTGGAAGCACCCTGTACTGAGCGTCGTAAGCGTTCCCCATGGTTCGATTTCGGACCTTTCTCCACCGGTCCCCCTCCCCCGCCGTCGGATTGCCTTGGCTCACCGAGCGTCGTCCGCAATCTCGTCCGAAGCCAGGACGCGAGCCAGGAGGGTCAGGATCCGCGACAGGTGTCCGCTACTCGGGACCCCCAGGACGTCGCCTCCCGTGACCAGGACGCTCGAGGACACAAACTGGCCGTGCCTGGGGACAACGCCACAGGAGGAAACAACGTTCCAGGACGAGGCCGCAGGGCAGCCATTGAGGCAAGCAAATACAAAAACAAAGATTCCCTCGATTCTACGGATCGAGTTGGTACACAAAGAGTCTGTTTCTGCGACATTCTTTAAGTCTCCCAACAAACTTGGCCCTCTTTTTTTTTTTCTTTTTTAAATTTTCTTTGGGTAGAGAAATAGAAGCTGAGGAAGAGGAGGAGATGAGAACATACGGGGACGTCAGAATCCCAATCTCTGGTAGGAATGATTAGTGGGGAGATGCAAAGCAAGCTGGATCTGTCTCTAATCGCTTTTGAACGGCGGTGTTTGGCATTTGGCATTCGCGCTTGCCACTGCCCCTTCTTTGGTGCAGTGGTAAAGAGCTAGGCTCGCAATCGTGGGTTCGATTCCCGTGGAACACATTCAGAATTTTGTTCTTTCTTCTCAATTATGCATCCTTTTGTACACATTATCCTTTGAAGCATGTTTCGTAACACTTCACACGGCAATCCCTCACACTTATTTCAGGGATGCCGGATGCTAATTACACGCCCTTGCCTTAAATTTGATAGCAATATGCCAAATAGTTACATTGATAAAAAATATTTTGAAAACACTGTGAGGCAGTAACAAAGTAAGGAGTTCAATGTTTGAATGCATTTTTCTCAGTTCCACCCTTTGCTGCAAATTTCATACGAAGGAACATGCCATAACTATCCTAGCAGTACAGGAGTAAAAGTGAGGGGTGTCAGAAGGGTGTGAAAACATACATTTCACAGTGGCAGTGTGGCAGGTGCAGAAGCAATAAAAACTGAAGAGTGTCAAAAAGGTGTCGAAAGGCATATTTCGCAGTGGGAGGGCAGCAGGTGTAGGAGGGTGTACTGGACAATGAGCGGTGTCAGAAAGGTGCGGAGGCTCACCTCTCGCAGTGGGAGTGCAGCAGGTGTAGGAGGGCGTACTGGACCCCCGGCTGGTGCTTCCCGAGCCAGGAGTCGAGCGGAGCAAGGTGCTCCAGCACCAGGTCAAAGAAGGCAGGCTTCAGGGCCCACATCTGCGGAGAGGCAGACTGCAAGCTCAGGAACGCATCCGTACCTAAGGCCCCTTCGCACACTTGCGTCTGCTTACGACGGAGTTCTCGCAATCTCTTACGATGAGATGCTGGCGCCATCTACAAGGCGACCCTGAAACTGTGTTCCACTAGAGCGAAGGTGCTGCGGTATTTAGGAGATCAAAGGAGCAAACAATCTGAGAAATTTCCCTATACCACTGTCAAAAGTTTTTTCAATCCAAAAGAAAAAAAATAATGCGCGAGAAAAATGTAAAATCTACAGAAATGCCGAGTGTTCCACGTCTGCCCAACAGATAACGCCAGTGTGTTTCTCGCTGTAAGAGATTCCAAGAGGTTCTAGGCACTTGGTTTTAAGCCGTCGCAAGTGTGCGAACAGTATTTATAGACTGGTGAATACAATAATTTCTTTTCTACCCACTGGTCGTTTTGTTTTCACGCATCTGGCGCATTAACTCGGCCACTCCAGCCGCCCGGAAAGGCCCCTAGAAGCCAGACACCACCGACTCACCCCAATGATTGAGTGACGCGCGTTGGCCACCTCGCTGAGCGCGCACAGCGGCCCCAGCGACGTCGCTGCCGCCAGCGCCTTCGGCCCCGGCTCCGCGTCGTTGCTCAGCGCTGCCACGACGCAGCGGTAGGCCTCCTCCACCAGCGCCACGCTCTTCAGCCGCAGAATGGCGCGCTGGACCGCCAGCAGCGCCCCCTGGATCTTGGCACGGGGGCTGCGCGACCAGCGCCGGCCAAAGGCCACGGCCACCAGCGGCAGCGGGAGCTGGGGCCCCAGTCGGGCCACCAGGACCGACAGCAGACGAAGCACCGAGAGGGCGTGCTCTTCGGACAGGGGCGACAGGCCGCACTGGAGCTCCAGGAGGTCCACCAGCGCCGAGGGGCATTCGCCGGTCAGGTCTGTCAGCAGGCCCAGCGTCTGATTGGCTGCCGGAAAACGGGAGGACGTCGCGTCGTTGTGAAGGCGACTACGAGAGAAACTTGTGGCCGTTGTATAAAACGCACTGACGGAAAAAAAAAAAGCGCCTTGTCGTAAAATATTGCAGAAGCGCCCACTTCAATCAAGTGCCCACTATTAACATTTCCCAAACTTCGAAATCCTGATTTAAACAAACAAGTGCCCTTGTTCAGATTATCCCAGTTTTCAGTGAAAGAGGGCTGGGCGCTCCTCCGGTATTTTACAGCATACAGTTGCCGACAGATTTTTCGGACTTTGCAGGGACCGACAAAACGTCCGAATAATAGAGCAGTCCAAAAAATCTGCAGATTAAAAAACTGGCCTTTATTACGTCTAAGCGGGCTTAAAAGAGCCATAAATAGTGCCTTGCTGCAGGTTACGCCTGCGCGCCTTGTTTTAGGCTATGCCTCCATTTGCGTTCGGCAACTTTCTGTTAGCTTGAGAATCGCTGCCTTCTTTTCTAGCGTCATGGTCGAGTACCTTCTAGCGACACGCCGCGGCAACGGAAGAACAGTGGGGCACAACGTCCAAGCCGGCGTAGTCCAAAAACACGATTCACCGAGACGAGATCGGGATGCGAGGCGCAGGTCCACGACTGCAATGGCGAATGAACAAAGCGAAATGGAAACAACAATGATGATGATAATGACATGGCCAGCTGGAAAAACAAAAAGCCGTACAGCGTCACCTAGCAGTATTTAAGAGGCGCTGCCAAACCGAGCCAATCCATGTGCAGGCAACATAAAATCAGTGGTGTTTCCCGCCGACCGCTCGCGAAGATTTTGTCAGAAAAATCCAACTTTCAGACTTCAATCTGTCCGAAACGTTGGTCGTGAATTAGCACTATTTCTATCGGGTAGGTCACGGTTCCTCCTTTAGGTCTGAAATATCAAGCAAGTCTGAATTATCAGTGTCCGAAAAATCAGTCGACGACTGTACATAGGACCCTCCATTTTCAGTTAAAATGCGTGGATATAACTTATAAAGAAGGAACAGTCTGGAAAGCTTACAACCAACGGAAAGGGTTCGGATGCCTGCGAGATTGCGAAGTGATATGACACTGGTATACATGGTATACGTAGGATTCCGTGTTTACCGGAGTTTATTTTTCGCTGAAAATATGGGGTTAGTTTATTTTTGTTAGATGCCTATTTCTTTAAAATTCAGAGTTCATTTTACTGTTATCCCGATTTTTCAAAGTTCATGAACAAAATGAAGTTTGGGTAACATGACCCGTTGATCTGAAAGAACCTTGACAAACAAAAAGGCAAACCCGTTGGAATTCAACTGTAAGTCACCGGTGCAGAAACGGTCAAGGAATACTCAGAGTCTGGATATGTGTTCTTCGAAAGCAGAGGAGAAAATGACGACATCTTCAATGCAGCGCAAGCAGCTGCTCCACATTAGACCACACATAGCGTGTCCATTGTGCGCTCAAACGTGACTAAAGTGCTACAAAGTATGAAGGGCATTACGCTGAAATGGTAATGGATCTCTGAAGTAACGAATGCTGTTTGTGGCTCGTCGTCACTGGCGAGAGGAATTTGCCTGTGTCCTCTTCGGTGTTCCACAAAGGCGAAGTATGAACATCCCCAAAGCATATCAATGGTATCGTCTATTCTTGGCAGGGTGTGCACACACTTCTCTGTAACTTTGTTTAGTTTCCTACAATAAATGCAGAGGGTAATGAATGTAGGATCTTTCTGTACGTTGACGACTATCTGGTTCTTCATCCTGTCTCCAACTCAGATGTTCCCATTCCTGAGGCATTCAAAACTCACGCCAGTGGCCTCACCTTCAAAAGGGAAGACCCTACTCAGGAGGGTCTTCAATTTCTCGATCTTCGACTGACCCAGTCGTCTCACGGTCTTTGCTGGTCTTTTCAACAGCGTTCCCAGAAACCTGTCCTCCCCTTCTCTAGCCATCATTCAAAAACCGTTAAGCCCGGAATTGTCCAGTCTCTCCTTCCTCGTGCAAAAAGTCCTGCAATCATAAGATCAGAGGGAGCCTGTCGCTGCAGGCCATCAGGAGGGCGGGCTACCCGGTGGACCTTTTAGATAACGTCAGCAAGAAACTCATCCTGCAGTCGAGGCTCCCTCCGGGACCCGGTCTGCCCGCCCTGCGTGCATCCCGTACTCCCACAACACGGCACACCGGCTCCGCGCGCTTGCACGTCGATTCGGCACCAGAGTTCTTTTCACACGTAAATTTAAATTGGGAGGCATGTGCAGGCGAGTAACCAACCCACATGCACAAGAAAACACGCGCAGTGCTTCCGGCCCTGCACAAGGGAAAAGGCGTACAGTATTCCACTTGTACATCGGCCAGACGGGGCGGTGCGTAAATGACCGTCTCCGGGAGCACGCCAAGGAGATCTTGTCTCCTTCTCCGGATTCCTTCCATCCAGTCGTGGTTCATGCCAAAAAAGACTGCCCCTCGTGCACCCCCGAGTTCTCGAAAACCAAAATTCTCGGCGGGCACGAGTCTCGATTCGGCAGGGAAATCCTCGAGTCCCTACATATCAAATCTTCAGTCTCAAACCTGTCCAGCCCATCCCTTTCTCTTTCTAATCGAGAGATTCGTTTCCTGCGGGGCTAGAGGGCTCCTCCAAAGACATAAGAAGTCTAAATTCCCGTATCTTCTTCTCCTTCCCTTCTTGGCCCCTTTCCCTTCCTTCTCCAAGAGAGCACCGCCGGCACATCTTCTCCTCTTCTCCGTCGCCCTTCCCCCCTCCTCCCTTCTTTCCCCAAGAGGGCTCCGCCCGCACTCGGGGCAACGGCGACGTGTCGATTGACACTCAGCAGACCCCCCTTCTGCTTTGCACGCTTAAGGCCCGTTCACACTCTTGCGACTGCTTGCGACCTCTTAAACCTGGGTTCCTTAAAACTTCTTAAACCAGAGAACACACTGGCGCCATCTATTGGGAAGCAGTGTAAACTCGGCGGTCCGGCATATTTTTTTTTTATTTCTCGCGTAATCTCCTTTCTTTTTTGGCTCGAAAAGCTTTTGTCAATGTTATAAACGAGCCTTTCTATGGGTATTACGCATATTTGACCTCAGAAATCCCGCAAAACCTTCGCTTTTGTGAAATGCAGTTCCAGGGTCACCACATAGATGGCGCCACAACGCCAGTGTGTTCCCTCATTCTAGAAACATTTAAGAAGTTGTAAGAGATCTCGTCTCTCTCAGTCGTACTCGGTCGCAAGAGTGGGAACGGGCCCCTCCCCGTCGCCCCCCGTCAAGCTTCAGGAGGCGAAGTCGAGCCAGTAAACGTTTTGTTCAAAGTCAAAAGCCTGTCTTGTCTGTTTGTCTTAAATGTCCCTCTTTCCTTATCGTAAATTTATAACCAACACGCTCAACCATCTACATTACGCAAACAACCATCTTTTTTCTTGACGAGAACAACGGGAGATGAGCACAAACTCGACAAAGGTTCAACTACATTCTTCCGAAGCGTATCATCTACGTCTGTCTAAAACAACTCGATGTTCTGCTCGAAAAATTCTGTACGGTCTACTTCTGAACGCTTTCGAGTCCCCAGTGTCGATATCGTGTCAAACAAGTGGAGTTTGTGCCGGAGCATGGCTGTAAAGTCAAAAAGGTCTTTATAGTCCACGAGGAAGCGGCTTAAGTCCGTTTTATGCGGGTAGGCGACGACATTATGCGCGCATCTCCACAAGTCACGATACCCATTTTCTCCTATTGAATACCAGGGTGGTTATGACTTTCATAGCTAAACGTTACACTAGCGTTTGATTGCGTTTGGTCAATTTCACCAGCCTTACCAGAGACAAGAAGGGCATTTCTGGGAGCAAATTCGGTTGCGTGAAGGACGCAGTTGAGCATTCCGTGGAGGTTCTGCAAGAGTAGGAAAAGTGATATAAATATAGTCACGCATCAGCACCACTCCATCTCACAAAATCTTTACTCTAAACTACTCGTGAAACAAATGATTTGTCCTCCATTTGTGTACAATCCCAGGCGAAGGTTCCACTTCAGTCTATCGGAGAAATAAAGTTACATATCGATCCATTCCCAACATCTGGAAACGAGTATCAATGCCTAAAAACGTCCCCAGCACTTCTTTTTTTTTTTCCACCAAAAATGGAAGAGAAATTATTGCTGCAATGTTGTAGACCGACGATAAGCTTCGGCAGGTCACACTATACAAGTTGATTATGCCCCAATTTCTGATTACACAGCAGACATATCTCAGATAAGGATATGCGAGGCGCAACAAAAATGCGCGGGCAATTATGTTTATTTATAGAAGGTTCTGTACCCTTGTAACGAGACAATCGTAATGTTTGAAACACAAACAAATAGCCCGTCCAATTATCAATTTCGTATAACAAACCGAGAAATTACGCCAACTCATACTTAGCTTACGGTTAGTATTTGTTCTCATTCACGTGAGCATTAACTTTGCTTTGCACGAATTAACGTGAACATGAATTAACCATGAAATGAATGACCTACATCGCTGAGCAGTTCCCAGGTGACCACCTGAACGGCGTGAGACCCCAGTGCCTGCACCACGGTGCCGTAGACGCGCAGCAGCGAAGCCATCTTGTCCAGGCACTCGCACGGGTCCTCCTGCACAGAGCACATTAACGTGACATGATTTCAATAAGAATGCATGGCACGGAATACTGTTCGAGTGCCCATTTGCAACATGCTATTGTCAGGAAGTGCGTTAGTCTCCAGCAAAACTCTGAACTCCCATCAGATGGTAGTGAAGTTCAACAGAGCCCTTTTATGTGTCCTTCCCAACAGCAGTGTGTCAATGCCCTTTTGTCCTTTGCAAATATTTTCGCCCTCTACAATGTGGATTGGATGGTGCGTTAGCCCTTTAGAAAGACCTCATAAGTTCAATTCTTACTGTATTGTGTGATTATTTACTACGGAGGTGCCCAAAGGTAGCCTTTATTCAATGCAGCGCATCTAAGCATAAAAGTAAAAATCAACCCAAGCAAAAAAAAACTTTTTTCCTTACGATAGTTTTTGAGACGATAAAAAAACTATAGTCTTTCCAGACAATAGTTTTTATCGCGGGGCGGAGTGTTCATTTCATGTAGTTTTACCTAACCCTTTGAAGGGTTCGTTATTAAGCGAAACTTTGCATGGCAAACGCTTTCAGTGTTGAATACGCCCCGCAAATATCGTGCAAATCAAACTACCGTTTATAAAGTTTGCCTTTCAGAATGCTGTCTTCCCTTAAAGAACCACTGAAAAGAAAACAAATTTTTTTTTTTTAAAGTCTGGTTGGGTCTGGTGTGTCAAAAAAATAAATATTATGAGAAATTTTTTTTAGCAAGATTGACGGTACGAGATTTCTTTCAAATTCTGCGAGCCAAGTCCATGACTTCGTGGAATGGTCATTCACTCTCTCCATCTCAACGTGATAACCAAGCCGATCCACCCCTCCTCCACGCGCCGAAAATGCCAAGAGGAAACGGGTGGAAAGGAGGTGATTGTCGACTAAATCACGTCTCAATATTGGTCTAAACAAATATTTTTTTTTGCGTAAAATTTATTTTTTGACACGTGTGCCCCAACCAGACTGCTTAAAATAATTTTTTTTTCTTCTTTTCAGTGGCCCTTTAAAGGGGTACTCCGGTCGTTTTTTAAACTACCCAAAGAAATTGCATTTTTTTAATACTTGGTCTCTAGTCTTAGCGGTATGCCATTTATTGTCTCAAAATTCAAAATGGGTAGTGAGAAAACCGTAAATGAAGGCGATACCAAAATCAACATTCAAATTTTCACGCGTTCTCCAGTGGTGTGACGTCACAAACGGTACAGACTTTCAGCTAATGCAGGTAGTCATAAAGTATGCCGAGCATTTTTCCATGCTCCTCAATGAATGAGCTTCCAAGCATTCTTTCCCATCCTCAAGCGTCTTGTATTCAGTTGAGAATGTGGTTTACTGCCCAGTTTGTACCAGTTCTGTCGTCACACTTCAGTCTTGCCAGCCCCAGTTTGAGGAGCACGATGATAACTAAATTAAGAAATTCAATACCTTTGGACATATATATATTTTTTTTTTCACACAATACTCGGAGAACTGGTATAGCCATGTCCATTGGCATGTTGAGCCTATTTAAGGGGCAAATCAGCGACCATAAAAAAATCCGCTGGAGTACCCCTTTAAAGAAACCGATTCATGTGGCCCCTCCCAAGGGCCGACATGCCCTGTGGTGCACCTGAGAGAGGTCGTCGGCGTACGCTTCCAGGTCCTCCACGAACTGCCCGAGCAGGGTGGCGCAGAAGGCCGGGTCCGCCACCCAGAAGGGTGCCAGGGCCTCCAGGGTCTTGCCTGTGCGACGCGCCAGGGCCGGCGACGACGCGTCAATGTGCCACCCCACCAGGATGTCCACCGTGTCGTGGAAGTGGCTGGCCGCAAACGCGTCCGGGTCCTGCTCCGCCGCCCAGAGGGAGAGCGCGGCCGCCGCAAGGAGCAGCTCGCAGTCGTCCGTGCCCTCCAGCATCGTCTGGGCGCGCGCCATCACCGTCTGCGAGTAAAAAGAATCCACAGGCGGTTTTGCCCATTCTTTTTTGTGGTTAGAGACCCCAGAGGTTCTTGCCTGTTAGGGCGGTGAAAAACTGCCTGTTAGGGCGGTACCTAACAAAAAAGAAATTAAGTGTGCCTCAACTATAATAGACTCGGAGATGCATAGAACCCGTCGAATGAGCTGGGCAGGTGCTACGCGTGTGTACGACATCACATGACTTTGCATCACAATGCCACGTGATGGCCTGACGTCAAAGTCATACGAGTAACATGGCCTGACCTGTCTGTCGATCGAGAGTAATGTGTCGCTTTTCTCGTGAAACACAGCCCTATAACACATACTGCTATAATATGCAACTTACCTTGACACTTCGCATAAAGTCAACGGACGCAAAATACGTTGCATATTTGCGTCAAAGTCAAGGTCTGTTATGCCCGTGGTTGGCGCCAGTACGAGCCCCGTGATCATGTGACCTGACGTCAGAACGCACTATGTCACAGTGCTCATCGTAATGTTCCATTACTTCACAATGTGGTGTAACAAAATGCAGCGTCACCCGACGTCACATCAGACGACACAGTGTCACGGGGCACCACAATGTCTCATGACATCGTATGACCTAAATTGAATGGAAAATTTCTCATTATATTTAGTGGAAAAACCTGCAGCACATTAAGGCATAAACACTATAATCTACTTCAGTAAAGCAGTAAAGTTTTCCCATTAAAGTTGAGTCACGTGACTTGCCACACGCTTTTGTAACAACCTTTCGCCACGCTGAGGACTTGGATACCAGCACGTCAAAACATCTCATTCAGAATACTCTCAGCTTCCTTGGGACTTTTACTAAACTATACATTGCAAGAAAATTAGGGCTAACCTACTTATCGCAGTCTGCTCAATTCAGTCGAGTCGTCAGAGTCAAGTCTGCAATCGTCACGTCTGTACACGCCCTGATAGAACTACCTATAGCCAAACTCTACTGGCAATTAGGCATGGGGTAGTAGACACAAGGAAAATGAATATACAATGATGCCTCGTTAAAGAAGTAAAATAATTATTGTGCTCTATTATTACCTGTAGAACTTCAGCAGCCACTTGCAGGTTGGTCTTCAGTACCTTAAAAAAAGAGAAAAAAGAAATCAATTTATAGAAAAGAAACTTTGAAAAAAAAGGCAAGAAGAAACAAAGCACAAAGGCATGAGAGAGAAGTAACGAGCAAGCTCTACTGTCCAGGATCAGTTAATAAAAATCAGCCAAACGCTGGAAGCAATTTATGTACATGGCTTTATATCATAAACTTATTTGCCGGGTGGGTGAACAGTACTTACTACAAACAGGAATACACGATGAAGAGAAGGGTTTTGACAATTTCTTTCTTCGAAGAAAGTGTGTGTGAAGTTTATGGGTAATAACAATTTCCAGCGCAATTAAAAAAAACACCTGGTTTAATAGTGCTTGCAGCTGTCTTCTTCACCTGATCAAAAGCTGTGAGCGTGAGCTGCTCTGCCCGCAGACAACTACCCGGGAAAACTCTGGTTGAATCAACACTTTCGCGTTCTTTCCCTTCCCTGAACCACCAAAGAAAATTGATTGACGGTGCACCAAACAACCAAACCACTTGCCTCGAGCAATGCCTTGAGCAAGAGAATCCGCGATTCGTCGGGGATGCTTAGGTCGTACACATCCAGGCTCCACTCGACAAACCTGAAAAAACGACGCAGAAGATTAGTGGAAAAAGAGACGACGGGCTCTCGTATGCTCAAGTCCCCAGGTTTGTTGCCCACAAGCTCGAGCCCTCAAAAGTAAAGCGACAGACATCAAACTGCGAGAATATCTGTTTCTTTTTGATTTTTGGGCTGGTTGTAGTAGCTAAGGCTGGACATTTTTGTTACATGTATCGTAACTGAAGATTAAAAAAGAAAAAAAGGTTAGGTCGAATTGGCATGATTTTTAGTACAGCAATAAACAATCTAGAAGGCTAGAACGATAGCATATTTATCTATAGCCAACACCTCTATTTCTTTGTTTCAGGTGCCAAGGAAGGACACATCCACGGGAAGAACGCCAGAGACACGAAATTTCCAGAAAAACACAACTGAGGATGCAATGGCCACAAAAAGAAAAGAATACAACGAAGTAAGGTTACGCCGTTCTATTATTCGACAAAGGTTGCGCGAAGCTGTTCTAGGCAGTCATCGGGTCATAGAGCCGAAAAATACGAACCGACGAAAAAAAAAGTGGTTCGTTCCAGTTCCCGCAGAATGAAAATGGGCCTCGACTCCGTATGAAAGAAAAAAAAAATAAAATTACATTTCATCTCAAATACAGAGAGCACAGTAGACCGATGCATGCTAGATGAACTGCATAATACACATGCTGTCCAGATAAGCCTTGTACCACCTACGACCACTGACAAGGTGAGGACGGCCGGGGAGGAGCCTCTGTTGTCCCGCCTCCAGAGCAAACTTTCTACCTTCCACAATGCTCCGGCGTCTCGAGCACACATCCAAAGCACGGTGGAAGCCACGGAGCATATGCCGGAACTCGGGTAATAAAAAGACAAGCACCGCTGTTCTACTCCGTTGGTGATCCCTGACGCAAAGCGCACCCGCGTTCTTTTCCGAGCTGCAAGCGCCTCGCAAGGTGGGAGCACCGCAAAGCTTGCAGAGACAACGGCCCCCCTCGCGTTTTCCGTGACGAAGAGAAGCGATAACGCCCGGCACTTGAACGAGCGAGTTGACGGGGGACTTCAAGAACTGAAAGCGTAGAACATGCAGTGACAAAGACGTAAAACGGCACGTTTGCGTTCTTCGGCATTTGTCCCCGTTTGTTGGTCAACACACTCGTTGAACCCCTCGACGGAGGATCCAAGCCATTTTGTTCCCCTTTATCTTTTCCCATATCTGTTTCTGCACACATCCGTCTTGCTTCTCGAATTCCACTGCTGTAACGCACCGAAAGGCTGGTCACCATTGGCCAGGACCCTGTAATTACTAGAAGTGGGCTATCTTGGCTATCTTTTGGTGTTTCTAAACAATCGCAAATCGTGCCAAAAATAGGGGTGCGTTACCTTTCGGGGGTGGGGCATCTCTCGGGGTCATGTGAATGATTGCCTTCGACAGGTGCCAGACATAGTCACAACATAATGGTGGACAAAATTATGTCAGTGAATAACACCTATACGGTGACTTGTTATTAAAAGAACTGCCGACCACAAATTTCTCCAACTCTCACTATGTTTCCCCTAAATTCCACCATATTCTTACAACTTTTCCAGGCAACCTAGGCTAACTCTGTTGGCAATGGTCCCCATGCTTGAGTTATATTGTATCGGTATACTGCTCGTCTCACAATCGTTTTCCCTACGGTAGACTAAGTTTCACAATGTTTTCCCTATGATCCCTAATACTTTCCCAACTTTCCAAAACATATTAAGGTCTCCGACGCTCAGAGGCTAGCCATGTTGGTAGTCAGCCTTTGTTTGTGCCCCATGGTGTTCACATATCACATCTTTTTATGGTTGTTTCATGGTTCCTTTAGCTGCCCAGCTAAAAGAAACTGAATCTCGACACATTTTCTCTAAATTCCCTGACTTAACCAGGCAAACTTCTCCCAATACATTCTAGTCTTCTACCATTATCTTGTTGGTAGCTAGCTCTGTTTGTGTCATGCTGCACACTTCTCACAGTGGTTTTAGTCCCTCTGAACAGCAGCGTTTTCCCAGGGACACTTTCATGCATTATAGAATTATCCAGTCTGTACGCAGCTCTGTGTCTGCGTCCCACTGTGTTGGCATACTGCATGTCTCCGAATTGTTTCATGATCCCTTCAGGCTGCAATCTTTTCGTAAAATCCCTAACTTCGCCAGGCAGATCGAGTTTTCGGACACTTCCATGATCCGGGACAATTCTGCTGGTACTCAGCTCCATCTTTGTGACTTGCTGCTTTGGCATACTGCATCTCTTACGATCGTTTCGTGGTCCCTTTGGGCAGCATTGTTTTCCCTAAATTCCCCGTCTTATCAATACTCCGTGTCACTAGTTGTGTGCAGTACAGGTGAAGGCGATGCCAGGCAAAGAGAAAAAGGGCGAGCACTAGGAAGGCGGGATGGGAGTGGAGAGGAGGTTTCTCTCTTCCTCCTACGCCTTCTTAGTGCTGGCCCTTTCTCTCCTCGCTTAGCACTGCCTTCACCTGTACTGCACACAACTAGTGACACAAAGTATAGGCAGGCCAAGCTCTCCAACACTTTCATGCACTTCAGAATTATGGAGTTGGTAGCCAGCAGTGTTCTGGTGTCCCACTGCATTGGCATACTGCATACCTCTCAATCGTTTCATGGTCCCGCTGAGCGGCAACGTTTACCCTAAATTCTTCGCCTTTTCTAAGCAGGCCAAGTTCTTTGACACTTTGAAGCATTCTAAGGTTATCCTGTCCGTATCCAGCAATGTGTCTTCGTCTCACTGCTTTGGTACACTGCATCCCTCCGAACTGTTTCATGGTCCCCTTGAGCACACTCACTCGCGGGCCCTGTCGCCGAGGAGCGTGCCGAACGCAGACAGGCACGCCGTTAGCTCGTGGCGGGCGTCGTGGGCCAGCCGAGGCCGCCGCAGCGCCTCCTCCAGGGCCTGCTTCAGGTGCCCCTGGTGCTTCAGGACCCAGGGCACTGTCAGGCGCTCCCGCAGCTCTTTCAGGGACCAGGCTGCAGGCTCGTCCTGGGCTCGCTGCAGGGCACCCCATACGTCGTCTTCGTCTGTGGGGGAAAAAAAGAAGAGAAAGAACAGTCAACATTTAATTTTCACGTTCGCTCATGACTATGTACCGCTTTGCTGTAAACTCCATTATTTTTGAGGGCTCAATATTTTATGAATTTCAACAAGTGAAGGATGCAGGAATATATCACAGTCACAAAATTTCGCAACTGGGAGAGGTTTTGCTATGTATTCATTACCGCGGGGTAATATATTAGTGGGATCTATTTCTTGCAATATTATTAGAGTCACGAAATTTGTGAAAATTAAGTTGTTTACAGAATTTACTGCATGAATGGCTCTTCTAGCGCATACATGCAAAGTACAAATTAAAACCTGTGATTGTGCTTGGTTTTTTTCTTTACTGTTAATATTTTCTTTTAAGCTTTTTTTTTTTAGGTTCAGATGCATTTATTGATTTGGTTTTATCAAAACATTTATATCATACAGGGCACGACTGAAGCTTTTTTAAACCAGTGATAAAAGCGGCATTATGCCTTTTGTAGCACATTCTGTAGCAGAAAAAATAAAGGTTTGGAGCAGCAACTGATGCTTATAAAGCATTAGTTGCTGCTCCAAACCAATGATTACATTAATTGTGCTTTGCAGTAGTGTTCATTGTAATGGCAAACTGTTTTGTGCATTTTTTATTTCTGGCATTAATAATCCAGAACTATGATGCCTTCTGAAAAAGGGTAATAGTACCCGAAAAAACAGAAAGGATTACTCAGAGCAATGAAACAGTCAGAGTTGAGAAATAGACGTAATCACCAACCTTCCTTAAGGGCAACTCCGCTCAATTCCGAAAAATTTAGGCTTACATGCGATTCCATTTCACAAAGCACTACTAAACAACTCTACGTCTTCGGATTCCCGGAATGTGGAATATTATTTGTGTAATCCTAATTTAAACATCAGCTGATACCGAAACCGAAATTTCGAGTGCGTCAGGCAGCATTGGTCTCGTGTCGTCAGAGTCATGGCCACGTCACGTCGAACCATGTGGTCTTGTGACGTTCGGGAGGGGGCGAGGGACAGGACACGTGACGCGGGCAGGTCACTTCGCGTGGCGTGGACGGTGATGGCCCGGGGGAGAGGGGGAAGGGGAGAAGACGAAAGAGGAGAAGGGGAGCGGAAAAACAGACCGATAAGCGCGGAGGGCAGCGCAAACTAGCGCATCCGCATTAAGGTGATCACGTGGACGCCGTTCAGCCAACACCAGGAGGAGAAACTCATGACGTCGTCGTTCAATTTCGCTCCAAGAAGTAAAAACAAACAAAACGTAAGATTGACGTAGTCATGCCTCTGACGTAGTGGCTCAACGTTTGGCGCTTAAACTCCATCGCATTGACTGCACTGACGATTGCGCCTAACGTCGCACGCTAGAGTTGGCAGATTTCGGCGATTTGGCTCACTTGAAGGTTTGCTGGCCAGTTTATTAAATATATAGACGGAGTTAGATCGTAATATTTGACATGGGGTCTTCCTATATGATACTGAACAGGGCTACATAGTTTTCTAAATATCAAAAATGAAGCGGAGTTGCCCTTTAACTACATTCCACTGACAGTGCTTTTAGTGGCGTGCCTCGCTGCCTAATTGAAGCGGCATTCATCTTATAGCCCCAAAGAGCAACATTGTGTATAGTAGGATCATCAACCAGGTAAACCACACATTGCAAAGCACCGCTAACTTCATTTTTTATAAATCTCACAAAAGAAAAATGATGCACTTTTTTTTTTTTTTTTTTAGGGGAAACTAAAGGCAATTTTTTTTTCTAAAAGGATTTTTTTTTTTTGAGTAGGTGCTTTTCATTTTCTTGAGGGCTCATCATACCACTCAACCCTGTCCAACCTTTTAAACCAAACATTTTGTGATGGAATAGAGCGTGCTAAAACTAGCGGCGACCAGCTAAGACAAAATTTCTATTAAGAATGCGGTTAATTCACAGTTCAATCCATTTTGGTGCGGCAAGAAGTAATTTCTCAGGATTAACACTTGCCGTAAGATACCGCGGAAGCACCCACTTCGTACAAGTGCCCACTATTAACATTTCCCATAATTGGAAATTCTGAAAATGACATGTCCGGCATCAGCCGAAAACATGCAGCAGCGATGACGGGGATGTCACGTGAAAATAAATCTGCTTTCTTCGATTCCGTTCACCCTGCCTTCAAAGCTCTTCATTGGCCACCCTCTTGATTTTTACCAATTTGACCCGACAAGCGCCAATGTCTAGGTTAACAGTGAAAGTGGGGTGGGTGCCTTTCCGGTATTTTACGGCAGTCGACAGCATGTTGCAACTCCGAAATTAAACTCTGAAAAGCCACTTCAGTGTTCCCGTTGACCATGTCCCCTCAAGCAAGAAGTTCAAAGCCTTAACAATCTATTAGACCTTAGTTTCCAAGGTTCCCGCCTTTGCCGTGAACGGTCGCACTGAGCGCCTTTCCGATTCTGTCGTCCGCTAAGACAACCCCTCTAAGTCTAGCTTGCAGGCAGATAAGGACGCTTAAAGCGCGAGGCTGTCAACTTGGCGGTGTGCCAGCACGTTGCACTGATGTATCGCACCGAACGTCCAGGGACAGAGCATTTCCGATAATCGCAGATCGTGAAGACACTGGCCAGGCTATCTCCGACATGCGACAGAGGGAAAACATGGTACGAGCGAGCTACAAGGTCACGCGTGTAATGCCCGTTGCTTTATTAATTATTGTAGAGATAACAGATGTTGAATTTTGGAAGGACTGGCTGTCCACTGAAGTACATTTTTTCGTCGTTTGGCACCTTGCAACGACCATATCAAATGCTTATATCTAGGGTGTGTACTTTCCGGTGTTTATTTGTGAGAAAAATCGGCGGATGTTTTTCGGTGTTTATTTATTTTCGAAACACCGGTGTATTTCGGTGGAACGTGTCACGACGAGGCTAAAATCGGTGATTATCGGTGGAAAAAAAATGCGATTGATCACAGACAGAGAGTTCTAATTTTATTCACAAAATCATACACTTCTCAAGGAAGCATATATTTCTTACACTTGGTTATTATAGTAGAAGCAAGCATACTTCGAGAGGCTTGCATCCGTCATGGCAGCACGTTTTCACAACCCGCAATTTTGAAAACACACGCTCCACATTTTCGCTGGACACAGGAAATCCCAAAATGTCCAGCCAGGCTTAGGACAGTAGTGGCCAGTCAGGTAAATGAAGTTTCCAAAATAACACTGCAGATCAACGGTGCTAGTCACAGCATACTGGCGGTAACAAAGAAACTCTGATTCTAGGTCACTCAGCTAGCTCTCGTCTCGGAGGACCAGCCGATAGATACTTTCATAAGGCACAAATCTCTCTGGCAGCTCCACGTTTATGCACATATTAACAATTGGCACGCGGAACCAGAACGACGATTCATCCATGAAATCTGTAGCGTAGTCATCCTGAGCTTTCCGCTTACTTCCCATCCTGGTGGCCTTCTACTCCGCGTGACGACGAAGGGAAGCAAGTCTCAGGTTGAGAAAACCCGCAGACGCAGGACGGACGCGCCTTCTCAAACACGTCTACAAATTTTTTTACAGAACGGTTCTTTTATATACAGCCGAAAAACTCCCCCGCCAACAAAACCCTTTTTCCGTTTCCCCAAAAGCCCATGGAAACTAAACAGATAACAAGGAACGCATCTCAGTTCTGAAAGCTCAGTAGCCCTGTACGACACGGATGTTGGTAGTGTCTTCCAGGAACCACAGCAACCTCTGAATACATGGCTTGCACCGACATTACTTGGCCAGACATAATGGGGAAAAGGCACGTGAGAGCGTACCCTCCGCTGCGTTAATTTTTCCACAAAAGGGGGCCATGGGCGACACAATGGGGAAAGGCGTGTGAGAACTTAGCTTTTACTGCGTTAACTAGACGCTTTTCACCCCCAGAAAGGAGGGCGGACTGACGCCACGTGCAAGCCATGCATAGACACTGGAAGAATGCAGGATCCACGAGATAACACGTTTGACGAACCTCCACGGGGAAAGGGTTTTGCTAGGTCGGAAACGTGCAACGACCGGTGTTTTTCGGTTTTAACAGGGGCGAAAATATCCAACCACCGGTGTTTTTCGGTTTTAACCGATTTTGTATTTTTGTCACCGACGGATGTTTATCGGTGTTTTTCGGTTAAAACCGGAAAATACACACCCTACTTATATCTAATTTGTTAATTTTTTTTTTTTTATGCAATTTAAACGATTTACCTGTGCTTCCTATCCGTGTGGCATGTGAAAATATTTCAAAAGCTGCCATTGAATAAATGCAAAAAAGGACTGGTAAGTCTGTTAAAACTGCTTTCATCAATATTTTGGGTACGAAGAAAAACCTTATAACCGTTAGTAAAAGTGGGTCTTCAATGGGAAAGCAAATTGCCGTACCCTAATGGTCTTTACCAAATAAATAACAATGATTATCGGTGTTTTTCCCTGAAATAGTCCATGTTACAAAATGACTCAAACTTGTAAAATCAGGGGACTGCTCTCTACATCCAGAATACCACTTGAGCCAAAACACTGTTTCTAGGATGAAAAGCGGGGTGAAAAAAAGGAAGAACAAACAATGCATGGCAGCCAATTTGCAACGCACCATTTCCCTCTATTATTCTGTAAAGCCACATAGTTTCCCCAGGTCACTCCCAGACTACAAGTCCAAGCAAATCCGATTTTAAAGCAAAAAAGAAAACTCACAATGCCATTCCTCTAGACGGGTCGTGAAAAAACTAAAGGAGGTCGGGCGAGGCATTCAACTGTTTGCATCCATTCCACGCTCACTTGTTACAATGCCCACCCTGCCTGCCTTCACACTGCATCACACTAGGGGCAACCTAGCTACCGTAAGTGTAATCAAACAACACGTAACCAAAAGCAATCGGAACTCTCAGCCAGGCGGCAAGGGTAGCACTTTTGTGAAGAGTAATCTCCGAACGGAAGGGCCACCTGGCGTTAGCGTGTGTGCGGCAGCTGTTCATTCTGTACCGCAGGTGTGGAATTTTAAGAGAATGCTTCTTTTTGACAACAGAGCGCCCAACGTACTCGGTTATCTCACTTGACCCTTCACTTTCCCTCGCAACGCTGGCTAAATTAGGACTTTTCCAGGCTCTCCCCCACCGCTGTTTTGGCCAAATTTTCCGGTCTGTTCCTACTTGCCCAAAAAACTGATCGATTTCATTCAATTTTCCAGGCTTTCCCTCGAGATTTGGGTCACATCTTCCTATTTATGTCGGCTTTACATCCTTTGGCCAAATTCACCGACACTTTTAGGCTTTCCGTCACAAATTTGGACGAATTATGGCTTTTTTAGACCCTCCCCTCGATGTGGCCAAATTCCACCCTTTCTACATGCCCACGATTTCGTTAACTTCCCCGGCTTTCCCTCAACATTTTGCACATATTTACCAAACTCTGTTGGCTTTCCTTTTTTTTTCTGGCCAAATTTGTTGGCATGTTTTGACTCTCTATCACAAGTATGGTCAAGTTTCGATGCTTCCAGGCCCCTCTTGCTATTGCCATTTGCACAAAATATTCCATAGTTCATTTATCTCCAAAATTCAACCATGTTTCTTTTTTTTTTTTTTTTAATTTTTTACACGCTTTTTGTTGCTCGTTTTAATTTACTGACATTTGAAGGCTCTAAATCACAGCTTTGGCTATATTCTGACATTACCAAGCTAGTCTCCTCACTATATAGGACTTTTTTAAGTGTCAGGTTTTACCCCACAGTACTCCTCAAATTTTAATTTTCTCAGGCCCTCTCCCTATTTAGGCTTTCAAAATGTCCCAAAGGGATTGTAAGAAACTAACCAATTTTCTAACCTTTTCTAGTCTTTCCTACTACTTTGGACAAATTCCCCAACTTCTAGAGTTAAGAATTCATTGAAAGAAAACTTCTTCCTTTACAACATTGGCTAAATTCTCTAGAGACTTTTGTAATGAATAAGTTTGAAATCATTGATAAAAATGGAAGCATTTAAGTGTATCCACCTGCCTAAGTGGCTCTTAAAACAATCTGAAATGAATCTCCCCCAAGTTCAGAAGCATCTGTTCAATGTTTGCATGGTTCTTAACTGGGAAACAGAACACATGGCACCTTCACAAGAATGAGTCTCTTAACCATGCATTAAAGAGAATGGTATAAAAAGCAAAATATTTTACAGGGTGTGTCTTGCAACCAAATTCTCTAAAGATTTCCTGAGCAGAGCCATGGCTCAAGCAGCACCCAAAAGAATTTAGAAGAAGTGCAGCTTTCATTGAGCAATTTGTGTACGATTTACTGCAAGCAATGCACTTGCCACTAGAAGAGTGGTTCATGCAGCTAGGTCAAGCGATAATCATAATCATAATTAGTTTGGTTTAGAAGAGCCACAGCACAGCAGCGGCAAGTGGCCAACACCTTAGAGGCTCGAGTGCCACGTCCAAAGACGGTAACAACCAGTGAAGACAAGACAATGGTTAAAAGATTATCATAGCGATGGTAGAAATAGGAGTCTGTGAAAGACGGCGCTGAAACCATTCTGGATGCTACAAAATCCTCACAACATAAGGAAGGGCACACAACAGCTAAAAAGACAGTAGAATGCCGTTAAATTTTTTAAAAATTCTCATTTCATAGTTATAATGGAGATGCAATGTTGACCCCGCGTTTCGGGCCCAACTTGAAACCTGACGAAACGTTCTGCTTGCTACTGTCCTCGCAACACTGCCATAAGTGGGTATTCTCAATTAAGGCTGGTTCACACACTTGCGACTGCTAACGGCTGTGTGCCTTAAAACCTCTTCGAGGAAATGCGGCGGCGACCTCTATCGGGTAGCCGCAAAAACACTTGCAGCTATCGGTTATTTCCTTTCTCTGCGTTTTTATTTTGAAAATCTTTTGACAATGTTATGAACGACCATATCTTGCGGGTGGTACATACATCTGATCACGTAAATACCGCTAAACCTTCACTCTAGGCAAATGCAGCTTTAAGGCCACCTCATAAAGGATGCGAGCGTGTTCTCTCATAGTAAGAGGTCACAAGAACTCAGTCCTAAGCAAGTGTGTGAATGGGTCTTTAGGTCAAAAACTAGGAAATGGGGCATGAAAGGAAATGCTACCTGGAACAGAATGTGAGCAGGCAATCAGCCTGAGTTTTACACCGGGTGGAACTAATTGAGCCAAGTGTATTAATTTGCACAGTGAATGAAGTTTTAATGAAGTGCAAAGCCCATAGGAAAAGCTTGGAAAGGAACTTGCTGAAAGCCTTCGAGAGTTTCAAAAGGCTCCTTCGTCATTACATGCCTAATGATAAGGATGGACAGATGGATGGATGCTAATCAGAGGCACATACAGAGAGTGTTTGATCAATGGGAGCAGTGGACAGAGCCAGGGCGTGCACCAAACGCAAAACGAAAGCTTGACACGCTCTCTTGGCCAACCAGAAGCCGAAAATAATCCCCTAGCGGTGGTAGCGAGAAACAGTTATAATAAGCACATAATAGTTAAATGTAGTAACTCTTTATGGTTGAAAATATGGTGCAAGTGATGTTTCGATTAGGATAATGAAAAAAGATGTAAGAAATGAATGTGCCGCTCGAACTCTGTTTTGCTTGGACAGCGGATACCCAGCCCCCGGCGCCTAAAGAACAAATGACATCGATCGTTCAGCTAGTAGCGCACACTTTTTGTATCTTCTATATCTTTATATATCTTCCACCATGCTTTCGCATGACCGTGATCGAAACATCACGTGAACCATATTTTCAGTTACCGAGAGTTACACCGACACACTTAATAATTTTGTTTCTTGCGACCATCGCCAGGTTATTATTCACGGCTTCTGGCTGGCCACATTAGAATTTGTGAAGAAGCCCTGGAACATGACCAGCCCGCTTTTAGCCAATGGCACCTCCTCATTTGCGTCAAATACTTCCCAACGAATAGCCAAACTCTCTATATACACGACTCTGATGCTAATGGCTGCACCTTTTATAACAGAGGGTAGCTTGCGCCACCTAGCCTAGAAACTAAAGGCATTATTCTTCCCCTCATTCTTTGAAGCCAATGTGCTTCCTATCTGCATTCAGCAGGCAGTGTGGGATATTGTCAAGATGACCTTTTGGGGGGATCCGGCAAGAAAACTAAAAACATTGGCCTCTGCCTTCGGCAGCATTGGGCGAGACGAATGAAGACAGTGCGTTCCCATTAGTACCATACACAAGTGAAGAAAAGCAGTTTGTGTAGCTTTTCACCTCATTTGTGTTGTATTACATCTTACTAGTTGGCCAGTCCCTAAAACCAAATGTAGACAAATGCGAAGGGCCTGCACGTGTGTCAGCAACGACGCTTTTGAAACCTCTGTCGTCAAACCGCCAGCTCCCGAGACTGCTCCTTGTGCACTTAAAAAGGGTGGTACAACAATTTTTGTACTTCATGCAAATATCACTTAGAATGAATTCCTAACATTTATAACTTATATTTTTTTTATTCACACAATGGTAGTCAGAGAAAAAATGAAAAGAAAACAAGCGGCATTCACCCCCTCAACTCGCAACCACAACAAGCGGCCACCTGATCAGGAGTCGATTATATGCCGCCCATGTGTTTCGTGGCCACGCACTGGGGTTGGCAAAGCACAGGACAGACGCAGAATTCCAGACATTGCTAGGGTTCAGCTATTGTAGTCACTGCAAAAATTGAACGAGTCCAAATCGAGCGCCCATGCAATGCTCGGGTCCAATCCACAAACCACACTCAAATACACATGCCTCGCAGGTGATGTCCATGCAAGTCATGTATTGTCTCAATCGGAGAAGTATGCCAGCACTGCAAACTGCGAGCTACGTCTTCAAGTTTTGCGAAGGTGAGACTGAAAGGAAACACTTACTTTTATCCTTGACACTACACTACAACATAGAAGTTTCTTGGTGAGTGGTGTTGCATGGCACCAGAGAGACTTGGCTCCCACTAGTGCCAGCAAGCTCGTGCAAAAAAAACAAAAAAACATTCATATTGAATGATGTAGCACTGCTCCTTGATACCGTTCATATGTATTTGAACAAATTCTTCTCTCGCTCGCTCTAGTGGCAAGCTCACGCCGTTGGATTGATTCCAACGCGTGCAGGGGCTGATGCTTCCTTTCTGTGAACAGTTAAACACCCGCCCTTCGCTGCAACGTTTGTAAACACAGAAAAGAAGAGACCTAAACCCGCGTACTGCGTTTCGCGCGTCGGTTCAAGAACACGAGGGGATAGAACCACGCTGGCTCGCGCTCGTAGGCGTTACATGGGTCCGTTAACGGGTGTCGGGTGTTTTGCAAGTTAAAACTCCAACCGCGTCTTGTCGCGCGTTCGGGAACTACGGGCCGAGCTCTTCGGTAAGTTTCAGCAAAGTGATGGTGAGGGCCAGTCGGTTCATCATGTACTCAAAAACAACGCAAAAAGAGAAAAAAGAAAAGGAGAAAACACGAGGACGAAGAGACGCCAAAACGGCACAAGACGTCTTGCCCTGTTTTGGTTTTTCTTCGTCCTCGCGTATTTTTGGCGCTAATTTTTTTGTTCCGCTGTTGGACGATTAGGAGAGAAAGGGGACAGATACCGGAAGCAGACGAAGAGAGCTCACTTGTTTTCTTAGCGTCCCTCGACCTAGACTTGTTCACCGACGCCTTGGCGTCGTCGCGTAGGGGGGAGCCTTCCGGACTCGGCTTTATTTTGGACTTGGAGCGGTCCTGCCGGCGAAAAACGAGCTGGCCGTGCCCGTCCCCGATCTTGGCCCGTCCTCCGTCTTTGCGGTCGGGGCTGCCGTAGCTCGACCGTGGTAGATACGACGCCGAAGACGACGTTGTCGACGATCGCTCTGACGTTCTGCGCGGGTAGTCGTCGGCGCCGCGCTGCCCATCTTCGTGGGAGGTTCGGGACGCGTTCGTCGTCGCCCGCTCTCGACGCGGTTCCTTGGTTTTGCTCACGAACCACCGACTCCCTCCACTCATCGACTCGCCAGGATAACTTTGCCGCTGATAGCGAACCAAGCTGGTGTCACATTGCCTCGAAGAGAGCCGCGAGAAGCGAGAAGAAAGCACGCATCAAGTACGCGACGCCATTGAGCTACGCACTGGTGCAAGGACCGCAGCGAATGGTGATTTCGGAACATGTTTTCAGAATAAATAAATATTATCATTCAAATTTCAAAATAATTTATGTTTTTTTAAGTTAAAAAAAGTCCATACACAGTGACTAGATATAAATTGGCACAACTTTCAAATTCAAAACTGTTGTAAAGATTGGATTGGATCGAATTGACTCTCGGAATGACTTTTGAAGTGAACCGAAACCGAAACCCTTTCAAAACTATCTCCGTAAATTCATAAAAAGAGTGAAAGCCGTTTACAACTCCCTGTAACGCCGAATTAGAGCGCAGCTCTTGAGGAGGAGTAGAGAAGGGTACTGAGGGGGGGGGGGGGGGGTCATGTGATCTCGGGGGCATCACGTGACCCCCCCCTTCTCCCCCCGAAGTCACCGAAGGTATTCGAGGTCCTCCAACCTCCCGAAGGAACCCGAGGTCCTTGGGGGGGAAGGGGGTCGCGGTTACGCTTTGCGTTACGCCGACGGCGACGCCGCTCAAGCTGGAAACGGGCGCCTAAGAGCTGCGCTCTAAAAAACAAAAACACTACTCTTTTTTAGTAAGTGCTTAAATAGTAAAATCTAGAAAAATTTTTTTTTTTTTTTAACATATAATCTTAGTATAGCTTCAACAACAATGACTGCAGGCGCTTAACAGTGAGGTAAATAAAATTAAGAGGCATTCTTAACTGGTGGTCAGTCATGTATGCAGAAAGCATCTGTGTGGTTGTGAGTGAGCAATGTACAAAATAATGGGGTAATACAAAATATAGTTAGCATTAGCCACGCTGGTTATATATCAGCCACTCCCGATGAAATTTCTATACTTAGGTTAGGTTCAGGGGTTTCCCCAGGAATTGAAACTAGGGGGGGGGGGGGTGGGGGGGGGGGGCAATGAGAATAGAGGAGTCGTTGCGAATGTCTACTCTTGTCTTCAGAAAAACAAGGGGGGGGGGGGGGGGGGGAGTGCAGGGTAATCACTGGTTAGGTCATTGCTTTGTGCACAAGATGCGCAGTTATGAAAGAAACAGACGAGAGTAGACATACCAAGAGTAAACTTGTGCAATGCATCGAGTCATCCCCCCTAAATGACGCTGAATGCACACCCAAGCGGTGCTACACCACAGAAGATAGGACACCAAGCCCAGGGATTGACTACAGCCCCTGAAACGCATCTCCGGCTGGTCTGTCTACTGTGTCCAAGAAAGTGGCCCCTCGTTTTTTGCCCGACGACATCATAAAAGTGTTAAGCTGTTGCCGGCCGCGATCATGGCGGTGTCGCAATGCGAAGAGCAAGTTGTCTGCCTCTTGCGTAGGAGTTGCGGCGACGTCAGAATGACGCCGATCTCTGGCTTCGATTCAAACAATAGTGGGTCGACCTCAACGCTAGATGCCTTAATGTCTACCCACTATTTTTTTCAACCCGCCAATAAGAGCTTGGTGTCGTTCCGACGTCATCGCAACTCCCGCACATGAAGCAGACGACTTGCTCTCGGCATAGTGGCTGTGTATGTAGCCAGACGCCTGTTCAGCTGCAGGTCGCTCTCAATCTTGACAATCCACAGCGACACTCGCACTCTCCTGCTTTTTTCCAGAACTTTGACACTCGACAGCTTGACACTCCGGCTTTTGCGACGCTATTTGTTCTTAACGCACCAGTCGGAGAGGCCTTCCAGGCACCGTATCGAGATGATTGACGCACCGTGAAGACAGTGAGCACGTGGCATTTATTTACAAAGCACGAAATGAGTAAAAGAAGAGCTCAGAGAAGGTTCTCCATTTCCTTCATGAACAGCTCGTAGGCGTCGTCTTTCGTGGGCGCAGGCACCACCTGGACAGCTGGCATCATCGGCACGTCTGCAACACCAGGCGTCGGGGAATCAAGCTTCAAGTTTCAATAGACTGCAGTCAAAATCCTTCCAGGACGCTCAACACTAACTCAGCTTAAAATTTTGAAAAATATATATTTTTTTACGTGTGCAATAATTTAAAAGATTTCTTTTTAGCGATTTAAGGTATACGAAAATCTGGAACCACTCCTTTTCTGTTGCACAAAACGGAAGGTTACGAGCGCATGGAGATGAAAATATTTGCACTCAGGTTACTTTAGGTTAGGGAAGTTAAAGTTATAGTTAATGCAAGATGCAATCAAGTCATCACACTAGCTTGGTTCATATAGACTCCGTGCGGGAACTATAGGCTTTGAAAAATGCGTAGCGCCATTAGCGGAAGAGCTGGCGTTTGACAGTTCGCTGATGTCAAACTAAAAAAACAACAAAAAAACACCCTGTATATATACAATTTATGTTTGATTTAAACCTAAAAAAAAAAAGATTTGATTTCTTAAGTTGATACATTTTTCATTTTTTTTATTAAGATGTAGCAGTTATCTCGCACTAATTTGATCAAAAGCAATTCCGGCAAAACCCACATATGAAGAAAGGTGATTTCCATGTCCGAAAGAAGGCTGATTAAAAAAGAAAGCACACTACCTAAATTGCCATACTCAACTGTCAATTGTCCAGTGATTCCATGTTTCATTGTACTTAACTTTAGATTCCCATTTGTCACTTTCTGCACCATCCAGTCTTTCTTCATGAAGAACAGACAACACACCATACTGGGCCAGAAATATCATCGACAAGTATGATGGGGACGAAACGTCTTTGGAGGGCATCTCCCCCAACGAAATTGGCGCTGCATACCCGCGAGTGTGGGATGGTATTTTAGTTCATCCCATCGGCACTAACATATGTAGGCGTTACTGGCACAAAAAAACAAAAACATAGTGCACAGAGCGGCAGCATACATAAAATATGTCAGCCGTGCCGATACAGTGACAGGCATGATCGGGAGACCAAATTTCTCGCGTCGTACGGCACGGGTTCATCGTTGTTGTTGCCCCCCAAAACAACGCAGAGTTGCGTTGTTAGGTCAGTGGTAAACTTAGGATAGGTTAAGTAAGGTTTGGTCAGCTTTCAGCTAGGTTAGGTCAGTTTAAACATGGTTAGTTCAGGTTAGGCCTTGTCATACGATGCCTAACCTGAACCTGAAATCCACCTACATATATACATTGGAACCCCAATTACATGACTTGTGGGACCGCACAAAATCGTTGTATCATCCGTGAGCTGTATCATTCGAAAAAACGATAATTACAGATACAGTGATCGGCTTCGCACGAAAAAGACAAGCGGAGGTTTTAAATGATGTCTAAGCTAATAATCTGCTGTACTTTGACGAAGTACAGCAGATGAAGTACAGCAGACTATTATTATCCTTGTCGCTTTTCACGCTTTCCGAAAGCGGGAACAGCAAGAACAAGCGGAAGCATGCTCAATCCTGGGAGAAACAATGAGTTGGAGAAAGTGGTGCGAACAAGGAGAGAGAGGGTGAACGAGAGACGAAAGAACGATGGGATGAACGGAGTGAGGATGCAACGCGAAAACGCCGAGGCATTTCACAACCTGGGGAGGAAAAAGCACATTATCCTGCTCCCTACCGGTGCTGCGGGTGTCTTGGGTTGCCGGCGGCGTGTTTTCGAAATCTCTGAAACGACGCGCAGGCACACAGAACTCTTCCACGTTGCCGCACCGCTGCCGCCTCATACGGCCGTCGAATTTGTCAAGCGTTTCCCGCCAGAACGTCGTGCGATGTGGGACACATAGAATCACGCGTCGTGTAAACCAAACTTTTAATACGTTATTTCTATGGAGAGTTCATTGAGACCGGGCGAATTCGTCGTAAAATGCGGGATGTCGCATAAACCGGGGATGCATAATCGAGGTTCCTCTGTATCTCCATTTTCTACATAAAAGGGGAAATTACTAAAGCTCTGCGGGGACCCAGACTTTTTTACTACATTCTTGAGATGAAAACAAGTATAAGTATTGTTGGGACAGGTTAGGTTCGGTTAGATATGGTTAGGCCAGGTACTTTCAGATCTGCCTACGTGTGGTCAGCTTAAATCAACTGAAATGACCTTTGTTATAGTTTAAAGCCAGTTTGCTCTTGGGTGCATTCAAACTACGCTGGCTGAGCCGGCGTCAAGCTCAGCGTGCCAAGAGGCCACCCACCTCTGGGAGCCTTCCTTGCCAGGTCGCGCTTGACCCTGAGCGAGGTGGGCGTGAAGCGGGTCACGTCCGCGCTCAGGTTCCGCAGCTGCGGCTTGGCCTCGATGGTGGTGGCCCGCTGCTGGGGCTCCTCCCCCGGGGCGGGCCTCGGGATGAGGCTGGGCGGGGCCGACAGGACGGGTGGGGCCTGGGGCCTCGGGGGGAGGGGCCTGCTGGGTGGGCGGGGTGGCAGGCCGGGGGGAGGGCCGGGGGGGCAGGGCGATGCGCAGGGATGGCGGGGCCATGGGGGGCAGGGAGGGAGGGGGCATGCTGGGGGGCGGCGGCATGTTGGGGGGCGGGTGGCGGAACACCATGGGCATCGGAGGAGGCACCGCCTCCCGGTGGCTCTTCTCCACCTGCACAGAGAGTCAAAGATTATCATACTGTCAATCCTTCACCACTCATGTTTTGACTGCATTTTTTACTCGTTTATATTCGACAACTTGCTTTTGTTCCGTGCCCCTCCCCTTTTTAATGCCCCCCCCGGGGGGTGTCAAAATAAAGAAATAAAAGGCGGCGACGTTTAAATTTATTCTCGGCTGCTGCATTCTGACCCGAGGCCATTAAGGCCGGTTAACACATTCGCGTTCAAAAGTGATGAACTGCATTGCAACGGTTTGTAACAGCTTTCACACTGGCAACATCTATCAAGATAGCTCTGGAATGCTTCCAAGCTGCATAGCGCTACCGACCCTACCAACGCAGTTTTAATAACCATTGATCCGTGCTTCCAACTAGACTGCAGTATTTGCGGGATGAAGTCCATCCACGAGGATCGGTCTCTCATAATATTGCCGGGATTATCAGCAGCGCACGGCGAAGGAATGACGCATAGTACATTTGCATTTCGGGAAGTGTTCTCCAGCTACCCTCCCCTGCCGGTAGATGGCGCTGATGAAGGCAGAAAGTGTCCAGTTCAAACCGTGGGGAGCGTTTGCAATCTAATGGCGGAAGCCCGCTGCAGAGAAGGAACGCAAGTGTGGATGCACTGCGTCGTAACGTGGCAAGAAGGAAAGCGGCGGAAAGGCGGAGAAGTTCGTGGACGATCAATGCCTTTGCCGCCTCCTCGCAGCTTGTGTTGCTGACGTGGCCCATAAACCATGCGACCCCCATTTAGCGGTCGGACGATCTCTGTAATACAGGCTGTCTATTCGTAGGAAGAGGTCTCGAGCGTTTGCGACGCGGTCTGTCCCGCTCGGATGCGAATGTCCGAAGGAACCTTTAGGGAGGCTGCCGCCAGTGCTCGTCCCGTACCGCTCCCTAACTGAGCTCGAGCTTACTCATTTGCTTTATAAAAATTAGCATTCCTAATGCGACGGTACCTCGTGCATGAGTTCTGTAGCCTACCCCACGTTACCTCTACTACATCTCCGTATCGTGCTGTACGACTGTTCGCCGTACAGTGTTATAGATGCGGCTAGTGGCCTAGAATGATTGTGAGACAGACCTCTTTGAGGAACTCGGTGACGTCTGCATCGTCGTCGACACCGGGAGGTCGGTCCGGTCCCTCGTCCGCAAAGCGGATCTTCCGAGGCTTGGACGCTCCTGCGGAACAGGGATTCAAAGATCCGCATAAAACTCTCCGAGCGTCGCGGAGAAAATCCTTACGACCTGATTGGATCCTACTGTATTTCAAGACAGGAAACAAGAAGCTTTTTTAACGCCAAACAACGAGTAATCCATACGAGACTATTCGGCAGTCAAACCGTAACAAATAGAGAGGGACAAAGAGAAAGAGGCAAGAAAGTGATGCCATCTCAAACACATACCCGTCTTTTCGGCTTTGTCTTCGGCCGGTTTCTCCACCTTGTTGGACGGTGGCTCTGAAAGAAAAGGAACGGCGTCATAAGCCCGAAGCTCTCAATGAACTCGGGTCCGAGAAGCCGAATTTGACGATTCACGAATACACACTTCTTTGTGCAAGGCTACATCACTGACACGATGTCCCATCCTTGTTCCAGGTAAGTCCCGCCATTCACACACTTGCGTTGACTTACGACCGAGTTCTTGCGACCTCTTATGCCGAGAGAACACACCCTCACGCTAGCACCACCTATGAGGTGGCCCTGGGATTGCATTTCACTAGAGCGAAGGTTTTGTGGTATTCGTGAGGTCAAATGCAGATACTATCTATGAAAAACAATTGTATGAAAATGCCAAGTGGTCCCCCCCCCCCCCTACCCGATAGATGGCGCCAGCGCAATCTCTCGGCTTTAAGAGATTCCAAGAGGTTTTAAGGCACATGGTCGTAAGCAGTCGCGAGCGTGTGAACCAGCTTTCACACTCACCGTGAGTTTGTGAATGACTCCAAGTGACTTTTGTGAACTTGGAAGAGTATGTGATGTGATGGTGAGTTTGGCTTTGTGAACTCTGAGGAGTTTCATTACCTGACAATCAGTGACTATTTCCAAGTCTGAGCAGTTCCCTATCTGATGGTCAGTGACTCCCGAACTGGGAAGAACCAATGGTGCATGATGCAATAATGAGCGACTCCTCCAAAGAACTCAGAGTGCAGTGGTCAGCAACTCGGCAAACTCTCACCATCTGGGACGACGAAAAATGAGTCCGTGGCCTTGGAAGAGGTCGAGATGGATTCGACTGTTGGTGATCCTCGCAAATTTTAGGGCAGATTGACTATGGGCATTTCGTGGAGTCTGTGCGTACATTCTATGCATGATATGAAAATGCAGATTTGGGGGCAAACGGACCTACGACAAAGCGTGGCTTTTCGTCCCCATGGCAACGAGAAATGGCCTAGATTCGTTCACTAAAATGAATTAAGTTTGCTCATTACCATTCTCTTCCATCTCTTCATCGTCTGACAGTTCGGGGGGAGGACCGGGTGGGACTCCAGGTGCCTTCATCGTTGGGTCCCTGCACAACCAACATTAGCGTGAGTGAAGCACCGCTGCTATCGCTGCACATGACACCTTAGACGTTGGCCTGTCAAGTTGTCCTAGCACAAAACAGAACGGACGTTGGTCTGTCGATAAATGAAAGGCCAGCCAGTGTCACAGCCCTTTGCACACTCTTTCCAGCAGTGTTCACCAACCCTTTAGCCATTTTAAACCAATAGCTTCATGGACGACACTTTGCAGAGATTTCGAGCTTGAGGGCTGTTGTCGCTGCTATGGAAAATAGTAATTTCTTCTCTCAGGGTGTCTAGAAAATTATTGTCTTGAAATTCCCTGACTTTTCCAGGTTTTCCCTGAACATTTCAGGTGAAATTCCCTGGCCACAATAGAGGCAATCAAATATATAAGACCATTACAACACAAGCCATTGAGCATTGAACACTGTGAGGATCATTTTGCACGGGCTTAATCTAACTTGCATATTCCGAGATATTCGGGTTTGTCCAGTCTGGATTAAACCAGCACTTTCTTGCCGCCGACAACGTCAGTGAAGAGGCTACGTCCAGAAACACAATGAAAACACGGCGCTCAACCACACACATCAATAACCCAAAGGCAGCATGGCCGCCAGATGCACACTTTCGTATACTTTCGGCTTAAAGGACAACTCCGCTCAATTCCAGGAATTTCGGGGTTTTTGGTGATTATAGATTAAGGTATACTAATAAACGGCTCGACGCCGTTTGTTTCTCAAAAAAGGAAATATAATTCTCGTAATCCTTCTTTACTCCTGATCACAAACCGAAACCGAAACTGCGCCCGCGCCTGGCAACATTGGTCCCGCGTCGTCATAGTCTGGGACAACCCACGTGGTACGAACGTCACCGCACGACCTCGCCGACCGCGCAAACGGACGGATCGGCGGAGCAAGCGTCGTCGCGCCGTGTCGTCTGCTCCACGGTCTCTGCTATCCAACGACGTGTGCGCTACCGCGGCCGCAGAGTGTTTTGACGCAGAAAAAGGCAAGTTGTTTTAAAGTTATGTTTTGGAACCATTAGTAGTTGAAGTTAAGTAAACCACTCGTAATATGCCAGGCATCGCAGCACAAAACGTTGCTCCGAGACGCAGCAGGTTCGGTCTTCCCGACTACGAGCGCGGAGCGCTCGCTCAGACGCTCGTCAGCGCATGCGCGTTTTGGATCACGTGGACATCGGTATGCACGCTGCTGGCGCCGCCTGTAGGCTGCGCCTCAATAAAGTAAGAAACAAGAAAAAAAGCGGTCCCAGACTATGACGTGCGGCGCAGTGTTGGCTGCGCCAACACGCGGTATTGACTGCGCTGTTCTCTGCGCCGTACATCGGCCGCTAGAATTAGCAGATTTCGGAGACTTGAGGCATCTCAAACTTTGTTTACCAGTTTAACAAACTTTTAGGCTTAATTACGTCGTAAAATTTGACGTGTAGTCTTTCTAGGTGATACTAAAGAGAACTGCATTGTTTTTTCAGCATCGAAAATGAAGCGGAGTTGCCCTTTAAGGCTTGAATTGGGTTGGGGTCTGCGGCTTTTCCGTTTGGTACTAAGTCCAGTAGCTCTAACTGGATCTAGCCTAGTGTAGCGCCCTCAATTGAATCCAAGGCTTGGACTGGATTTGTCGGCTGTTCCCTTTCTATCGGGTAGCACACTATGCATCGGGTGAGCAGAGCCCGTGCTCTGCTCAAAACAAAATTTATTGACTATTTTTCCGCCCCCTAGTTCTCAAGTCTTTGCTTAGGGCACTTAATGGCGTTTCCGGCTCATTTTCCCTGACTGGGCTCACTTTTTGACAACTTCCTTGACAATTCCCTGATTTCACCCGGTAATTCAAATTTCCCTGACAATTCCCGGTTTTCCCGGTTGCTAGACACCCTGTCTCTCCCCTCTCGGCACGAGAAGAGGGAAGTCGGGTTTTCCCGTCGGCCGTGCAGCGCGGAGAGCGAAGAGAGCGGAGCCCCGGCGTCCTGCCAGTAGCGACGCGATGAAGGGAGAGTCTTCCTGTCGCCTGCTTTAAACACTTGTTTTTAAATGTGAGTCGTGTTACACGAAATCCCACTTTGGCCACATCCAGTTGCTAGCCGAAATGTTGGACGGTTTTGAAAACTTCCACGGTCCTTGCCCACTTACCTCACGCATTCTTGAGTACTAAGGCGTCAGTGGTTGGCATCAGTGGCATCCACGACAACTACTATGAGAATTAACCACGTCGCACCTCCGTCCTCAGGTTTGTGACGGCACCATTCCACCCGCATTGCGTGACCGTCCTACAGCTATTGCTTTAGTTTCTTCATACATTTTTTGTTTTCCCTCGATCACTACATAAAAAGGATAAGTTTACTTCGTTGTTACTGCAGCATAATAATAATAATAATTAATAATAATAATAATAATAATTCTTTATTTTCTGTGGCCACAAACAACTTTTCAGTCTCCACTGTAGTGCACTAAAATACTAAGACACAAATACCACAAAAACTAAAATACTAAATACAAATACCACAAAAAAATTTCATTCTAGGCGAAAGACATCCAATCACGAACAAGCAAGGCAAAATTCCGAAGACACATGAAAATATCCAGGTTACTTATTGAAGGTCAATTGAATCCGTGACAAAAGGGATATAGGGGACGTGCAAGATGGATAAAACGTTAATACATTCCGGCTGGCCCTTGACGGAACATGGAAGTCAATGGATCGTAGTAAATTCATTGACCCGACGTGACCGTGAACAACTTTATGAAGAAAAACCAAATCTCTGGACTGCCTCCTCAAAGCAAGTTTATATAATGCAAACCGGTGAAGTAGCGTTTTACAATGATAAAAAGACCTTCTTCCAATGTGGCGGTCATACACAATTCTTATCAGCCGCTTTTGTACATTTTCCATTTCTGTTGCCTGACCAAGAGATAATGAATTCCAGATTACCGAGCCAAATTCTAACCGTGATCTAACTGGTGACTTAAACGAATGTAACAAACAAGGAGTGATGAGAACCGCCGACATAACCGAGAAATAATGCCTAACACTCTTAATGCAGCATTAACAGTTGTAGATATATGCTCTTTGAAAAAAAGTGAACTGTCAATACGGACACCAAGATCCCTTACAAAAGATACCCGGGGTATCAAGGTGCCTTCAAGGTTCTAAGAAAAAGAAATGAAATCATGCTTTCTAGACAGTACAATATGTTTAGTTTTCTCGGGATTAAATGACAAGTGGTTCTTGAAGCACCAATTTGGAACATGTTATATGTCATCTAGAAGACGAGTGAAATCCAATACTGACCTCACACTTAAAAATAGTTTAACATCATCGGCAAAGAGAAGAATTTTTGCGTTGCTAACACAGGAAACAATATCATTTATAAACAAAATAAACAAAAGCGGTCCCAGGATGGAGCCCTCGGGAACCCCAGATTTAGAAACAAACTCGTCGGAGTAGCTTTCTTCAACACGAACAGAGTTTCGACGACCTTTTATATAACTAGAATACTCTTACAACAGACATATAGGTGTGCGACTGCAGTTGCCATGCCTGTCTTTTCTATTGCTTCACACATGCAGGAATTGAGCTTGCAACGCATTTATTCTGCCTGACGGAAGTTGTTATTCTTGATTGGCAATAAGTGGAAACTTATTGACTTTCCTCGATCTGGAAACTGCTGACCTCGTCTGTAATTACAGCAACTCAGATGCCGCAAAACGAACGATAAACAGAAACATAGCTTGCTCCATATTCAACGAGTTACAGCAGCCCAATCAAGAAATGATAAGCAAACAAAGTTAGGGCATGTACAAAATGCTTAGATGCTCCTATAAAACTCCTGCAACTTAACGTGCAGTGATTTCCAGAAATCAATCGGCATACAAAACAATAGAAGAAAGGTTAAGAAAGCGATTAAAGAACTAAAACCTCTCAAAGACGAGCACTCCCAATAGATCCCAAAATTCGCAAAACGTCTGGGCCAGACGATTCAAAGCAACCTGCACGAAAATTAACAGTGGCTTGTTGACTACTAGTTAGTAGTGTGTTAGTGGCATCTACAGTCTATATAAGGATTTATAGGTGATCTTGTTTGTTTAGAGCAAAGTTTAGAAGAATCTGACATATATATTCCAGGCCAAATCTTGTTTCGTATAAAGACAGACACAAATCAAGCAACACAAAGAAAAGAAGATAGACCACAGTGACTGACTTACATGACTGGCTTTTTCAAAATCGACGCCGGAATGTCCATTGGGAGCGGTATTAGCGAGGGAGCTGCAAGTACCGCCACATCAATGTTAAAATCTACCAACAGCTTATTCTACGGCTACCATTACAAACGTTTGAGGGCCGACCTCCATACAGCACTGAGGACTGCACAAACGGTTTGTGTTGTATTTTGCCTTGACTAGGGTCTCATCAAATTTAATTTCAGCAGTGCTCTTGCGATGAAGGTATGGAATTCATAAGTTCAGATCACTGATGCTGGCATAGTGCTATTTTCTTTCACAAGCAATTCAATGTAACAATGGTATTTGCTATCTAGACTATTCTAACAGACGGTATAACAGATCTGTTTTCGATTGGACGAAACTGCAACTTTTGCATTGCTTCACATGTGATCTTTTATTAGGCAGGAAACGGCCATTGATCCACTCACCAACATGAGGAGCACTCGGTGCGCTCGGAAGAGGGATTTGGTCAATCTCCACGCTCTGCGCAAACTTCACCGACTCTGCACAACAAAAAAAAATGAATTTTTAGCGGCAGTCAACATAGGTCAAGAGGTACAGATTATGCGGGAGAAATTCCCATTCCGTGCACACACATATCGATAAAAACATTGCTAGGAGAGTTGGTGAGGCACTCCACGGAAATTCTAACAATTTCGCAAAGTGGAGTCTGCTGACCGTGAAGGCGAAACATTTGTGGCTGAGCAACAACAAAAAACAAGAAGTTCCGCGAAAAAATGCATGAGTTGTCTGAACAGTAAAAGAATGGAAGGATTTTCTCTAAACTCATACCACACATTTTCATAAACACCATAGGGTCATTAAGATGCTTTATAGAGAAAGACATCTTATCGATCTCCACATTAAACAAGTGCCATTTGATTCTCTTACCATAGTACTTGATGAGTGTGTTACGCTTGTCCTCATACTCAAGTTCCATTTTCTTGAGCTCCGAGAAATGCTCTGGATCTTCTTTTTGCTGTAAGGTAAGTCAGAGCTCATTTGTACTGAAACCAATTTAAGCGTGAGTAAAGTCAAACAAATGTATGCGTGTGGATACGGTAATCAACCATCTTCTCATCGATTTAGAAAGTACTAGGAAGAAAAGGGTCTTAAAGGGACCACGAAGGCAATTCGGAAGTTTTATTTGAAGATTAAAATGGGCGTCAGGCACGTCTCAGACACTGCTGACCAAGTTCTAGACCGAACAGATGTTTGGGTGCCGCACCAATCAATTAAGCAGGTATGAGAATAATGGCAACAGAAGTGTAAACTAAAGCGCTGTGTGATGTCAAAGCATGACGACAATGGGCTCCTCGTCAAGCAATTGGTTGAAACGAATGACGCGCTCTTGGCGTTGCGGAGGCGGCGTTGAGTCGGGTGCACAGTTAGAAGAGCCGCCTACTCTGAGGTGCCTGTCGTTGGCAGGTCTGAAGCGACCTCGTAAAGCACCAATCAAGAGTTTTGTGTCCTGAGAAGCCTCTCCTGTTCCGTCGGTGTGAGATTGCTGAACGGGAGCAACACGTCTTGCGAGCGCGGTGTTGTCGTTCATTTTTCTAGCTCGCACACCGTCGTGCACTATAGCCAACCGCAAGAACCGCGCCGAGCGTCCACTAAATTCTACCAGAAACCAACGGTTTAGAAAATTTATTTGCAGGCACACAAATAAGAGTCACAGAGCTCTAAAAAAAATTGAGTGGCGTGCTAGGACCCTATTTAAACGAAAACACTTTTTAAAAAGAAATTGTAATGGCTTTCACTATCGCTTTAAAGAGGCAGTAAGGTGAATTTTGAGATCATATTGTCGTCCCAAACGCCCGCGTGACACGGCATAACCGATTTTCCGAACCTTGTCTTTTTGCTGTCAACCATACGTTTCTTTACCCTCTTATTTTTGACCGTGCAACTCCCAGATGCATCCTTGCGGAATCTCGACTTTAGGCCATTTGCTTTCCCTTCCCTTTTTTTTGCAACCCAATAACCAGACTTGCCCCCCGTCACCCACTTGTTGTCCCACATTGCTCTGCTTCTTAACCCCTTGCCTACTCATTTTTTTTCTTCAAGAAACAAACAGGGCCATTTTATTTTAAACAGGCGATTTGCGTTAAAGTACTACAAAAATATTTCCTTGACTTCCAGGTGTCATATCTTGCTTTAAATCAAGACTTCTAGTCCAAGTCCCACTGACGTGCAGACGCCGAAGTTGATGGAATGCCTGCAAAATTCATATTCTTTTCATCACTCCTGCCACTGCCCATCAAACTATCACCCGATTTCTAAAAATCGAAAAAGCCGAAGGATTTGTCGTTACATATGCCTGAGCATTAATCTCATTAAAAAAAGTTTTGTATCTCTTTGTCGGCTAAAGTGGACTTCCGTGCCAAAGCCATGTTGTTTTAGCGTAAATGCTCACCGGCGACTGATCTTTTTTTTTTCTTTTCCCTTTTTTTTGGGGGGGGGGGGGGGGGGGGGGGGGCGGGGGAGGGGGAGGGGGAATAAATGGAGCATTTTCTTTTCTGTCATACATCAAAACAAACTAGCAAACTGCCCAAGGTAATTGGAGCAACAGGGCGGTTTAGCCATCTGCCAGAGCGCGCACTAAACCGAAACACAAGTCGCACTCATGGTCGGGCATTGTGGTCCGTAAGGCTTTATGGCACGAGTGACACTCGTTACTAGGAGGGAAGGGGGTTAAGGAAGAGCATTCTCTCGAAACGTCTGGGTCGTTCTGCTTGTTTGCGCGTTTCCTTGAAATTGAAAGACCACCCTTATTTATAGATATTCACATCAAGGAGTTTCCGGGTGGTCTCTTCTGGTTGCAGGTGGTGAGATGGAAGAGCGCGAACATGTCTGATCTGGTTAGGATGTGGCGGAGAAAGCATCTGCAACAGCCGTTTGGAGTTCTACACGCAGTGGTCGTTTGTACATCCATCGGTGCTTCTTTTGCAAGCGCTGCCATGTTTCAGTGGGTTTGATGAAGGAGTGTTGCCGCAACACTGCTCTCCAAGTTTTAAAGATAAATTTTATGTTTCATGAAAGATGCAGTAGAATTGTAGTGACATAGAAAAACATCTACAAAGCTGGTTTCCAAGATATGACTTATATTATGATTGATTTCACATTTGCACTATTTTTATTGCTTCCATCCCACTTTGCCTCGCTGAAAAAATCTAAAATTAAAATTGACCGATTGTAAAGTCGCCCACCATGATTGGATATACCCGAGATCTAGACGTGTGCTGCTGTATTCGTGTATACCTTATGGTGGTCACACTTATTTTAAAGTTCTTCAGGAATTATCAACACGTATCTGATCTGTTAGCTTAATTAACATTTTGAAAAACTAAAGTGGCCTGTACTTTTGACAAAGAAGAAACTGGAAACGCTTTATCACATGTACTAGTTGGATTTACACCAATAATGTCCTAAATTTTGATCTTGTTTAAGGAGTTATTCATGGTAAATATTGAAATAGGAAGAACCAAACCTGTTAATATTGATTTTGAAAATTTTCTTAGTTTCTCAAAAACCCAGATTCACTACCGTGAACAACACACTGGCTTATGAAAATATATGCTAATTTAAAGGCATATAGAGGAAGGTACCTTTTATATGTTTTCTAATATTTTTTGTAAAGTATGAAAAAGTAACGGCATTACCTTAGCAAACTAACTGTAACCGTAACAAGTTACTTTTTCAATTTTGTAACTAACTGTAGACGAGTTACCTTTTTTTGCCTGAGTAACTGTAACTGTAACACTGTTACACTTCAGCAGTAATGTGCCCATGACTGGCCCTCATAGGCTTATGATGGCAAACTTTCAAGGAGTTTTCAATCCCATACGAAAGTTTTCTAAAGGCTCAAAAATCATGAAACCCGTCGTCTCAGGAACGGCGAAAAATCTTGCTACTCACGTAGAGGCGCAGAACGCGATCCCATGTCTCCCCTCAGTTTTTTCCGCTTGTCCTCTCAGCACCTTCTCACTCAGGGGAGGGTGGGTTCTGCACGTTGTATTCTGCATCGGGGGAAGATAACGCCAAGATGAACCCAAAGCTAGAACACACATCACAGCCACAGTGGTTCTATCTGCTACATCGTGAGGCATAAACGATTCAAATTTATTTGCGTTGACACTTATACTGTGGGAAGTCGGTTTGCCACAAAGTTGCGCCCAATATGCCTCAGTTGTAGTGGGGTGATTTGGGGCGTGCAATTTTATGGATAAACTCCGTTTCGGCATGACGTAGCAAAGAGCGAGTGCTACAGCCCCCTCGAGCCAGTCAGATCGACAGAGCGAAGCACGTGACAGCTCTCAGCGGGAAGAGGTGAAAATCCAACGATTCATCGTCCTGTATTTCGCTTCGAAGCCCCGATTGGCTCGTTCGGGGTCGTAGCTGTCGCCGTCTGCCAGGTTACGGTGAAACAGAGCCCGGACGTGTGTGACAAGCGCCTTGCAGTAGCAATTAGGCAAATGCTCGCAAGTGAAACACGCATCTAGACTGAAACCGGCAGGAATAGAAGCTGGCTCACAAACTTTTGAGTCTGTAGCATGGATGGATGAATGAAGCGTAGTGGCTGTAGGCTTCGCATCGGGTGGTAGCTTAGGCTACCTCCCCATGTTTCTGGCCTAGGAACATTTACGAGTGTGTTCTCCCCTCCCAGCGTTGCCGGGTTCTGGTGTATTAGCAAATGAAGCCACTGACCACCTGCTTCTAAATGTACTTGGGGGAGAATCTTCCCCAGAGCTATCATTATTGAACATTCAAGAATACATTATTTTGGGTGGCAGTTTTAGAAACTGTCCAAATGCTTCGAGAATAAAACAAATCCGGTAGCTATACTCTGTTTCCCCTTATGAAAGACAGCAGAGGATGCTACTAGCCATCTCAGCAAATATACTACGGTGAAACCCGTTTAGAACGAACCAACGTATAACGAATTATTTTCGTTATCGAACTCACGGAAAATTTAAATAAAAATGCATGTAAAAAGTACTTTTTATAACGAACAACATATTGGCTATATCAAACTTTTTCCGCCCGGGAAGGCTTCCAAAAACGCACAACGTCTTCTAGCCTGTCCCTTCCGCCCCCCCCCCCCCCCCCCCCCCCCCCAAAAAAATTAAAAAAAGTAGGAAAGAAGAAAAATTCCAAAAGCTCAAGACGCGAACAAAATTGAGTGAAGAGAAGCAGTTCAAAGAGGAGAAAGCTAAAAAAAAAACACTGCACGCACGCACACAAAAAGAAATTTCTCTCAAAGCGGTAGCCCACGCAGAGAAGCGATTCAAAAGAGGAGATAAGCTAAAAAAACAAACTCTGCGCGCACGCAAAAAAAAAAAAAAAATCATAAAAAGAAGTTTGTGCAGGGTTGCAAGGTAGAAGCGAAGAGATGAGAGAAAAAGAAAAGCTCTCACCTTACAACGAACGAATCGTGGAAGTTCGTTGTAAATGATTTTTTGCTATATCGAACTGATCGTGGTGTTTCCTGCTGTTCGTTATAAACGGGTTTGACTGTAGTACTGTGTATTTAACGCAATCCAATACTGTTACGTGACCTTCTGGAGTGGCACAATAACGGTATGGGGCACAAAGTTACATGATAAGCTCACTACGATTGATTGAATGGGACAACCCCGGTTCAAAGTGAGGGAAAATGGAGCATAGTAGCGTAGCATCTATGGGTAGAGAAGTGCGATTTTGCCGAGTGCTCGCACAGTAGCTCATGCAGTTTGAGACCATTGTCTTTCGGATAGCACTCCTCTTTACGACGTATCAGCTGGAAAATTCGATTTCAATCGCAACAGAGTGTCACAACATTTTGGGACATAAACGGAGGAGTGCGCAAACATTAGCAAAAACACCAACCCATCTCGTCGATCCTCTGGAGGTCCAAAACGAGTTGCTGTGGGTCTTTTCCTTTCAGGACCGCGGCTCTGACCATCTGCCTTTGTTTCTTGTTCTAGGAAAACAAAACAGGAAGAGTCATTGAAAGAAAGGACAAACTTCTAGAGCAGTGGTTCTCAACCACCGACGTTTTGCTGGATTGGCGTAAGTTAGGGGGGGGGGGGGGAGGGGGGAGGGGGGGGCAGGGTAGAGGGGGTGTTGGACAATTACAAGGACTAAAGTAAACTTTGAAGCAACTTTGAAGCTTGGAAATCGATAATGAGCAAACCCTGCTGATGCGGGTGTACATGGTTTGGTCCATTTAGCTTCGTAAGACAGCTAATACCAATAATTAAAAAAAAAAAAAATTGCTTTGCTTGACTGCCAGTTAAAGGCTTCGGGGACCCAAGGAGGCCTTCAGGGACAGCAAAGGGTACGCGGACCCCCTTTTAACCACTCTAGAGAAACAGCGGCAGCAAGGAATTTGAGTGTGTTGTCTACGAGACAAAGATGAAAGAGCGTGTTGGTGAAATACGGGAGTCAAAGAAAGAATAAAAACACTTAAGGACAAGGGACAGACAGCACAGTGTTGCTAGTTGAAAGAACTGTGCTGTAAAAAAAATTTAAAAGTTTGAAGCGAAGTGCACACGTTTCTTTTAGCCCATGTTTGCGGTCCGCGTTCTACGAAGGAGAAATACAAGAACACGCTAAAAAGGTTACAGCAGAATTGCACAAAAGCAATTCGATTGCACCTAAATCACGTTATAGGCTTGTGATCGAAGTACTGATCAGCTTAACTAGTGCCAATCTGTTTGAAATCGCTTCAGATGAGACAAGCCAGCACTGCGAACGCGCAAGAGTCGGTTGGAAGTGGCAAGGGCGAAAACACACGTACTTGCTTGATCTGTGGGGTTCATGTATTTCCCACTTTTCGTGGTGTTGATCGATCTTCGACCCATGGTCACTGGTTAGTTCGGAAAACTGGGGTGAAAAGAAAAACTTTCAAAAGACTCACGAATCTTTGCTCATCAAATAACATCAGAGAATGCACACACACCGTGATCGGGCTTGCCCAATGTTTCCAGACCAAGCACAGTATACAGCTAATTAAACATAAAACAAATTCAACATTAAAAGAAAAGTTAATAACACGAAACGCAACAAAAAATCGATACTTTCTAATAATATAAATAAAAAAACTTTAAAAATATTTTAGTACGTTTTGAAGCGTTCACAATTAACACAGTTTCAGTTTTGATTTCGTTTGAAAAAAAAAGAAAAAAAGGCGAATTTGGACACAACACATCGTCGGTCACTACGCAGTCTGGACGCTGGCACAAATTAAAAGAGAAGGGATTAGATGCAGATTAGATGAAGATTATGGCCAATAAACGCATTATGAACTGAACTGGACACACCGGATTGGTTTTGCCTATCTCCCTGCAAACTAAACTATAAAAAATTAATAAAAAATTTACGGGTTTTTTGCTATTTTGAATGTTAAAAAGTTGGTGCGACCTCATGAGTGAAGGACACTTTCTTCACGTGTGAAAGATCTTGCAGCCATAGAGTTATTATAATGAACGCTAGGGACTCAGCTGGCGCTAGTGTCTACAGGACTTCCGGTTGCAAATTGAAGCAGACAGCATGCAGTCTACATTTCCAGCCTCCCTGTGTATTCCCATGGGAAAACCGGGAAAACGCGCGTAAATTTTGTCTCTTCGCCGGAAAATAACATGAATAACTTTTGTCGTTTCGGTTGTACCGGATAGTATGTACCTTTATTGGTATTGTGAAAGTGTAATTGCTTTAGTTACAGCATTTTTCTTTACCACTGAACGATGTAACCTGAGACTGGGGTAGAGAAGAAACATTAAAACGTAGAAGGGACAGAAAGCCACGTAATATAGTCCTGCCTATTTTCTGTCCCTTCTACGTTTTGATGTTTCTTCTCTACCCCAGTCTCAGGTGAATTCAACATGGTTAATATTCACCAGCTCGCCTGCACCCTTACGATGTTTTTCTATGTTAAACTTCGCTCTATTTCAGGCCCAAACCTCTGTTTCAAGGAAGGTATGTGAAAACGAGCGACGATTCTAAGCAAAATAACGATCGAAAGGAATGTAGAGTGTGTTCAAGGTTCGCTAAAAAAAATTGGTTTGCTCTTTATGTTTATACAGCCTTGATGGAGATGCGCCTCAACGGGTAATCGGTCTCTTAGCTGTAGATGAGAAATTTAGCCAGTGCGGTCAACCGCTAACCTGGAGTTTTTAACGTGCATCACGCAGTAGTCATCACACGAACGCGTGCCCGTACGAAACTCAGCCAGATCGAAACGGGCGGGGGCGGCGGGGATCGAACCCAGGAGGTTCCCAGCGGAAGCTTTCGCTCCACGCTCCGAGCTGAGACGCGTTAGCCCACTCGGCCACTTCCTCCCTAAGGTTCGCTAGCATTTCGGTGGAACGAAGCGATTTACAGTGCGTGCCCCTGGCTTTGAGAGTGTACGTCAGTGTTGCCCGACTGCGCTGAGCTGTGGAGTTTCTCGTCAGTAGGCTGCAGTGTTGCCAGGTCTACTGATTTATCAGTAGATCTACTGATTTTGTTCCGGGTCTACTGGTTCACTGAAAAACAAGAAAATCTACTGACTTTTTTTTAGTAAACATATTAAAAATTTATTATATGGCCCTTTCAGTTCCCAGTGTCGCCCATCAAAGGAAACTCATAATGTCCCAGAATTAAAAACGAAGCACTGGCTAGATGGCCCAGAAGCCCGTCCTATTCGAGTGACGTAGCCGTATATTCATCTATCTATTCACCCAGAGCAGGTTCGGCAGGTTGGGCAGGTTCGACGGTGACATCCGGGCCAGAGCCATATATGGAGAGAGTTTGGCTAGTCTATGATCTCGCCGTAACGTCCCTCTCCCGAGTGAGCCAATCAGCCCGCGGCGCAGAGCGAGAGGTGTTTGCGCATGCGCCTGAACTCTCGGCTGCTCCTATACAATCTACTAGAATAGCTTCGAGTTGAGCGGAGAGAGCCGCAATTTTCATTCATTCGTTCGGCGGAATGCATGAGATCGACATCCAAATTTCAGTTATTTTCTTTTATTTGGCAGGCTGTGGCAAGAAAATGATATAATGCTATTCCTCGGTGGCTTAAAAAGCTAACGAATGAAGTTTCTCCACGTTTGAACGCAAACTTTGGGTCAGGCGAAAAAGAAATAAGCCCGTAGCAGACGACGCGTAGCCTCAACAGTGCTCCGGACCAACAGCGTTGCTTCAAAAACCTTCCACAGCCCAGTAAGGAAAGATAACAGCATGCAGAGGACTTCCATTGGACATGTTCGCGCGCACTTGCCGGAGCGTCTTGTTTCGGTTTCGTTTCAATAATAGCGACAGGTGAACGTCGCACTGTCGCTTTCATCTGTGATCCCAAAAGTGCCTCAGTCTCGATTTCAAAGAATAATCCTCGAAACAGTCGATAATGACTAAAACAAAAACATTTATGGTGCCATTTTAATTTGTCCTTCATATAAAGTTACTCGAGAACTGGTCTTGATTTTTTTCTTTAATTTTTATTTGTGTTTATTACCATGTTATTTGTTACTCTATACTATTTCTTCGAAGTGTGTATTAATGGAGATAGCAAAACATGGCAAAAAACACATTTCGTGGAATCTACTGATTTTTGTGCAAATCTACTGACTTTTTGGGGATCAATCTGCTGACTTTTTTTTTTCTCCACCTGGCAACACTGGTAGGCTGTGGCAGCCTGCGTTGGATCAATGGACCTTTTCCTGACCTTTTCCAAATACCGACGGCACCAGGCGGTGGCTGCACGAACTAAAAATCAAGGAAGTGACCTACCTGCGCTACCATCGATAATGGGAGCTACGTTACCAGTTGCTTCGCTCTCTGAGCAGCGTCGCGTGCCCAACGCAACGAGGTAGGCCTAGCGCGACTTTAAAGAAGGAAATCCGTAGCGTCCACCCAAACGTCGTGTTTTTCTTTCCGTCCACTTTCTTTTTTTGTGTAACACAATTATATATATGCTGCAATTACGTGTTCTACTCGTCGATTTACAGCCTCATTCCGAATTTCCTCGATTTTTTCGTGCCGACTTCCACCGCTTGGCATCGGGCGCTCGCGCGTGCGCAGAACGCTTCTCGGAAAAAGTCCATTCCGGACGCTGGTGGCGGGTGAATTGCCGCGTTTTCTTTTTTATCTTGTGTTCTGTGGTGAGCATAATTTATAGAGGTTTTTAAGAAAGCAGTGCTCTATTTTTGGGAACAAAAACAAAGAAACGAAAGCTGTTTTGATGAGTCCGTGCGCGGCAGAACAAATGCAACTGGAATGCTTGTTTCATTTTATGTTCATTGTTTTACGGCACCGTACACTCAGCCGTGTCAATCTATAAAGGTCAAAATATTTGACCACACAGGATATCCTTACTGCATGGATATTCCCTGCTCACAACATAAAATTCAATGAGTCTCATCAATCGAACAAAAAATATATTGTACGTACCCCTCGGTGCCGCGTTATCCGAACAGGGTTTGAGAAAGGTCTCAAATAACACAGCATATCCAATATACAGCGTCGACGATAGTCACTTCACGACGATCGGACCGAATCCCGCGTGTTTTAAAGGGATACTTCAACGAAATTCCCGTCGTGTTCAAAAATAGGTTGAATATGATCCACAATATCCGTAAATGACAATCGCACGTTTGTATTTTGAGTCTCGGCATTCTGTCCGAGACCATTTTGACGGGGAACATTATGTCCGGGGCCATTTTGTTCGGGACCATTTAGTCCTACAGTCCATCCTGACGTACCGTACCCGCCGCCGTTTTTGGTCGAGTGTAGAGAGTGTCCTTTTGTGAATGGGTATGCCGGCAAGATATTTCTATTTTTTACCGCCTCAAAACCGATGGTGAAAGAAAAAAAAAAGTGATGAAGCAAAACGGACTGTGCTCTTTTAGCCCGAGAAAGACATACAAGGATAAATTGAACTTTTGGCATTAACCAATAAGAACCAAAAATGACAAATCACAAAGCAAGAAGCTTAAATATACTAAACCACGTTCTGCAATTTCTATATATTGTCTGGTACTATAGGTAACCTTGATCATCCTGCTGATCCGCTTATGAAGTGAAAGTTAGTCTCCTTATATGGTGAAGTATGCGAGAAGCTTATTATATGAACCTCCTTACGTGACTTGCATACTTTACACGCTTATGTTTTACCATGATTTTCTGTCTTATCTCGCTCAGAAGTAATAAACTGGTATCCTAAATTGGCCTCAAGGTTCTATAATCCACCAAGTCTCGCATTTACGAACAATATGGCCGGCCATACAGTCAAGTCCCTTGAACATATAAAAATGGTAACGAATAGAGTTCAACGACCCAGCCGCACAGCAGCCCCCGCTCCAGACGCGAAACACAGACCCATATCATTAGCCTCCAGAGCCTAACACCTGAGTCGCAGCCGCCTCAAAAAGGCTACTGGTGATAATGAATCGAAAGTTCCTAAAAGAAAAAGAAGAAACGTGCGGTAAACTTTATGCAGCTACCCCCCACATGTACACGTCAAATAATATTCATATAATGTACATAACATGTTTCTTATCATTTCAGACTTAATTGCTCCCTTAGTAGGAAAAGGTGCAATCTGCTATAAAGCACTGGACCGTAAAACTACCAAAAATGAAGTAAAAACAGAGTAGCTATCTAAATGTACAATCATATCATCTGGTAGAAACGTGTCATAAGAAATAATTAGAGTCACTATAGAGCGTTCACATGTCAGGTGTTAGTGTAGACCAACCCTGAAGTTTATATATAATATTTTTTTTCGAAACAAAAATCATTTTTACAACAACGCTGCTAGTTAATGTACATTAACCAGCAGCGTTGCAGCGTATGTGAGGGTACATTACCATTTGTATGCAACTGAGGGTCAAAAAACTCTTGTCCTGGTGAGTATATAAAGGCGCCATAGAAAGCTCGAAAGTCTCATATCTTCGCCAGAGGCCCCTACTCAACAACGTCGACTTCCAACAGCTTAAGGTGAGT